CAGAACTACGTCATTTTTGAGTTCGGATGGACCTTTTGTGTCGCATCGATTTCTGCCATTCTGAAAGATGCACGGGTCCGAAGAAATTTCAACTCTCAAATTTTTTTTTGATTTTTTTTTGGTTTCACTCTATGTAAATGAACATTTCGTTTTATTCTGCGGGACATGCCTTAGACTGTTATTAATCAAAGAATTAACATTGCTTTAGTCAAAACATTCACTTAGAATGCACTGACTTTGCTAAATGCTACCCGTGAGTGTCGCTTTAGGTATGGAGCAATTCTAATGGATGCTCAGCATCCAGATGGGAGTTTAGGATACACCGTGCTACACAACAGTACTTGTCAGCATGCTGGTCCAATCTACATCAATGTTATGCATGCTGCGATTCTCCGACTTGCTACTGGTAACAAGAATATGACAATTCAAACCCGAAACCATCCTTTGCCACCAACAAAAAGTCAGCGCACACAGCGTCATGTATGTCTTTCTATTTGGAGTAGTTCCCCTATTTTGGGTATCAGTTTTACTATTTTATCGAAGTTATGTTCAGTTTGAGCGACAAGTTCGAGTTAATGGGATCCCTCCAACTGATTGTCTGTAACTGGGAACCAAAAATTGAAACAATGTAAAGGTCTGTAGCAGGAGAAGTAGTGGAAACTGTTTGTACATTCGACAGGCTTCTACCTCATTTTTCCTGGGCCACTGAAGATCCGATTCTACTATCTTTGTCTCCCTTTCTCAAAATTGTCATGATGTTAGTAGATTGATCTTATTTTCTTTTCAATGCAGGATTTGGATGCCTTCTCCGCTGCAATTATTGTTAACATTGCATTCTCGTTCATCCCAGCCTCCTTTGCTGTTCCCATTGTTAAGGTATGTATGAAAGGTCAAACCTCACTGTAGTTTTGGCAGATGGTTGTAGTTTAGTGCTTTCCAGTGTTTTGTTCTGAACATCTATAAGTATTTTATTTTATTCAGGAGAGGGAAGTGAAAGCAAAGCATCAACAGCTTATTAGTGGGGTAAACTTTTCTCTGGACTCATTACTAAAAACAAGCGTGGCATCAGTCCCAGGTTCTTACTATAAACCCTGTAATATTGGCCTTCATAATCTTTTATGGCTTGCAGGTTTCCGTCCTTTCGTACTGGTTATCAACGTACGTATGGGATTTCGTCAGTTTCTTATTTCCGTCAACATTTGCAATAATCCTATTCTACGCTTTTGGTAATTTTGTCTTACATTCCATTTGCCTTATTTCACTGTACTTTGGTATTAACTTACTGACATAGTTGATTTATTTCCTTAGGCCTGGAACAGTTTATCGGAATCGGTCGGTTACTGCCGACTCTCCTCATGCTCCTGGAGTATGGCTTGGCAATTGCATCTTCAACGTACTGTCTTACCTTTTTCTTTACCGAGCATAGCATGGCTCAGGCAAATTCCAACTACTCTGTGATATTATCCATATCGTCAATTGTTTTTTTTTTTCTTTTTCCTCTCTCTACTTCTTATTGTTAAATGTTTTTGACTGATGAACGGATGTCTTTGCTGTAATCGCAGAATGTTATTCTTATGGTCCATTTCTTCTCTGGTCTTATCCTTATGGTTATCTCATTTGTTATGGGCCTTATTCCAGCGACTGTTAATGCAAACTCATATCTAAAGGTGTGGGTTCTTCTGATTTCCTGACCTCTGTGTGCCTTTAAAAAGCAGACTATGGACTGATCCATTTTCATTATGCGTCTACAGAACTTCTTCAGATTATCACCAGGATTTTGCTTCTCTGATGGATTGGCTTCATTAGCTCTTCTAAGGCAGGGCATGAAAGATAAATCCAGTCATGGGGTGTTTGATTGGAATGTCACTGGAGCGTCCATTTCTTACCTAGCTTTGGAGGTTAGAGTCTTCCCTTTTCTTCAACTTGTTTGTTCCTACTCATTTGAAAACCTGAGAAATGGATCCATCATTAAGTGTCAATGGTTTCATTTTGTCAAGTTAAAGGTCCAATATTGTGGTTGCTTTCATGTTACTGTTGTTATTTTATCATAGGATGTACACAAAATTATAGTAAATTTATATTATAGCAACATTCCTCATCTGACTGAACTTATATTTGACAGAGTATATTCTACTTCCTCGTGACTCTTGGGCTTGAGCTCCTGCCTGTTCAAAAGATGATGTCTTTCTCAATTGGGGAGTGGTGGCAGAAATTAAAAGCTTTCAAACAAGGTGTTGGTTCTAGTTCTACAGAGCCACTTCTGGATTCGAGTGGAGCCATTTCCGCTGATATGGAGGATGACAAAGACGTGCTAGAGGAAAGAGACAGGGTGATTTCGGGGTTGACAGACAACACCATATTCTACTTACAGAACCTCAGGAAGGTATTGAAGCCTAGTATTTTACCCAAGCGCTAGCAGAGATTCTCTTCTCTTTTTCTTAAGTTTACAACTGTTTCAGGTCTATCCTGGTTGCAAACATCACGGCCCAAAAGTAGCTGTACAGTCTTTGACTTTCTCGGTCCAAGCAGGAGAATGTTTTGGCTTCTTAGGGACGAATGGAGCTGGGAAGACTACTACCTTGTCTATGTTATCTGGTATGTTTTGCTTCTTTGGTTGGAACATGATTATCTCGAAAAATTTTAGACGGCTAAATAAACAACTGCAACTTCTGAAGCAATATCATTGTATTCTCACTTCTTTCGGTGCAATAGGAGAAGAAACCCCAACTAGTGGAACTGCCTTTGTCTTTGGCAAAGACATAGTAACGAGCCCCAAAGCTATCCGTCAGCATGTATGTCAATTCATTGACTTTACTAATCACATTGAGTCTATAGAATGAACATTGAATAATCAAATGCTTTTGTGTTTCGTTCTCAGATTGGCTACTGCCCCCAGTTTGATGCTTTATTCGACTATTTGACTGTCAAGGAGCACCTTGAACTTTATGCAAGGATCAAAGGAGTGGTTGATCATAGAATTGATAATGTAAGCGTTTGATGCTTATTTACAAGCGTTGATGAATTCACTGATTTCCCAATAACAGAGTTGTCTCTTTCCGCTTTCTATTGTGACAGATAAATTAGGTTTTTGGCTAAGTTAATTACCTACACAACATTTTAACAAAACCATCCTTCTCTTCCGTTTATGATAAAATTTTAATAAATTCGAAGTTAAAACTTAAAACCATGCTATTAGTAGAAGTTGCAAATTTGATATGTCTGATGTGTATTATAAAATAACAGGTGGTTACGGAAAAGTTGGTTGAGTTTGACTTGTTGAAACATTCTTACAAGCCATCGTTCACTCTTAGCGGCGGAAACAAGCGCAAACTATCCGTTGCTATTGCAATGATTGGAGATCCTCCCATTGTCATCCTCGATGAACCATCTACAGGTATAAGTTACCCAACCATAGTTTTGTGACTTGCTTGACCAATGACCAGTTTGACTTTGGAATCACTGACGTGGACTTCCTCTCTGTTCTACACTAGTTCTTAGACTCTAAATCTTTTTGGTGTATTTTGTTAATTGTTTCAGGTATGGATCCCGTTGCCAAAAGATTCATGTGGGATGTGATATCACGCTTGTCGACAAGGAGTGGAAAGACAGCGGTCATTCTGACTACTCATAGCATGAATGAAGCTCAAGCGCTTTGCACTAGGATCGGGATCATGGTATCTACTAAACTCATTTGAACTCTCTAAGACGTTAATTCCTCCAAATGTATCCACCTCAAAGAACTATACTCTTCAAACTACAGGTTGGAGGCCGCCTAAGATGCATAGGTAGTCCACAACACTTAAAAACGCGCTTCGGAAACCACCTTGAGTTAGAGGTAATTTTTTAGTTCAATGGTGTATTGTCTCAGTGGTAGGAGGGATCATTTGTCAAAGCTTAATGCATAATGTTGGTTGTCTTACAAATTAGGTCAAACCCAACGAAGTGAGCCATGTGGACTTGGAGAACTTTTGCCAAATGATTCAGCAATGGCTGTTTAACGTTCCTTCACAGCCTAGAAGTTTGCTTAGTGATCTCGAAGTTTGTATCGGTGTCTCTGACTCTATTACTCCTGATACGGCTTCATCATCAGTAATCAGTTTGTCACCAGAAATGGTACAAAGCATTGCCAAGTATCTTGGTAATGAGCAGAGAGTGAGTACTCTAGTAACTCCCATGCCTGAGGAAGATGTTCAAATTGATGAACAGTTATCCGAACAGCTGTTTCGAGATGGTATGAACACACGTCTCACATACGTTTTTAGATTTTTACTTGTTTCACGACTGGTAACACAAACATCTGTTTTGTCGGTTTGATGCTGAACAGGTGGTATTCCACTGCCAATATTTGCAGAGTGGTGGCTAGCCAAAGAAAAGTTTGCAGCATTAGATTCTTTCATACAATCTTCGTTTCCAGGTGCAGCATTCAAGAGCTGCAATGGATTGAGCATCAAATACCAGGTAAAATAAACGTAAAAGCCATTGCTACTTCGTTCGGGCTCTGTGATTAGTCTTTAGTCATGTGCTCAACTATTTACATGGATTCTGTTGCAGTTGCCATTTGGAGAAGGAGGATTGTCACTTGCAGATGCCTTTGGCCACCTTGAACGAAACCGGTAAGACATTTTAACTGTTTCTTCTCAATGATCCGCACAAACCAGTCTTTGTAAGTCTGAGGAAAGCAATTGCTTCTTGTTATGACAGGATTCGGTTGGGGGTAGCTGAATACAGTATAAGTCAATCCACGCTTGAGACCATATTCAACCATTTTGCAGCTAACTCCTAACCAAAACCCTTGATGACCACAGAGCCCTAAAAGAGATCTGTTCACTCACCCAAAATAGTTGTAAATATAGGAAAATATATGAAGAAACTGAGTTCTTAACGTCTATATATATACACAAACAATGTTGTAATGTACCATGTTCTGAATACTATACTTTATCAATACAACACAAAATCCGAGATTTTCTCGTTTTTGATCTTGCATATGTCTTAGTATATCTATGCAAACTAGTAAGATTCCGAAGCAGCTGGCAAGTCAAATCAATCAAACGATCTGTAACTCACTCCAGTTTCACTCCAAACAACTTAAGCCCTTCATCTTCTTCATTATTATCGTCATCATCGGTTTCGTCTTCTCCTCTGTATCTATCCACCAACTCCATAAGCTGTTTGCATTTCTTCTTGGTATTACCGAGTTCTGAACTCAAGAACTCGTTTTCATTCTTCAAGCACTTGTTTTCGTCGAGTAATGCAGAGTATATAAAGGAGGAAGAAGTGGAGGAAGAACGTTGATCCTCATGGTGATGATCAATCCCAAGCCGTTGATGATGATCTTCTGGCTTCACCGTCGTTGTTGTTGGTACAACCTGATGATGAGACTTTTGGTGTGAGTGCGAGTGTGACCAATTCTTCCTTCTTCGTATATTGCACATAAGCTCTCTTTGTCCCTTTCGAAACATCTCGTTACTAAATTCCCATCTTATCGTCGTTACTTTCCGAAACCCCTACAATATTTTGTAATCACTCATTAATGTAATTACTAAATTGAATTCACGTAACAACTTCACATGTATAAATGCATCATGCAAATATGAAAATCAAAACGTTTCCAATACTAACGTACGTGTATGAAAACTGAACACAAATAGTTTTAAATTAACGTAATTAAAGCATACGATTAAGTAACCAACAAAAAAAAGAACACAAATGTTAATAATCATACACGTACGTAAGTATTGAGCTGTCGAACGAAGCTAGAGAAGTTGCAATGCTTGAAAAGTGTTGGTAAGAGATCTCTAGCGAATTCCGCCGGCTGCCACACGACAAAACCGGTTCCGTCTCCGTTCCAAGATATAACCTCGTCCGTTGTCGGATCCTCAACCACCTTGTATGTCTTCACCAAGAATGGCGGTGGTATCGCCGGCGGCTGTAGCTCCACACTCGATGTTGGTTTTCCGGTCATAAACTCTAACGGCAATTTCTCTACGTCGTTAATGTTATCGTTACACCGTAGATGATGATGATCAGCTGCATCTTCCATAAACGAGAACTAATATTAATTTCTTGAAGAGAACAAGTGGTATAGTAGAAGATCTCAATCCAGAGAGACGTAACACGACTGCATAGAGGGAGAAAGAGACGTTATTTAGTTTTAATAAAGTGGTTGAGACAAGAATTAGGAATACTTTGAACCATTTTCAAGGAACATCATGCCTTATATCCACGTGAATTATTAATGTTAGAGCCTCTTTGAATATCTTATAATAGAAGTGGAGCTAATTCAACACTATTATTATATAAAGAATTTAGACATTTTCACTCGTAACTAATTTTAAGTTTGACTCCCATGATTTTTCGTAGTTTTTTTTTTTTACACTAATCATCGATAATACTTGTGTCATATTCAAAAAAAAAGTAAAAGAAATAAAATTCTCAAACATAACGCCGTATACTCGAATTTGGGTACAAATGATCCTTTCTATCCGGTTTATCTAAAAGACATTTGGATTGAATTTTGTGTAACTTATATAATATTCGTCCTAACTGGTTTACATGGAAACACTAGTCGTTGCATTTACCAACCGAGCTAAATTTTCAATCTATTTTAAGTTGTAACGTGTGTGTTTTACTAGACGTCTAAGAAACGAAAGAAAATAACAAGAATCACGAGATATACGTGTGAATATACATATATAATTTAACTCTATATAATATATACCAGTTGGTAAAATTGGACACTGTGATATGAAGCAACTAGTTTGGACCCCCTTAGGTGTGGTGATACTGTCAATTTACAAAAACAATGAATGCAAATCATGCATTTTATTTATTTATCATGTTTACCTCTTTGTAAAATTTTGTTTAGGATCATGACAAATCGAGTATTAGATTTCTGTCTTTTTCCTTTCTTCAAAATTGATGACTATCTTTTTTGACTTTTCATGCTTTGCAAATTACTACTTTCTACACCTTACCTTATTTATCTTCAATTCTATAATTCGTGTGCGATTCTAACATAATATTTTTTAGAAAGAAAAACAAAAAAAACAAGTGCAGTTAAAAAAAAAAGAGGCTCAATTGATCGGCAAGAAAAGTCACAAAATGATCATTCATCATAGTCGAATATGATCATTTCATTAGGTTATGGTATCGTGATCATATCACTAAGTTTAGCTAGGGTATATCGTAAAAGTAAATTTATAGAAAATATTCCAATCTTGACAATAAAAAAAAAAAAGAAGAGATTCCAAATTCAAAATATAATTCAGTTTGGATGTTTTACTTACAGTTAAATATAGTTTTAATACAGAGAAGTGATTAATATTGTTCGGGTGAAAATAGGATTTCTCGGAATCGTTTCGCGTTTTTGTGAAATAGAGAATTTTCTAAGACATTTTGGACTACACCAAAACAAATATACATGCAAATTTGAAGCGATTAAAAATGCTTTTAAAAATCGGTGTGATAATTTTTGGGATATCTTCCGACGTTCAAGAGATCATAACGACGACTATGTGATTGATCAAAGTGTCAAGAAACAAAACATAAGGATTACTTCATTCCTAGACTAGCTTGACGATAGTCTACTTTCTATTCATTATTTTTTGGTAATTATTTTAACTAGGCGAAACTCGGAAAAAAGTTTACACAAGCTAGTAGATTTTACTAAACCGGATTACCGGATCATTGGTACATATCTAACAGACTGGTGAAGTGCAACATACCGGGCTAGCTGATTTAAAGGAGATGGGTATATGTTGTCCACGAGTATAAATTAATTGCATTGTTTACACCAATTTGAGGAATTGTATATGGGCATGGAATAAAATATAGATATATTATTTTCTACATGACATAATTAAGTAATTTTAAGTTAATGTCGTTATTGTCAAAATATGTAATGCAAGAAAGGAAAGGAATCACCTTGAGATCTCTCTATTGGTCAAAGTAGCACTGATGCATTTCAATCTATTGGTGAATAAACTTGAAGAAGGGATTGCCGACAATCTTCCCTTGACGGCGTGTACTATCCACGCGTCTCTAGAAGAGAAAATGCAAAAACATGTTTTTTAAAGGAGAGATCGAATAAATAAAAAATCCTAAAACTTAGGTTCTATTATTTCGTTTTTACATCCACATAAAGTAAAAGAAAAGAAGTTATTTGTTGAACCGTAAGGGCCGGATCACAAAGCTCCATGCTATTTGGATATGTAGAGCTCAAATCCCAGACTTTTTCACCCTTTTAGACAAAAAAAATATAGTTTAGCGCATGTTGAATGCGAATTTCGCTCATAGAGATGGTCAGATGGATGGTGAGATACAACATTAAACTGAAATTTTTAGCATTAAAAAAAAAAACATTACTTTTTGAAGTACATTTGTTGACTTGAAGAAAAATGAAGTGCATGGAATTCAGTCAGAGATTGCACTAGACTAAAGACAAAGCTCCCTTGCTTTTAATTGGGCCGGGTCAGCTTAATTTTATTGACTTTATATTATTCTTTATTTGCATGCGTCACCTTTTTCTTAGTGAAACCAAACTAAGAAGAAAACACAAAATGTACTTATATGACATTGGTCTGTCACTTCCCTCACCTACTCTTAGTTTGATTTTCACTTCAGACGTGTTATTCATCACCGAAATGATTAAATGATACCCTTCGTATATATCTTTTTGCTATCAAATTTCAAGAACAAACAGTGTGTTTTTTAAAAAAAATAATAAGAATAGTAATCAATGGTAGGATTTGCACCCATTACCCTGATAAGTAATAACTGATTTACAAATGTATTTGTTGAATGTTATGCTCTTACAACTCAAAATGGTCAAGATCTGTATACGCCGAGTGTGAGGAACTGTGTATTCTTTTTATTTCCGCTTACTATACTATGTTTGTTCTGTGAGTAAACCCAAGGAGAAGTTTATTCATGCTCAAAAGAGCTCTAATAAGATATCTAAAATAGATTGAAAATGAAATAGCTGATTGGAGCTATATTTAGTGCAAGAAAGTAAAGAAAAGGCAAGGATTAATTGAAAACACCAAGATTAAATATTATTTGATTGAGCTCAATATCTCATGAAAGGGTGATGAAGAGAGTTGAAAAAAATAACAACTCCCAAAGTTACTTCATTCCATTGCCATTACACATATCTATGAATACCTCTTTGTTTAACCAAAATAAAAAAAATTAAAAAAAAAATCTATGAATTCCTATTTGTTTGAAACCCTAATTACATGGACTATGGGTTTCTCATGATACATTGGGCTTGTTTCATGTGCTTTAGTATGTTCAACTCCATAGAGAAATAGTTTCGAGCTAGAGGTCATTTCAGGTTCCATATGACATATGAGCCAGAACAAAAACCACGCCAAAGATAAAAAGCGTAATACTTGAGACCATTACGAAGCCCGCCCATTTATGGCCCAATAAACAAAAGGCTAAAAGCGTCCGTCCACTTAAAACCCTTGGTCAGCTTACACTTAAATGCGATTGGCTTATCCTCCGTTAAAAAGACCAAGTAAATCAGTCAACACGCATCTCTGCCGTCGATACGTTACATCTTCGAGATCCGACGGCTGAGAAGCAATTAAACTCGTGGACTTCGAGCGGAAGAGATAATGCTGAGGCGCGTGTGGCACAGTCGCCTACCCAATTTGCAAAACAGAAATGAGATTTTGAAAGTTGCAAAGAGAAGACAACAATTGTATGGTCTCAGTAAGGTAAGGCAAAATATGGCTTCGTCTCCAAAGATAGGCATCGGAATTGGCTCCGTGTCGACTCACCGAGTCGCCGCCGCGTCATCCGCCCTCTCTCCTCCGCCTCACCTCTTCTTCCTCACTACTTCTAGACGTCGCGACGCCTCCTTCATCCTCCGCCAACAAACCCGAACTCGCTCCGATTCCTACCGCCTCCGAGTCTCCGCCGCCAATTCGCCGTCTTCTTCAGGTATCTTAGGACTTACTCTTTTGCTTGTTCATTGAGGTTTTTGTGCAGTGTTGCTACTTGGGGAGGAGCACATAAGTAATCGAGCTCTGTGCTGGTCCTATAACTCTTCAATTTTTGCAGGAGAGATTATCGAGAACGTAGTGATTATAGGCTCCGGTCCCGCCGGATACACGGCCGCAATATACGCGGCGCGCGCTAATTTGAAGCCGGTGGTTTTCGAAGGGTATCAGATGGGCGGAGTTCCCGGCGGACAATTGATGACAACCACCGAGGTTGAGAATTTCCCGGGATTCCCCGAGGGGATTACGGGTCCGGATTTAATGGAGAGGTGAGAAATTGGACATGAGCGATATCATATCATGCATTTTGATTATTTCGTAGTTTGCAGCTGTAAAGAGATCATTTCCTGAGACGATTTGGTTTTGTGTTATGTGTTTAATGTGTAGAATGAGGAAGCAAGCTGAGCGGTGGGGAGCAGAGTTGTATCCAGAAGATGTGGAATCTCTTAGTGTCAAAACCGCTCCCTTTACTGTGCAAAGTAGTGAACGTAAGGTGATTATCTTTCTTGGTGTGCCTCTCTTTTTGTCAATTCGAAGTAGATATAGAATGCAGGTTTGATATGTGATATAAATGTGTGTTTTATCCATGAAGGAAGTTATTTACTTTGTGCAAATGTCTTTTGGTTTGTTTTTCTTCCCCTGGAAACAACTTTTTTTCGATACCATTAAAGGTAAGAGTGTTGATTGTGTTGGAGATTTTGTTAGTTTTTTAAAATGTCCATGCTTTAATTGCTTTGATGGACATAAGCTTTTACGAAAAAACTGTGAGTCTATTACAGTCTTCAAAACTGGCAACCAAAATGATGGTTGGATTTTCTTGGCTTGAGCTCTTTTCCGATGTTGTTGTCATTTGGGATTGATTTTGTAGGTCAAGTGCCATAGTATCATTTATGCCACTGGAGCTACAGCAAAGAGGCTGGGGCTACCTCGAGAGGAAGAATTCTGGAGTAGGGGAATTAGTGCTTGTGCAATCTGTGATGGAGCTTCGCCTTTGTTCAAGGGGCAAGTACTCGCGGTGGTTGGAGGAGGAGATACGGCGACAGAGGAAGCTTTGTACCTCACAAAATATGCTCGTCATGTTCATTTGCTTGTTCGCAGAGGCCAGTTGAGAGCATCCAAGGCTATGCAAGATAGGTGAGTTTTTACAGGTTATTGTGTTAGTAGCTTCTGAGTCATACTCTACTCTTCTTCTTTGACTTCGGAAGAGAAACGGTTAACAAATCTGTAAATGGTTGTCCTAGTTTAGGAAATGTGGGTCGTCAGGCTATAGAATCAGGAAACCAAATCAGAATAGGCCGAGGCAACTTTGTATGGCTATCTGGGTTTATGCGCCCATTGTCTATAATGAGTGTCTTTGGTGCCTGTAGTGACTGTAATTAACATGTTCCATGCAAATCTGTACATTTGGATGTTTCTGGGTATGCCTTTGGCTATGAATTCCATTTCAAGTATATCGATAACCAACCAGTAAAGTGCGTATCTCCTTTGATGGCTTTTGGAATTATAGACTAATGAGCACACTGTAAGTTGAGTCTTTTCAACACCCTGAGTGTTTTTTTAACAGGTTGGTTATGGCGAATGTTTCAGAGTGATCAACAATCCAAACATCACAGTGCATTACAACACGGAAACGGTGGACGTATTGAGCAACACCAAGGGACAGATGTCTGGCATTCTACTCAGAAGACTTGATACCGGAGAAGAAACTGAGCTGGAGGCGAAAGGATTGTTTTATGGAATAGGGCATTCGCCAAACAGTCAGTTGTTGGAAGGCCAAGTCGAACTTGACAGTTCGGGGTACGTGTTGGTTCGAGAAGGATCATCGAATACATCAGTGGAAGGTGTATTTGCTGCAGGAGACGTACAGGTTATGCTTTGGAACTTTAAGCCATCTTTTAGTATTTCTATTAACTCTTTGAAGTCATATTGGTTCGATAATTGTGTGAGCTAATTTGTCACTCTAGGACCATGAATGGAGACAAGCTGTAACTGCTGCTGGATCAGGATGCATAGCTGCTTTGTCAGCCGAGAGATACCTCACAAGTAACAATCTTCTTGTTGAATTTCACCAGGTAAGAATTGTTGTCAAAAAAGTCTAAAATCTTATGCACATTTCACAAGGCTTACACTCTTTCATGTTCATGTTCTACCACATGACAGCCGCAAACTGAAGAGGCCAAGAAAGAATTCACACAGCGCGATGTCCAAGAAAAGTTTGACATCACTTCTACAAAGCATCGGGGACAGGTGAATTTTTCATTTTCCGTGCTGTTAACATATGAACCGTAAATTAGTATCTACAATCATTTTCTCTGCCTCACATCCTCTTCTCCTTTTTTTCCCCCTGCTTTTCAGTATGCTCTTAGAAAATTATACCATGAGAGTCCAAGAGTTATATGTGTATTATACACTTCACCAACATGTGGCCCCTGTAGAACTCTGAAGCCTATTTTGAACAAGGTGATCCTTCCTGACTAAAACATTAGTCAGAAATTAAATCATTGGAAGAGATCTTAGCTGGACTGATTTTCTAACCGTCAGTCCATTTCATCTTAATGTTGCTTCAGGTGGTCGATGAGTATCACGATGATGTGCACTTTGTTGAGATTGACATCGAGGAAGATCAAGAAATTGCTGAAGCAGCCGGAATCATGGGAACGCCATGTGTACAGTTCTTCAAGAACAAGGAAATGCTCAGGTTGGGCTGTGTACAATAATTAATAGGATCGTATAGATTATTGTGTTCAGGTTTGTCTAAAGACTACGAGTCTGTGCAGGACTATATCGGGTGTGAAGATGAAGAAAGAGTACCGGGAATTCATCGAGGCAAATAAATAAGGACACCAGATAGATTTGATTGTTTCTGGCAGATGCCAAATCCTAATATCATGATTCAGTTTTGTTCATTCAAATACTTTGGAGTAACTGGAGCAACGCCATTGAATCTCAAATAGAAACATCATCTTAAGCTGCACGCATAATGTGTTACAATTTGCTTTTTCATTTTACAAAGTCTACTACCCGCCTCTAATTGGACGGGTCAGATTCAGTTTCAGGGACATCGTCAAGGATGAAGGGACCAAGTCTACCTGTCCTAAACAAAGTAAGAAATTTCTTGGACACCATTAACCTAGCTTCTGATGCTTTGTTAGGAATCTTCAATGCCTTTTGTAGAACTTCAAACTGCTGCTCTATCAAACATTCCAAATCATTCTCATCCTCTGTGTTCCCATCGAATTCTGAAAGAGTTGTGTATAGTGATCGTTGCACTTCTGAGATCATATCCTGTAGATGACAAGGAACCTCAATAGGTTAAGACAATATCAGGAAGGAAAGCAACCTAGAGATATAAGCTAGTTATGCTAACCCCAACATAGCGCAGAGCAGATGAATCTGGTTGTTTGGATCTCTGGTGTCGAAGATCCTGTAAATTGTAACTTGGTTTATCGACGCAGTCTGCATGAGACCCTTCGTTTCTTCCCTCGAATAAATACTTCCAATGTAGAGGAGTCCCTCGAGTGTTTAAAATAGCAAGAAAGTATTGAGCAATCCGCTCTTCACCCGCTACTGAATCTTTAACAGACCCTGAGAATGTAAGAAATTTAAGTAAGTTGATGAACTAAATATAGTGCACGGTTTTACAGCTTCTAGCTCCAAGAAGAAAGAAGAGCAAGGAAATAAAGATAGATAAGAACCTGAAAGTGCAAGCTTCAATCCCGTTTCGATATCGGGGATACTTGGGACCAACACACCAGGGGAGTCTAGAACATATATGCTAGGTCGATGAGCAATCTGTTACCAAATGACTTTCTCAGTACTTGTTCAAAAAAATATCATGTTGAAGTGTAGAGCACAAGCATTAAACCCTCAAACAACTAAAGAGCAAAAGGGTAAATAAAAGAAGGGAACCAACAGATATTGACCTTGAAACCAGCAATATCTTGTGTAACACCAGGCAATGGACCAACCGTGGCTCTCTTTAATCTATCCTTCACTGTGCACATAATACATATATCGAAATAAGTCATGTGACATTCCATTCATCATTTCATGGATGCAATAACGAACTTATTACTACGAGCTTTGAGACATGGGATTCAGAGTTGAGAACATATTTCTTGAAATGTGCACTTCACACTGCCTATAAAGCCGAGTCAATAATTCTCTTACCAGGAAATCGAGCTGCTGCGATTTGATGAACCGAATTAATCAGTGCAGATTTTCCAACATTGGGGACACCAACCACCATCACTAGTAAAGTAGGCTCCCTCGCAATCACTTCCTTGAGCTTCAACTCGACGAGATCAAGCAACTATATTGAAAAGGTAACTTCTTTATGCGCAAAAAGTAGGAATCCTTATCAAAATCATGTGTGTGATGAAACTATTACTGATTTACTAAAGGGACGAACATAGATGTAAAGATGATCATCTAACCTTCTTGACAGAGCTTCTGCTATGGGCATTGATGGCAATACAATCTTGCTGCTTGGATTCGAAATGATGGGTCCATTTCTACAAACACCATCAAAATTGCAGAAACATTTCAGAAACTCGGACCTCACAGATACTAACAAGAATGAAACAGTAGGGACACAGAAATTCACATTGAGAACATTAGGGTTTGCTAGATCTTTCTTGTTCAGAGCTATAATACGCCTCTTCGCTGACAATTGGGACTGTAGGTCCTCGTTCGCCGATGACAAAGGAATCTACCAAAATGGACAACGAAAAATCAGATTGATCCTCTCACAGTTATGTGGATTGAATGGAAAGATAGTGTTGAGTGTGTGTGTACGGACACGGGCATCGCGAACTTCGATAACGAGATCGGAGAGCTTGAGACGGTTGCGGATGGCGCGAGTTGCGGCGGCCATATGACCGGGAAACCAATTGATTGCACCGGCGTCTTTGGCGAAGCTCATTCCGCCGATCAAACCCTTCTTCACTACCTTCTTCAACCCCATCACAGATTTCTCCGGCGACAACAGCTTCAGTGAAAGGGGTTTTGCTGAGGTTTTTCAGCTCCTCACTACAACAACAACAAAAAAAGGAAGAAAAAAAAAACACCGGAGCAAATGTGGTTATAGGATTTGGGCTGTAATGTATTTTAAATATAAGTTGGGTTAAACTAATATGGGCTTTATTTCATCTATTTTGGTTGTGTATCAAAATAATCTTGACGACCCACACGCTAAACCACATTTTTGGGGATGTATTGTGTTTTTATATAATACAGGATTCCAGTTCTATGTATCAAAACAATGTTTGGTTTTTCTTTGGTTTAAACGTAGAAAAACATAATCGGTCTTGAAACGATTAATTAGCTCGTGAATGGACCAAAACTCAGCTCTATTTGGGAACAAACTCATTTGGACATGCCGTACATGCATGCATGTACATCATACCTTCAATTTATGGTAAAGGCCACAAATATACAGTATAATTGCTACCCATGCCCATGAAGCAATTTATTTGCATTTCAGTTCACTAAAAGTCTACAACTTCTCTATCTATCTGATTTAACCAAAAAATAAAACTTCTCTTAAGAAAAAAGGTAAGAAACTTTAGCACACATATTTACATATGTGATTATATGTGATTATAGTACCATAATGATTCTAATATCTGTACGACAACTGAGAAGATATCTCTTTTGTTAAGCTTAACAGTGAATACAGTTGTTTAACTAACATAATTACCATCAAATTGCATCTAATTTGGGTGAGTCTTCTAGGAACACACTAATTATTAGTCATAGTTGATGGAAAGAAGATCATCATTAATTACAGTTTTGGACATTATGAGTTGTTAATTTTATTATTCTGAATAATAATTTTTGTATTACTAAGATAAAAAAAAAATCACTACTTTTGTCGGTCCAAGATCCAACCAAATTTTTTTCCTTCTCGAGCTGGATATCTCATGCATACAAATATCCCGTGAAAATATCTCATGCATGGAAATATCTTCCATGTTGTCTTTTCTTTCTGTTTGACTCTAAACCTAATTATAGGATAATGTTTTTTTCTTACAAAAATATAAATTTCTATGTACTATTACGTGGACGTGTGTTTATACGAATATATAAGTTATATAACACCAATGATAGAAAGAAAGTTAATCAATTATGAGAAGAAAAAGTATTATTTTGTTCGGGATCGGACGTTAGCATATTTCAGATCTGTGGTGTTTGATCTTCTCTAACCTGTAAAGATATATAAGACCAATGGACAAATATAAGACAATCGATTAATTATTTTTTAATTTGCACTTTATAGGTTAACAACAAAAAAAATTGCACTTTATATAGTGTCGACTATAGATATTAAATATCTTAGCCACGTTGACCTCTTCAATTATTAGATGTTCTTATTCCGCTTCGTAATGAGGCATCGAACTAAAGAAATCGTAATCCTTTACATTATGAATTGTCTCGACTATGAAACAAAATTTTGAATTGAAATAACCTTAAAGCTACTAGAGTACTAGTAATATACTATATATGCATATATATGTGAATCGTGAGAAACTTAAAGGCTCATTTTGTGTACGTAAATGAGATACACTATCATATAGATCGAAGCAAGATCATTTTTTTTCTCGTCATAAAATATGATTATCTATCGCAACGCTGTTAAAATGTAATGAATGAGTTATCTATTAATAATTATGATCTCTAAACGTAACCTAAGCAAAATATGAACAGTATCAGAAATCTGTAGAGATACAAATCTTTGGATAATATAGAATAGGGGAGTCGAGTGATGATTGATCTATGTGACCAAAGGCATGTTACCACTAAGATTCAACGATCGCCTGTTTATGTATTTGGTTGGACTTGACTCTTGAGGCACCATATGAGGCCATCCTTAATTTTATATTTGTACTTTTATTTTATTTAATTATTTATCAATGTAAACTTTAGCAATTTTAAAATGGAAGGTAGACCAGTTTAAGGATACAATAACATAAATTTAACCCATATGAAAAAAAAAAAATTAGGACAGTAATTAAGGCTTTAAGGATAAATAATTTGCCTACGTTTTTCTTATTATAAATTTATTCACTCGAAAATCATGTTTTACCATCGCCAAATTGAGCTAAGCTAGTCCGTAGTGATTTCTCCTTTTACGCCGGATCCACTAGTTAAGTATTAGATATACACATTACAGTGGTTTTACTCTTTGGCAAAAATAATGTATATTAATTAATGTAAAACTTTCTGTTCTATTTAGTACCTTTTAACAAAACAAAACAAAAGAGTTTCTGTTTTTATTATATGCATATTAACGCGTGTCAGATATATATAAGTGTAGATTGTATAAACACTAATTAATCATAAACAATGTATACTGTATACATGTATACATATATGCCGTGGCAAGAGAATTCAGATTTGCCAACCAAAAGCGCATCGCTCCATATAATATTATAATGCATTACCTTTCATATCAAATATTATCATGCATATCATTATCTGTTATTCCATCAGAAATGCAAATTAATATGCATACATATTCCTCCTACACGATATATAAGATAAAAACAAAAAAATATTTCTAAGAATATTTTCATAATAAGAATAAGTATTAAGATATTATATCAATAACAAAAATATATTTAGAAAAATATTATAAATAAATAACGAGATTTGATAATTATGTTTCATATACTATACTAATTACTGTAATTGTTTTTCTACATGTCATTATATATATATATATATATGAAAAGGTGGTGGAAAAGATCCGTTGTCAAAAAAAAAAAAAATATATTGAGCGGATAGTATATATGAAGTCAGAAGCGTACACGATGCAGATTAGATTTGCCTGAAGAAAAGTGCCAATATTAAAATTCTAAAGATGAGGCATGTGTTCATGATGTGTTCTATCTGTAATCAGGTAATATAGGCTACTTTTCTTTTTGTTAAATTGATTGATTAACAAAAGTTATTTAATTATATGGATGAATGAAAGAATAGAATACAAGCTTATTCAAGAATGCAGCCATATATTATGTGTGTGATGATGTACTAGCTAGCCACATATTTTACGATAACTTTGCCGCCCGTTACCAAATTTAAGTACAAGTTAGTGATGAATGTTCAATTATTTGATGGTTAGGCATCGCTCGATCGAACTTCATATAGTTTCTAATTTTTGGAGACATTCAAAAATTCGTTTGTTTCGAATTTTGATTCACACAAATTATATATGTGCATGCCTAATTGTTCAGAACGACAAAAGGTTGATTATGGCAAGATCTTTTAAATCGGTCCGTGGAGAAGCAAACTCTCAACTATTTTTGGGAATATATCTGTTTTATTTGTTTAGAAAAGAAATGTAAACTGAGAATTCTAAGACGATTCCTTTTAAAACACATATGATCAGTAATTAAAGAGACGATATTGTCTATCTATGTTCAGTTGCATCAAACCAACATTGACGCAGATCTTGGAGCCGTGGGAATAAAAGAGAGACTATACAGTCCCAAATCGCCTTGTCAATATTAGGCGTGCGCTGGACAGTAGCGAGGTGCACATGCATGCGTTATGGTCCTTTACCGTTACGTTTTTTTCATATGTGGTAGGTGGTCGCTTGGAATACGTTGTGACGAGATTCTTGACAAGTCTCCCACTAATATCAGACCAAATGAAGAAAAAGTATGTAAAGGCAAGGAACAAGTGATCACAAGTTTGTAATATAAGTGAGGTCGTAAACATGAACTCAAAAATTAATATTCATAACTAAGTGTTTGTAATAAACGGTTTTGCCTTTGCCAAAATTGCAGACGATGGTTTGAATTGGTATAAGATAATTACATAGCGTATAAATTTCGTAGCTGGTACATATATGTTAAAGTCTATATAATTATAAAAAAAAATAACTCAAAAGGTTATATTAGCACATGCATTATAATAATTATACTAATGTTGAATCTTATTTGTTAACAAATGCATTTTTTAACGACGTTTATTTTTTCCTGTTAACTCAGGAAGTTAGCACATGCATTTCCTCCACCGTTTTTTGGAAATTTGCTGTTCTTTTCTTTTGTAATGGGAAAATCTTTACTGTGTCCTCAACATTTATCTCTATATGATGTAGCTATGACGCATATACGTATAGGACGATATGTATCTGTAAATCTGATTAATGATCTATGCATTTTATATTTCATATGATTAATTTTTAATAACCTGATTATTAAACTGATCATTTGCGTAACCCAACAACAACAAAATTACTTATAATCTGATGATTTTTATTTATCTAGAGCCCAAAAGTGTGGGGTGACTCAACCGATTAAAAGAGTGTTGTTACAGCATTATCGCATCTGATTTCGAATCCTAGGTGCTACACTTGAGAAGAGATGATTTAAACTTGTGGATCTGCTGCAAAAATTATCACATTTGATAATCAAAAGAACTACGATCATCAAAATTTTGGAGTTTGTTTAATGAAAAAAAGTACCTTTAATATAACTCGTGTAATCTAATTTGAGTAACCCATCATACAATAGGAATAGTAAAACATTAATGTATTTTTCCGTCCACCAAAACACAGTCAGAAAACAAAACACAGTAGGAAAACTGATAACCCCACATAATTAACTTGAAGATGAAGAAAGTTGCGAGTTGCGAGTTGCGAGTTGCGAGTAAAAAAATAAATACAAGACAAATGTGGACCTAAAAATGAAGGGAAACTTCCTAAAAGGGAGTTTTTGGCTTTGCGGCTGTTGATGAGTTTTTCAGACTTTGTCCCACTAAAGCCGACCCCTGTGGTTTTTTACGCTCTTTCCCACCTAACTTTTTTTCACGATCCACCCCTCATTTTCCATTTCCTTATATTTCTCCCCCATATCTATTTTAATACTAAACAATTTCCACTGGTTTTTAATCTTTCTTTTACAACATTTAATACTTTTTCCAAATTTTATTTCAACAAACGTCCACTTAGATAATTATTTAACTAAACAGAAGCGTAAAATCATATTTTATACTTTTTACATATTTGATTCTTTTTCCAACTTTTATTCATATATATACATGAAAAAGGTAAGCTTCACTAGGTATATAGTTTTTTTATACCTACAAGTGTAACTCATTTATTTGATGGTATCGTATGCTATATCTTGCATTAAAATATAAAGGTGTTTTGGTTATGAATTGACTCTTACACGTTACCACTCAAAACTCAAAAAAAGCAAGCGTGCTTTCTATTTGTTTAGTTTTTATACTAAGTCGCTCGCTGCGTTACACGTCAAAGCAAATTCGCTTTGCTCAAATTATAGAGTTTATAGTAATAAAGATCATTTTATAATAAAGACAACAAGAATCTTGAATTGGCATTAATCATGACGGACCATGTGGGGATCTTCATGCCTTGCATATAAGCAACCATAAACTAATAATCACATCCTTCTTTTCTTCATATTTAACAAAGACAAAAATACCACACATCAAATAAACAATTAGAAAAAACCTAGCATACATCGTCCTAGGCCCCTCTCACTATCGCTTACATATATTTCATAAACACAACACTATATGATAATACGTCACTAAAAGACATTTTCAAATTTTTTTAAAAAAGTCAACAATTCTCTTTGAACAAAAAAAAAACATTTTTATTTGATTTTATATTCTAAGAAGAAAAATACTGAGTTCAGGACCTCCGTTTTTGTCCGGGTTCATCATGTAAAACGCCTCCGAGTCACGACTCCCCACGACTCGTTCAAATCTACCTCTCATATACAACAACTCTCCAAGCTCCGTTCCACCACCATAACCACCACCGGACACGTCATCATCATCAATACTCTTCGCCGTCGTCGGAATAACCCCTGCTCCAACCGTAACCCTCGAAACCGTGTTCAACACGCGCCAATCCGTCTCTGTACACGCGCCACCACGCGACACCGCGTAGCCGCACTTCCTCCCGTTGCAATACATCGTCCATTTAGGCTCGTGGAAAAGCTTCGTCCCCGGCCGGTGACGTTTCTCGCACTCCAACGCGATCCTGACGAGTCCCGAAGACATCTCTTTGACGAGTGTTGCCGTTGACATGGCCAAGTCCAAGAGCAAGACCGGGTCGGATCTTGGATCGTACTGGACTGAAAACGTGACGTGTCCTCTACGGCGTCCGTACAACGTGCCGGTGACTCTTCTCCCGAGAGAAGACGATCCGCCGGTGACGAGTGAGATCAGTTGGTTAGAAACGCCGGAGGAAGAAGAAGACGGCGGAGAAGGAAGGGAGAGGAATTTGCAAGCGGGAATGTTAATGACGTTGATGAGAGAGCGTAAGAGAGAAGAAAGCTTCAAGTGGAGTTTCCCGATGTTGCGAGAGGAAGAAGACGAGGAGGAGGAGGAGGAGGAGACGGAGGAGCATCTCCGGCAGGGGACGAGGAAGAGTGCGTGCTCAGGGATAGTTGGGATCAAAGCGGACGAGGAAGGTGAACGAACGTGGGAGCCACGCGCCGGAGAAGTCGCCGGGTTGATCTTTCTTGTGTCGCAGCTGAAGCTTCTTTGAAGTGTGAGTTCTTGGTACTGCACCATTCTTTATTTGATATGTTTTGATTGATCCAGTAACAAAAATTTAAGAGAGATTGTTGTATATTTGAGTGTATGTATATTTTGAGGAAAGAAGAAAGGAAGAAAGCGGCCGACCAAAGTGATTATGAGTGTTCGAAGAGGTGTGGCCGATTTGTATGTGTATTTATACACATTTTACATGAATTTTTATTAAAAAAGCATATATTTGTGATTATGTTATTTATTGCCTATCATTTGAGATGCCCCAGTAAAACTAATTAAATACATATTGTTAGTTTATTGGGAATAACGTTAAACAGAAAACATTGAGTTAGTCTAAACAAATATCAGTTTTAGTATATTGCTTATTTTTAGCTACACGCATCGATACTCGTATGTGTATTTCTGTATGTGCTTAGATTATTTTTACCTTAAAACACTTTTGGAGGTAACAATGTTTAAGTATATATATTTATATAGGACTACTGTATTTCTTTTTTTCTTCTTTGGGTATGAATCGTATATTCGTATGATTGATGCGACTACGACTTTGTAGTTTGCTACTTTGGTTCATAAATTATAATAATTCAATATGTCTTTACAAGATAATTTAATTCACCATCATCATTCAAAGTCTCGCCTCCATTCGAAAATCTCAACCGTCTATTATGATGGACCGGGCTAACAAAATATTATCTTTTGGAATAATCCTTTTTAACTTACTTTATATATGAATTTTAATATGTTGACATTCGGATCAGATATTGACAAGGGACAACGCAACTGGAGTCGTTGAACTGTTTGGCTTTAAACGGTGTCGCAGAGATCCATTTCCATGTTGTCCCGGTCGTATGTAGTGATGTGGCCTTTTTTAGGCCGAATAGCGATGTGGCTAATAAATAAAAGAAAAATGTTTTTGCCTAAACAAAATAAATTGAGAGATCTATTTTAAAAAGAAATTAACCTCTGCGCAAAAATCAGCCAATCATGGTAAACTAACACCACAAAGACAGCATATGGCCATATCACCATATGTCAACTTTTTGGGTGAATTCATTCATATATGCAGATTTAAGTACGCGCGCGTGATTATGCAGATTTTAATGTGTGGATGAATTAAATCAAGGATAGTGCAGAGACCTAACTACCTTTGGAGTCATAAGCTAAGTATTTCAAAAATACCGTATACCTCAGATTTCTTTTTTATTTGTGTGTGGTAAACTGTACGTGTTTAGTATAATAACTAGATGAGATTTATAGTGTATGGAGGGAACATCACTACTTGATGACGGTAATATGAACGTATCACGTGAATAATTCAACATCTCACATTATATTGGAATTTACGATTCTAAATAAGAACTTAATCAAAAGAATATCGGAGACAAAGAAAGTAAATATATCAAAAGTGTATGTGTTCAACTATTAGAGAGTCACAAAATTCTTAGAATTGTGTTTGTGACAGTATATTGCATTATCGGTATGGTACTAACCGAAGATGGTCAATAACAGATGATAATTTATGAGCCATCAACTCGTTTCCTAACGGGATTATCTGAATGAGAACGGTTTTCGATTTCAAGAAAAGGAAATGAGTCAAGTAGATCGATCATTCCATCGCTTATTCTCATCGAGCGATAATTCTTAGCCATACTTAACTGATATTGCTTAATTAGACAGTTTGATTGAACCCTGCTAATTTAGAACATACTAAAGTATGAAAACATCAACTACGAATACTTCAACTGTCTTCAAGATCTCGTATTACGTTGAAATGTCAATATTGATTTAGAAATTAATTAAAGGAATATCGAGACAAAGAAGATAAGCACACTAAAAATCTACATACGTGTTCAATACATCTCAAAGTAAGTAGAGAACTACAACAACTTTTATAATTATGTGTTTGTAACAATATGTACATAAATATATTATATATGTGCGCATGTTTTGTTGTTTATATTTTTATGTGTTTAAAGTGTGATGCCACTATGTACCCATAAATTCGCACGTAACCTTGCTTTCATTAGAAAAACCAATTAATTTTTTTAGCACCATAACAATTCTAACTTTCTAAGCTAAAAGTACTAGCTAAACTGCTAAAACATTTATATAATGGATAAATTTGTAAAGGGAGGCTAGTGACGAAATTTGGGCGGTTCCAAATATGAGATATACGATTCCTCGCGTTCATGATATATTGATATGTAAAATGTTGGTTACCTGAATACGTAACAAACCGCAATTGATATGACACGTGGTTTCTTTTATCGACTCATTCAGTCATTTGACACATCTTTAATTGAATTCCACTACGATAAGCATTTGAAGCTATATCTATCATTGTTTAAATGTTTATAGCAAATGTTGGTTAGTAAATTTCGAGGAGCTTCTCTTCTCGAACCATGCAACGTGTAGTTTCCAGAATGTTGGTGTCTCCTTGTAGCCAAAGAAGCCTTTTAAACTCCACCAAATTTTTTTCAAACATATTATACATTTTATACTATATATTGGTTAATCATTATAATGACATATATCGATAAGTAGCTAGGAAACTAGTATGTATGCATACAAAACAATCTCAATCCATTAAATATAATTTTTATCCTTTAATTTTAAATCAAAACATATGGTATTCATTATCATAGTATAACATTTTTGCAATTTTTTTGGAGAAATATACTAGTTGTAGTTTTACCCAAATACTGTTAGAATAAAGGTTTAATAGATTGTTGGAATCCTAACAAGGAAAAATGATTCCTTTAATTAACGTAAAAGAAGAAAAAAAGTCAATGTTAGAAAAAAAAAGACAAGAAAGATTAAAAAAAAATGTGGCACAAGGCAAAAATTAGATTCCTCGGAGACATGGTGTTAATCGAACCAGAGTATTGATGACATTAGTGAAGTTTTAGATAAATCAGCTTAAAAACTTGTTAAGAGAGAACTTTTTTGGGTGACCATGTGCCTATTGGAGCCACCGTTAAGCATATTACCCAATAATGAAGAAAACTGAGTGATGATGGGTAAACCTTTCTTAGACAGTGTTTTGGCACATAAAATTTCGAAAGACCATTGCGACTCTCACAAAACTCAACAGCAGTTCGACCAAATGTTTTGAACTAACCAACTAAGTCTTAAAATCTTGAAAGGAAAGATTTTTTTTTCAAAACCAACACAAATTTAACAAAGTTTTGGCATAAAAATTTTAGTTTTAGCATATCATATCTCTTATCTCAAATAAAATATGTTCATAAACTCTTGAATTCTATAACCCATAACATAGTGGGATAAGAAATTTGAGTCTTGAAACAATATCTTACACTAACAATAAATTAATTAAACCATACATATGGAACGTAGGAAATGTTATAAGTTACACTATCAGTAGTACATATATACTAAGTCACAAAAACAGAAATCTGTCAATGAGTACACACACATATATATATATATATATATATATATAAGTACCGCATTTTACACAAAGCTAAAGCAGAGATGGAGATATCTAGAGCTCATGTCTCCTCCGCTCTGTCCTCACCACTTCCACCACATTTATTATAAGACTGCGAAAAAGTAGATTCCTCATCAGAACTTCCTTGATCCATCATTTAGTGAACATTTTTACCTGTTGTTTATGCAAATAAACATATAAGATAAACCTATAGGCTTTATAGCATTCATATTTTGACTAATTGCTAGGACGAAGTTAAACTGTATATATGATGATGAGTAAATTATTAATTACGTCATAAACCAAATAAATAAAGAATTTAAATGTCATTCAAAACTTTACAAAAGAATGGTATACTTTCATCTTATTCTTCTCTATGTAACAAGTAAACGAGGAACTTCCTCTCTAGACCTCCTTCTAATGGAGAAATCATAAGAACGAATTAAAGTTTCTCTGAATCTTCTCAAGTCAAGCTTCACGTTTTGTCCCTGTAGATAGATTTTCTTCGTATATTCCCATCCTTTATCGTTGAGACTATCCGGATCTCGTATGATGGGATCATCTTTGCCATATTCATCATACAAAGAGCTCTCTTTCGGTGTAATCTTGTATCCAACGTACTTCAATCCCAGCTTCTTTGCCGGTTCACCATAGTATGTTTCTGCCGCCCAATCAGTCCCTAACGGAACTATCTGAATGAAAACTGTTTTCGGTTTCAAGAAAAGGAAATGAGTCATTGCAGCTCCATGTACACCGATCATTACATCGCTTGTGTTCATCGAGCGATAAATCTTAGCCATCTCTGTTCTTTTGTCCGGTCTTAGAACCTCGACACTGAACCCGGTTTCTTCTGCTACCTTCACAAGAAGATTCTCGTTTAGTATCGCCCTCGAGGAACCGTTTCTTGACAGAATCACCAGCTTCGGCTTCTTCAAGTCAAGTGATGTTGTTGTCGTCTCTTTCGCCTCTGTTTCCTCCTGAATCAAGCTTTGTATACGAGGCGAATAAGCTCGGTCCAAAACGTTTCTGAAATCAACAATGGTTTGATTCTCATTAACCATTAGCGTAGAATTCACTGTTAACTCGTCGTGAATACGTAAACCAACAGTAGCTTCCTTGAAACAATGTGTTCTTGAATCTCCATTGAAATCAACCAGTGGATAATCCGAGAGCTGCGAGACGATGTCTCCGTATTTCATCTCCCACCAATCGTGATACTCGACGATCACAAACACAACCTTTTTGTTGAAATGTTGTGAAGTTATAAACAAAGGGATGATCCCGTCGTTGAACTCGTGATAAACGTTTCCGGTGTATCCTCCCGTGGAGAAGAACACTGCAGGAACATCGTGGTACACGTCGCAGACACGATCTGAGGAACTGTTTGAATCTTTGGTGATGAGGTTGAGTTCTTGAACAGTGTCCATCACACTAGTCTCCCATTTTCTGGTGTAAGGTTTGATCTTTTCGGGATTTGTGTTGTTCTTGGTGGATGTGAAGAGAAATACTGACGAAGAAGCAGAGTTTGTTCGAACATCGCCTTTCATTACACAGATGTCGGATCTCAATCCGGTTCTGTCACAACAAATGGTTCCTACACAGATTTGAAGAATCAGTAACCGTAAGTTTGTGGAAGTTTTTCATAGATTACACAAAGTTTTAGTTTCTAATTTCTAAATTAAGACAACAGAAAAAGAGCTGTTCTGTTTCTTGATTCTTTTAACAAAAGAAAAAGAGAACTGTTTCTGGCTTTTCGTAAACAAACAATTTCGGATTGAATTTGAAAAATAAATTAAAACACTAACCATTGGAGATACACTAACCATTGGAGATATCTGAGCAGAGAGGTGCAGTGGATGGCTCGTAAGAACTAAGAGCTTCGCTTTCTCTGCTAAACGAATCTGCGGAAGAGGAAGAAGAGAAGGATGATTGATAAAACAGAAGAAAAACAGAAATACAAACTCTAAAGAGAAAAAAAAAAAAAGATGATTGTGTGTGTGAGAGAGAGATGATAGTCATACATACCTAGGAGAGAGAGAGTGGAGAAGCCGAAGAGGTAAGGAGACATGACGAAACAGAAAGAAAGGATAGAGAGGAAGAGAAGAGAGAGAAATTTTTGTTTAGCTCTCTTCAAGCCACCAACTTCCTCTACTGAAACTCTAAACCTCTCTTCTTTTCTTCCATGGTGGATGATTAATCTCTGATACTGAACCATCTTCTCAGGGAAGTACAAAGAGAGGGAAAAAGCACAAACCCAGAACCCAAGTTTTGATTTTGACGAAGGGTTTGATCAATTTGGTGTCGATTCAGAAAAACGCAAAGGAATTCACCGGAACCTAATTTCTATAATCACAAATAAAGAACTTTTCTTCGGGAGGAAGGATAGAAAGAGAGGTGTCTCTGAGGATTTAAAGATAGACTTTTGATACAGACACGCAAGACTTTTGATACAGACACGCAAGACTTTTGATACATTATTATACATAAAGCATATATATACATACAAATATTAAACGAGTAAAACTATGAAAGGAATTATTTTAAATATTTTTTGTAAGGATTTTAAAAATTTGGGGTTTAGTGGACTTCCCTCTGGTTTTCTGGTAAGAACACGGAAACCACAGAGAGGAGATGGCTGTCAAGTGTTTGGTCAAAGTCAAATAATTAGGCCTTTTTTTTTTTTTTGGTTACATCGTACCTCCGATTTTTTTCTCTTTTTTTTTTGCGTGAATTTACCCCTACAATTATCATACAATTAATGAATTTATTTTGGTGAGATAGGGAAACAAAGAAGAAAGCTAGTGACTGATTATTTCGATTGGAATCGAAGTTACACAAAAAACGGCACAGCATTTGGTCACGTGGGCATGAAACGGCGTCAAGTTTAAAGGTTCATATGTAGATTCTTGTTGATCATGTGGCATGTGCATAACGCCGAACATCTGCTTTGACAATAAATTTTGGGATGTATAAGCTACTTTACAAAAGGCAATGAGTTGTATCTTTGCCGATTATTAGAGCAATTATTTACCATAAAAAATGCAAAAATAAAATGAACATGTCAACCCTTCCAAGTTCCATTGATTTCCAAAAACTCAGACGATAGATTGTTAGATTTTTTTTGTTCTCTTCTTATGTTCCATTTTTATATAAATTTATGCCCTGCATATTGTCGGATAATGATTTTTTTGTTGTTGTATTGAAGTAGCTAAAGAGAAGTATCCAATGTTATAAGAAATATGTTAAGCGCTATTTAGAATTTTAGATGGTAGCTTAACGTCTAATGTCTAAACCGCTTAGTGGACATCTAAGCATAGATGATCTTATAGGCCACACTAGAACATAAATACAGTATTTTTTTAAGGTAAAACACACAAACATAAATATAGTACGTACTGTGTTTATGGTAAAGATTAAATATAATTATAAAGTCCTCGACACAAGGCCGCCGCATTGTTGGAAAATGGTTCCACATGTTGGTTCAGAATTCAGGGAATCAAACAAAATGAGTTTTCATTAGGAAGACGCGGTCTCCTCAGATTCTTCTCTTAATTCAAGGCTAATCGATTACTCGGATGTGCAAATTCACCATAACGGCTCTCTTTTTTTTTCTTTCCCTTTTTCAAACTGTGGTTTAATTTGATTCTTTTTCACCAACAAATCACAAAAAGGTAGTATATAGATTGGTGAATTGGTTTCCTTTATGGTGTTTATACTGACTAATTTGCTGCCGCTCGCGTATGCTAAACATGAATTAATACAACTTAAGTCATCTTCTACGTCGAAAACCTTATTTTAGTATACTTCTCCGGGGTTTTATTGCTTTTGTATTCTGTAAATTTATGTTTTTGTGTGGTTTATAAATTATACTATTACTACGTAATTTAGTTAAAAATAACAGAAAACCTACTATCAACCTACATATTCAAATAAAAATTTCTCTTGTTATTCGATATGAACCGGTGAATATATGTTTGCCCAAGTGGGTAAAGTCATCTTCTCGCAACTACATATTTCTTATATATCCCAGGCTATTCACATGCCTTACTCTGCTAATTAAACTATTTGCCATTTTCACATTGAAAACACTCAAATAAACGACTCAGAAGCGAATGTTAAAGCATACAAATTAATTATAGTCACTAACGATTTGGTATTATTAGTTGAAATTTGAACAAAGTTTAACACTGTGTTTTCTTGAGTTCCTTACGCTCGCCTCTATGCATGAATCTCTCCTTTTATTAATGTTTTTTTGTTTGTTGAAATACAAATTATTTAGGAGCTTTTTAATACCCCAAAAAGAACTAGGAGCTTGTAAAAACGGCTCGTAGATAGATAGGAGATCCTGAAAAAATAAAAAATAGATAGAATTCAAAAAAGCTCTCTAATTTGCAACCATAAGAAGTTATGTTTTTTGCAAAACGGCCAAAATTGCCGGATGGACATGAGTCAATTTAAGCAGACAATCCATCTTATTTGCATACTGGTTTTCTGGCTGATCATGCCCGAATGTTTCATAATTTGGTAAATGAAAACCAGAAAAACGATGTTCAAATTGAATCCCTTTATATATTCGCACGGCATAGATTTACAAGTAATTAAATTCGAATCTGAGACACTTAATGATTATTTGTAAACAATACAAACATTAGATACAATTCTCCCTTTGCGTGATTCATAACTTAAATATAAAAGATTTTAGTCCTAAATGTAATACTTATACCTGACTTCCTGAGTATATTTAGATATTATTTTTTTTTTTTGTTAAAAGGTCTTATATATAGATTTTCTTCTTCCAAAGGTTGTGAACTCATATAACATGGATATAAATCCAAAGTATTCATATTTTAGTATTCATATTTTAATCATAAAATCTTAAGTATTCAGATTTTAGTAGTTTAGTCTATAAATTTTGTGAAGACACGTATAGAAAGGGGTGATACGTCAACTTCAGAGCAAAATATCAATATGTCTCACGTACTAATGTCTAGCCTATTTGAGGAATAAAATTACCCAATAATATTATTTGGTTTTCTGTATGTTGAATGTATACTGAGCCAAGTTCAATGGGACAATTAGTGACCCGAATGTGGATAAGATTAGTACCAAGTCAATGCCAGTTTATATCTGTTCCTATATCCAAACACGACAAGTTTATATTCGTTCCTATATCCAAACGCTTGTAGTAATATCTTCCAACTAAATCCAACACATGCGACCGGTATGACTTCCCTAACAAGTCACTTGTTTCTTTTTCTTCTGTCCTCCTAAAACGGACAAGCAAGCTACAAAAAGAAAAAAACAAACGTCAATCGCTGGAGAAAATAAACTGACCGTCCGATTGATTATTAATGGGTCCCACTAAAAGCTACGATCCAGATCTTCTCGCTTAGGTGCACCTCAATACATCTCCAATTGCTCCCCAATCTCATTTGTCTATAAAATGGGAAACAAACCTACGGATTCTCTGCTTCTTCTCCACATATCCATCGTGTTGCGTTTCTGCATTAATTGTCTCTCCGAAGAAGAAGACGAGAAGACTAAGAAAGAAATCGGAGGACATCTGTAACCGATTAAGATCTATTAGGGTTTTTCTGTGTGGTTGATTTAGGGTTTCCTTGATCATGTCGGATGCGTATTGTACGGATTGCAAGAGGGAGACGGAGCTGGTGTTCGATCACTCCGCCGGAGACACCCTTTGCTCCGAGTGTGGTTTGGTTTTGGAATCGCACTCGATCGATGAGACCTCCGAGTGGCGTACCTTCGCCAATGAGTCCTCCAACAGCGATCCAAATCGTGTCGGTGGTCCGACCAACCCTCTTCTCGCCGATAGTGCTCTCACCACTGTAATCGCAAAGCCCAACGGTGCCTCCGGCGATTTCTTGTCTAATTCTCTCGGGAGGTGGCAGAATCGTAACGCCAATTCCGATCGTGGCCTGATCCAAGCTTTTAAAACCATTGCCACTATGTCCGAGAGGTAGTGCCGATTCTGATTGATTCCGCTAAATTTCCCTTTTGAGATCCTTTTCTCGCAGATTTTCGTATTGGCTCTGAGAATTGGATCGGATCCTTTTTAGAGCTAAACGAGTATTTGCGGGTGTCTCCTGGTTTATACGAGTAATTTTCTAGCTTGGAGATTGATTTTGTATGTCCTGATTTCTGTGTGGCGGATCCACCTCCTTCATAAGTATTACCATTCATTGATTCCGATTGCTTATGTGTTTTGATTTATCCATGCTTGATGCCTGTTTGCAAAGAATCACTCGTTTAAGAAATCGCATTGGCAATAACATAACTAAAGGGGGTTCCTTTTTGTGATGTTGCTGCTTTTGGTGTATAGTGTTTATCAATATTGCCAGATTCGTGTGAGAGTACTTACTTGTTGATCCTTTTTTTTCCAGGTTGAACCTTGTTGCAACTATCAAGGTAAGCTTGTTCATCTTTGTTAATCTTGCGTGGTATCCAGTATGTGATTTTGAAGCTTATTATTTACGGATTTGGTGGGTTTTCTCTGATATGTAGGATCGGGCTAATGAGATATTTAAGAGGCTGGAGGATCAAAAGTCAAGCAGAGGAAGGAATCAGGATGCACTCTTTGCAGCCTGCTTGTACATTTCCTGTAGACAGGAGGACAAGCCACGGACTATTAAGGGTACAGTTCAAAGGTTTATCAATTGAGAGAGTCTGGTTCCCTCTTGATATTAGCTTTTGCCATAAGTCAATCAAATTCCTGAACCTTGTGAATAGAAATCTGCTCTGTTGCCAATGGAGCAACAAAGAAGGAAATTGGACGAGCAAAAGACTACATAGTTAAAACATTGGGTCTGGAGACCGGCCAGTCTGTGGAATTGGGAACTATACACGCTGGTGATTTCATGGTCGGTTTTGACTCGATACCTTTAACTTGATATGCTACTGTTGGTGTTTGTTGCCTTGTATTAACATTGCTCTCTTCTTGCTGATATCGCAGAGAAGGTTCTGCTCTAACCTTGGAATGTCTCATCAAGCGGTTAAAGCTGCTCAGGAAGCTGTGGCAAAATCTGAGGAGTTTGATATACGGTACATTTCATTTCATTCGCAGATTCCGTTGCTTAGTAGGCACAGCAGAACCTTTACAGATTCTTTATTGGCATCTTGCAGGAGGAGTCCAATATCAATAGCAGCAGTAGTTATATATATCATAACCCAGCTTTCTGAAGACAAGAAGCCACTCAAAGGTTTGTGTGGTTATTTTTTGTATGTTTTGTTTCGGGCACAGAGGTATAGAAGAAATCTCAGACTGGTTAATGTTTGGGGTGCAGATATATCGCTAGCGACAGGAGTAGCAGAAGGGACGATAAGAAATTCATACAAAGACTTGTACCCTCATCTTACAAAGATAGCACCAAGTTGGTATGCTAAGGAAGAGGACCTTAAAAACCTCTCAAGTCCTTGAGAATCTTTCTTTGTTCATCAATGCAATAGAGACCTATCTATATATCTCTATCGAGGAAGATACAAAGCAAGTGTTGTCTCGAGTAGAGAGGCTTTTGGTTTTTTCAATTTCTTTTTTTGGAGTCCTTTGTTAAGAATTCTTGTAATGCGTTTAAGACTTAAAAAAAAAAAAACAAAAATTTCATAGTAAGAAAAGAAGGTTTTTGATTCACTTTTATTTCTCAATCGTTATCCGTATTCCGTAAAGAAAGAAAAATGGCGAGGAAGAAGACTTCGCATTTTGTTGTGGTTGAAAGCTAAAACTTATAACTGCCACGGCCGAAAGGTAAAGCTTTATAACTGCCGTGGCCGAAAGGTAATAAAAAGCCATGAAAACTCACGACAATAATTTTTACATGTTACATCTTCAGACGCCAAGACAACGTTAAATGAGTTTGGATTTTGTGGTTTTCTGACAACTTAAATCTAAAAAAAGAAAAAAAACAAGTACAATATCTCATAGTGCATTTTACAATAATTAAAAAACTAAAAATAATTAGGGCAAGAAAAGTCCACATGTTTAACCAAAAGAAAAAAAAGTCCCATATGATAGCGAAATTACTTGTGCTATTACAGAGTTATAGAGCTCGTTACTGAAAGAGTAAAAAACATAAATGATAAAAAAAAAAACAGAGAATAAAAAAGTTTTAAATCCCAAAAACCCTCTCCTTGCTTCTCCGACTGACAATGGCGAACGACCAAGAGATGAGTGGTTGGACTGATCTTCTCCATTCTTCTTCGAAGCTTTTGGAGCAAGCTGCTCCTTCGTCTCAGTTTCCTCCTCTTCAGGTTCGCTTTCCGCTGCTTTTATTTTTCTTCTCATCCGATTTCCCTCTGGTTTCTCCGGATTTCGTTTGTCATGTTTGTTTCTCCAGATTAGTACGATTGAATTATGTCTGTGTTGCTATCAGAGAAATTTAGATCAATTGGAAGCGTTATCGAAGAAGCTCAAAGCTAAAACCCTAAGGAATGAAGCTCCTTCTCAGTCTATTGCTGCCACTAGGTAATCCCTTTTTCTTAAATCCTCGAATGCTTTTTGCTTCAGTTTTTTTTTTTTCTCAGCCACTTGGTATTTGATTGGGGGTGGGGAAATGAAATTCTCCGAAGTCCGTAGTGCCAGAAACAGTAGCAATGTCTTTGAGTTAGTTTTTTCGTAGAAATTGTTTATCTTCCATTGTTGAACTTGTAAAAGGGAGTAGCTAGTCCCCACGAGCAAGAGATGATTCTGTGTGTTTATTTTCGTTCGAGTTTTGCAGACTACTCGCACGGGAGGGAATCAATGCAGAGCAACTAGCTCGTGATCTAAAATCTTTTGAATTGAAGGTGAAGATTTTCTTATTCTATAATTCATCTTAGCTTACTAAGCTTATTGGCTGCATACGTTTCTTGAACGATTACTTTGTATATTGGTGGTTTTTGCTTTGAGATAAGAAAGTACAATATGAATAGGTAGTTTTGTTTTTACTTGAGGTAATACATATTTCATATAAAAAAAAATCTCCTTCGTTAGCTGTCTTAGCCAACGGATTCATGACTAGTTGCTGTTTCATGACCTTGTCCTTTGGTCCGTTTATTAATATTGTAAGGAGTTGGAGTCGTACTGTGTTTTACACATCTCTCAGCTTGCTGCCTGCTTTTCAGTTGTGATTATTCAATCCGGCATTACGTGATGTTTCTTTCTTTGATACTCTTTGAAGACAACATTTGAGGAAGTGTTCCCTGCTGAGGCTACAAGCGTCGAAGAATACCTGCAACAGGTACTTCCATCTCTCGACGGTTTTCTAAAGTTTACTATTTTTATAGATTAATTCTCTTGACGATCACTGACCGTTATGATGTGTGATTTTTGTTTTTCTTAGGTTCATGAAATGGCTATGGTATCAGCTATACAAGAAGGCCAAAAGGATAATGTTCGAAGCTTTAATGATTACATGATGAAAGTGCTGGAGGTTTGCATTCTGTCTATCCATATTTCCATCTTTGATTATATGCTTCCTTTCTTTTTCCTCCTAGACTTTTGTTTCTTCCCAGTATGCTTTTGCATACAAACATTGATAAGTCAGTAGTTGTCTGAAATAGAGGCGCGTATTTTGTTCTTTCCTACTTAATAGTCGTCTATACGGATTGAACCATGCAACTAGCTATTGAAGGAGGCTTTTGTTGGCTAGATAATTTGCTTATTGATATCTTAGAAGGATGTGCATGCTGATTTTTCAAATATTGGATGTGAATCTGAAATGACAGGAGGATTGGAGAAAAGAAAAACGTGACTTCCTTCAGAGCCTTAGCAGGATATCAATGTTACCTAAGACGAATATGATTGATACAAGCAGAGAGGCTAATGCTGGTCAACTAGTGCCGGTGGCTTCGAGTCCTCGAGTATCCTCAACACCAGGCAAAGAACTTGTGGCTCTGGCTAGCATACCCATTCATGAGAAAAAAGCATATGTCTATGGAGAGGTTGTGAAGAAACTTAACACTTCAAGAGAACGAGGCTTGCCATTTAGAGTACGGATTTCTCATTTCCTAGACCTTGTCTTGAAATTTAGTACTTGTTCATTTTGCTTAAGAATCAAGATCCCGTTTGAGTACAGCTGAAAAATATTCTTTTTCCTCAGCTACTTTTAGAAGTCCAGCTAGAATTCCCTATTTTTTTATTTGTATGCATTCTACCTTTTGATGACGATTTACATACAGTATTTATTGTTTGGGTGTTCTTGCTACTGATCCCAATTCATACTTTTGTATAGCCTGCAATGAGTTTTAAGGACGCTTATGAATCTCTTGGTGTTGAGGTAACTCGTGGAAAGTCAGTCAACATGCAGAAAATATGGCAGCTTGTTCAGGTAATCTTTTGAACGGAAACTATTTCTGTTTTTTTCGTTTTCATGCAAATTATTTCTGATTGTTGACAAAAATTTTCCAGGCAATAACAGGTGAAGACTCAGCAGTTCGACAGGGTGTTTCGAAGAGGATGTCCCTCGCTATAGGTGCAAGACGTCATTTACAACGTGGGCATGAGAAACATATAATGGACACAATTCAAAGTCACCCTACACAAGTATTCAATTCTGTCTCGTTTGTATTATTTTGTAGTTGATTCTACATGTATGTCGATGCATCTTTTGATTACCCTCTAATTCAACTGGTTGGGTGCTGTCTGAAATAATCCTTGATCTTTCAATTCTATTTCAAAAGTGTTGATAATCATTCTGACATATGCCTTGCTTTTCTAATCCTGTTTTAGGCTTCTCTAGGTGGATCTGTTGGAAATTTGCAAAGAATTCGTGCTTTCCTTCGGGTTAGTTTCAGACTTTATAGAGCTTAAACGCATCAGATGTTCAGACTTCAAAATTCTAACAGCTATTTAGCTTTCTTATTTCTTGTTTTCTCTACTCTGCAGATTCGTTTGAAAGAATATGGAATTTTAGATTTTGATTCACCTGATGCCCGTAGGCAGCCTCCTGTTGATACGACTTGGCAACAGGTTTTTGATAATTTTTCTTGCACTTTGAATTTAATCTTCGTCCTCAACATTTAATTGAGATGTAGAGGTTGACATTGTGGACCTGCAGGCCTGTTTGTTTGGAATAATTGATATCTATCTCTTGAATCTCAGATATACTTTTGCTTACGAACCGGGTATTACGAGGAAGCTAGGGATATTGCTCGATCAACTCGGTCATCTCAGCAATTTGCACCACTGGTAGGTCTTCTTTAGAGCCTAGTATATCTTCAAGAGTTTTGGAATCAGCACTTTGGTTACCTTTCCTCTTTGCAGCTTACAGAGTGGATTACCACAGATGGTATGGTGGCTGCAGAGACTGCAGCTATTGCATCAGAAGAATGTGAGAAAATGCTAAGAATGGGTGACCGGTTGGGTAGAACCGCATATGACAAGAAGAAACTCCTACTCTACACCATCATCTCTGGTTCCCGCAGGCAAATTGAGCGCATACTGAGGGATCTGTCGACACTCTTCAACACAATTGAGGATTTCTTATGGTTCAAATTATCATGCATCAGAGACGTTGCTGGTGGATCTTCATCTGTGGTCTTGAATGATGGCCTCGCGCCGTACAGTTTAGATGATCTTCAGGCTTATCTCAATAAATTTGAGCCTTCATACTACACGAAGAACGGAAAAGACCCCTTGGTATATCCATATGTTTTGCTTCTCAGCATTCAGTTGCTTCCCGCTATCATGCACTTATCCAAAGAGGCAGGAGACGGAGGGTATAATATTGATGCTGTTCATATAGCTATTTCTCTAGTGGACCATTCCGTTTTATCTGAAGGCTCTGGGACTGGCCACAAACTAAGCGTGATGGATGCTAATGCTGAGGCATCTAGCATGATTAGGCAATATGGGTCAATGTTTTTGCATCACGGGGATCTCCAAATGACGGTAGAGTATTATGCACAAGCTGCTGTTACTGTAGGCGGGGGACAACTAGCTTGGTCTGGAAGAAGTAATGTGGATCAACAGAGGCAGAGAAACTTAATGCTGAAGCAGCTACTGACTGAGATTCTTCTGCGAGAGGGTGGTATTTACTTTTTGCTTGGGGCAAGAGGTTCTGGTGAAGAAGGTCAGCTTGGAAGGTTTTTCCCTGATTCTAGATTGAGACAACAGTTCTTGATTGAAGCTGCACATCAATGTCAAGATGCTGGATTATATGACAAAGTAAGTAGCTACTAATCCCATCTTACATTGCCTAGAGCTTACTCTGTCTCGATCTTTTAATAGAGCTTTCACAATGTTTTCCATATTCTCAGTCCATCGAAATACAGAAGAGAGTGGGTGCATTTTCGGCGGCCTTGGAGACTATAAACAGGTGTCTATCTGAAGCCATTTGTTCTCTTGCCCGTGGAAGGTTGGATGGTGAAAGCCGAACATCAGGGCTTATCCTCGCGGGAAACGATATTCTTCAGACTTACAAATATTACCCTGAAGTCAGGTAATATTGTTGCAGGCTAGAAATCATTTATCTACTTTGCTTCAAGTTGACAATGTGCTCAAAGAGTTTGTTTGGCACTCACAGTCTTCAGGAAAGAGAGCGAGTGCTGGAACAAGAAACCATACTAAGAGAGCTCGAGGCAATACTATCGATCCACAAGTTAGGTAGACAAGGCAATCATCTGGATGCTTTGAGGGAAATTGCGAAACTTCCATTTCTTCAACTTGATCCAAGAGTGCCCGATGCAACCACTGATATATTTCAGAGCGCATCTCCATACTTCCAGACATGTGTCCCGGACCTGCTCAAAGTTGCGATAACTTGTCTGGACAATGTACCTGACACTGATGGATCGATCCGTGCCATGAGATCAAAGGTACATAAACTAACGAAAAACATATATTTTTGATCGAGTCTATGTTATTACAAATCCATGAAACTTTACTCTCTGATTTTTTTTTGGCAGATTGCTGGGTTTCTTGCAAGCAACACGCACCGGAACTGGCCTCGTGACTTGTACGAGAAGGTGGCTCGAAGCTTTTGAACATTTTTGGCTCATATTCCAAAGTTGTTGTCTTAAATCTTGTCTTAAATTTGAAATTTTAAAGAAAAGCAGATGTGAAATTTTGTCTCAATTTTTGTCTTCATTAGTCCTATAACTGGCCTTCGTATGGGAAATATATTGAGGATAATATGTAAAAAATGAAAATTGTGGCTTGTGGATTCGAACTTGTGGGGGTAATGCCACTTAGACCATTAATCCAAAAAATTCGTTAATGCGAACCTCGCTGTACAAAACCGAACCGGACCGGGTTCGAACGATTTGGATTACTTTTTCTTTTTGATTGAAAAGCCGGTTTCGGAGGAGAGAAGAAGAAAAGTGTCTAACGCGAGAGAGATGAGGAAGGTGAAATCGCTTCTGAAACGAGGGCTCAAAATTGTTGAGGATGGCGTTTTGCTAGAGATCCTCCAATCTGAAATTCGTCACGAACTCTCCAATCCTCGTTTCCTGGTAATCCTTCTTTCTCTCTCGCTCTCTCTCTCTCAGTAATCTCTCAGTTGAGTTCTCGATCAACATTTGTTCGACCTTGGCTCTAATACTCTTAAATGTTTCTGAGATGATGAATTCGTGTTTCCGAGATGGACGAATTTGGTGTTGGCTCGCTTAAACCCCTAAATGGCTTTTAAGTAGATTTGTGATTTTGCTTTGTGACTGAACCCAGGGAGCTGAGACCGGTAGTCTAGGAGATTTCAAATTGGATTGGGATTCTTCGGAAAGTCAAGATATTGTTCTGAGGAGACGATTTGATTCAGGCGAGGAAGTTGTGGTCTCAGCTTTATTGCAACGTGAAGTCGTCGAAGAAGCTGATACAACATTTCCCAGGGAAGCTGTGGCCAAAGTGTGTATCAGAAAGCCTGGAATCAGCTCCATCCTCAAGTTTGATTGCCAGGTTTTTGAATTAGGATCAAGCTCTGATTTTAACATCGAAAGAGCCTACTTTATCCGCTCTTTAGCTTCTTCGCGTTCTTCGACTTACGAAGAGGGCTTTTACAGGTATAATCACTTAATATCTGAGCTCATATCAATCTCACAAATTTTTCTTCTGCTCTTTAGTGTTTAAGTTACTTGAATCTTACACAAGTTCCTCTTTTTAATGGCAAAACTACTATTGAAAACTTACCAAATTCATCGAATGGCACTCTTTGATTCTTATGTCTATATAGAATCGTTATGTCTTTATAATTTTTCTCGATATAAATGACATTTTCTTCTTCTTTTGGTTCTTTAGGTCATTGGATCCCAAACTACAGTCTGCACTGAGGGATTACCTAACATCGAAGGGAATCGGTGAAAGCCTAACGAATTTCCTCTTGTGTCATTTGAACAAAAAGGAACAGGATCAGTACGTTAACTGGTTACGCAAGCTTGAATCAACAATGTCACACTCTCTAAAGCCGTGACCTGTTCACTTCATTTGCTCATTTGTTTTTTTTTTGCCTTCTTGGAATTTTCTTGCAATGGTAATGACCCTGAGAGTAACATTATTTCTATGTAGCTTTGCCATGGTTTTTTTTTTTTTTTTTTTTCAGGAATTTAATTGACAAAATAGAGTGTATCAGTGTATTCCCAACAAATGGGACCCCAAATGTTATGCTTTGGAAATCGTCAAGCAAGCTTGGTTTTTCCCAAATGATTTGTTTTTCTGAAGGAATAATTCATATCCATACTACATGTATTATTCACACAGAAATTTTTTTGACTTCTGATAAGAACTTCGATTGCTCTAAAATTTCACATTGTGTGGGGTATATTTTCGTTTCTAAATTTTGTTTTACATTCAAGAAATGTAGTATCTTGGGTAAAAGTTTTGGTGACATGTATGCACCGAAAAATGTATTTGATTTTTTTTTTTTTTTTGTGGTTTCCAATTTCCATAGCCGTAAAGGTTTGGAAGTAACAAAAGGCTAGAAGAAAAGGAATAAAAATAAACTTTTCAAAAACCAAAAAGACGAATGAGAACAAAAATTCCGACCACGGCAGCGCCAAGTGCTCCACGATCCAAGCATCTCTCCCGTCTGAGGGTTTTTCTTATCCATTATTTACTAAAACTAAACTAAAGCAACATGTTTTTTTCAATCAATTGTTATTACAAATTTAATCTGCCGAATCTTGGACGACTGTTAATTTTCAGACGAGTAGTTTCTATGAAACAATTGTATAATAATAACAAGTGGAATCATAAGAAAAAAACAAGAGGAAAAGAAAATGAATTCTGGAGGAATATATTCTTCTCTTTTCCATCCTCATAAGCTTTGTAGAGGAATTTTTTCTTTCTTTTTCTCTCTTTCTCTCGTAAATACCCTTTTTTCTGCTCATCAGCAAAAAAAAGTTCAAAAAGGAAAGGAAATTCTTAATTGGTGAAAACAAATATAGAATTTTGAGTCAAACTCAATGCTACTGAAAAAAAGAGCACTTCCATTAGTACAACCAGTCAAAAGTCTTAAAAATGTTGCATGAATCACAGTAAAACTAAAACAATATTTGATGGTAGTAGTCGTAGGACGTATAATTGTTGTTTACTAATTGTATATGTTTAATCACTCTCGGAAACACAAATATGTTATCGTTAGTAGCTTACACACGTGACATATCATAGATAATAGCAAATTGGTTAAATAAAAAGCAATAGATCTTGAGGCTTCAATGCAGAGACAAAAAAAAAATATATTCGCCCGGGTCGGATTGATCCCGGTTTAAGAATGAGACGAGACGACAATGAAAATCAATGAAGGCAATATGGGCCCTACCCGAGTATACGATCCGACTGATACGAGTCGGGTTTGGGTCATTTATAAAATGCAACCATCAGTCTTCACAAAGAAGACCCATTGCTAGAGAGAACAAGTGTAAAGAAGGCTCAGTCCTCTGTCTCTCTCTCATCAGCTGCCTTCGCGCCGGCGAAGTTATCCTCTTGTACATAAACAGCTTTTCTCAGTCGATTTCCGACAGAGTGAGAAACAGAGGAGTGAGATAGATTGAGAAATGTCGAATTTGCTCAAGGATTTCGAGGTTGACCCTAAGAATCCGTCGCTGGAAGCGCGTCAGCGATGGAGGTCCTCAGTCTCTGTTGTGAAGAACCGTGCTCGTCGTTTTCGTAACATCCGCGACCTCGATAAGCTCGTTGAATTCGAGACTAAGAGGCACCAGATCCAGGTTTCGGATTTTTTTTCTCTGTTCTTTTCTTTGGTGTTTCTGTTTTCTTGATGTCGTTTGTTCATAACCAATGGAATATTGTGATTATGGTTCTGCTCTTTCCATCGTTTCTTTGTTATGATTCTGATTTTCTTGAGTATGATTGATTTTCTCTCAGAGTAAAAGCCTTAAAATATTTGGGAAACTTATTTGGTTAAATGTTTTAACTAATTCTACTCATTGAAAGTTTTTTTTTTTTTTTTTGCCAGTGATGATCCGTAGGAAATGACTATAAATAGAAAGGCTTAGTTGTTATTTTTTCAAAGTTTAATCAGCTTTTTTTTAACTTTTGATCTTTAAATTAAACACCTTTTTTTTCTATTTTGCCAAAGTAAATTTCTTTTCTTTTTCCCACTACTTTTAATTAGCCAAAGAGATAGGAAAGCACAAAATAGAAAGAAATGGATGTTGTACTTCTCTTTTATGATATTCATGAAAATCTATTTCAGTTTTTTTTTTCTTTCCATTTTTAGTCAATATACACAATATATTCTGCTCGTTGAAATTTGGGCGTAATAGAGAAGTTGCTAGTCTTGTACTTCGATGACCGAGAAATGGAGATTTTGAACACAACTCAGGGAAATACGAATTAATATCCTAATGATGACTGATTTCTTTCGGCGTTATCTGTGTACGTAATTTTCAATTGCGGAAGCCAAATAAAGATAACAATTTCAATTGCCAACGCACATTATGGTGACATCAAGTTGCGTCAAGATTCAGTGTCCTAGTGTGTGTTTACAAGTGGGATCATTTCTTGTCTCTACTTAAGAATATGAGCCAATTTTTGAGAGGCCCATAAAAGTCCGACCTTTTTTTTTAGTTTTTTTTACTATTCTTGGCAATCTTAACGCCTGAATCCAAACACCAAAGGACGAATTCTAGTACCAATACATCTGCTTTTTTATATGACACTAGAGTTGAGTCCGCGCGGATTTTAGTTTATATTTGTGTTTTTATTTGTTTTATGTGCTATATTTTAAAATACATGTTATTTGATAATTTTTTTTCTTAATTTAATAGTTGTTTTTTATATTTGCATTGTGTTAACAATGTTTATGTTCTGTTAGTTATTCTTATTAGTATTTTTATATATGATCAAATTTCTTTTAATTATGCTATTAATTATTTTTGTGTGCTTTTATATTTTGTATCACTATTGTGTGATTCTAATTATTTTTTATAAACATTATTTTTATTTTTTTAATTTATACTTTGTGCGTTGTGAAAAATATTATTTTTAATCTGCTATTATTTAAAACTGTTGAACAGTTAATTCATCATATGTATATATTTTTTTTCTTTTTTTCTCATTCTTTATCTTTATATTCTCATAGTTTGTTATCTTTATCTTATGTTTTCTTTTCTTATTTTTAGCATCTTTGTTTTCGTATTTTCTAAAATTTCTTTTCATTAGTTTCGTCTTCTTTCGTCTTTTTTTTTTTCAAATTTCTCTTCATGGTTTTCGAGTTTTACATCTTCTTCTTTTTATGATATTATTTCGTCTTTATTTACATATTTTTAATATATTTTGATCTCTCTTCTTTCTTCTATTTTTTATTATTTTTCATCAACTTTTGGGTTTTTTGAGTATCATCATTTTCTCTAACTCTTTTTTCAGTTTAATAATATATATTTTATAATAAAATCTATATAATTTTAATCCAGTTAGTATTACAATTTTCTTTAATTATTAATTATACTAAATATATTAATATTAAGTATAAATATATGTATTGAATGCACCTTTTAAATATGTTTTAATATTAAAATTTATGGATTTGCTGATGTGGACACTCTAAATGGAGAGAAAACTCTCCTATTATATAATAGAATCGCAGTTTTTATTTTCTATAAATCAATTTTTATTTTAAAATTTTTTTGACTTATGGTACGAGTACGACAGTCTCTTAGACTTCTTGTGTGCAATTATTTAGCGTAAGGAAGTTGCTAGGAAGCTTCTCCAGGTGTGTATTCATATCAATTTTATTTGTCCACTTGCCATAAACCATTCAAAGAAGCATTTTTGAGATTCTTTTAGATATGAACCCATGTTGGTCTTATTCTCTTTCCTTTTTGGTCAGTTTTATTTTCGTCTCGAAATCTAAACTCAGGTTTTAATGCATAATTTAGTGAGGTGAATGATAATTAAGCAGTTAAATGCTATTGTTGATTTTGATTTGCGCTTCAAATCCGAAGACATTTTGAGCTACATCAGTTTTAGATGTGTTTTGTTAGATCAGTGATGTAATTGACGTCCAAAAATAGTTAGCTGGTGTTGCAGAGAGCTTCACTCTGGCTTAAAAAGCAAAATGAAAATTCAGTAAGCAATGGATCTTTTTGGTTATCTGTCATGCGTATATTGATTGTACCACATAAACTGTTCGATCTTTCTTCAATTTCTTGAATGACCAAAGATTCCCATGTTGTGGTGTTTTATCTACTAGCTCACTTTCTTTTCTCATAACCAGGAAAAGATCCGAGTTGCTTTCTATGTACAAAAGGCTGCTCTTCAATTCATTGATGGTAAGATATCCAGTGCTGCAATTCTTAGAGAGATGCATATGGTTTATCAAATTAATTAATATATGGTTTATGTTTAACTTTCTATTTTCTTATTTTGTATTTTTGTGCAGCTGCTGCTCGGACAGAATACAAACTCACTGATGAGGTTAAAGAAGCAGGATTTTCTATCGAAGCAGATCAACTTGCATCTATGGTTCGCAATCATAACACTAAGAGTCTGTCAAACAATGGTGGAGTTGAAGAACTTGCTAAGAAATTATCTGTATCTCTCACTGAAGGCGTTAGCTCAAGCGAACTCCCCATCAGGGAAAAGATCTTTGGAGAGAATCGTTACGCTGAGAAACCAGCCAGATCGTTCTTAATGTTTGTTTGGGAAGCACTCCAAGACATAACCCTAATCATCCTTATGGTATGTACTGTAGTATCAATAGGCGTTGGTGTTGCCACAGAAGGATTTCCAAAAGGAATGTATGATGGGACTGGTATTTTGCTGAGTATACTCTTGGTGGTCATGGTTACTGCGATCAGTGACTACAAGCAATCTTTGCAGTTCATGGACTTGGATCGAGAGAAGAAGAAGATTATTGTTCAGGTCACTAGAGATGGGAACAGACAAGAAATCTCCATTCATGACTTGGTTGTTGGAGATGTGGTTCATCTATCTATTGGTGATCAAGTTCCAGCTGATGGGGTTTTTATATCTGGATACAACTTGGAGATAGATGAGTCAAGCTTAACGGGAGAGAGTGAACCTTCACGTGTGGAAAAAGAGAAGCCTTTCTTGCTTTCAGGAACTAAAGTTCAAAACGGTTCTGCAAAAATGTTGGTGACAACAGTTGGTATGAGGACTGAGTGGGGGAAATTGATGGAGACGCTAATTGATGGTGGAGAAGATGAGACTCCTTTGCAGGTGAAGCTAAATGGGGTTGCAACGATCATTGGTAAGATTGGTTTAAGCTTCGCTGTGCTTACATTTGTGGTGTTGTGCATAAGGTTTGTCTTGGAGAAAGCAACGGCTGGTAGCTTCACCAATTGGTCATCTGAAGATGCACTGACTCTACTTGACTACTTTGCGATTTCTGTAACCATCATTGTCGTTGCTGTACCAGAAGGTTTGCCACTGGCTGTGACCTTAAGTTTAGCATTTGCTATGAAAAAACTGATGAGTGACAGGGCACTTGTGAGACATCTCGCTGCATGTGAGACTATGGGTTCCGCTACTTGTATCTGCACTGATAAGACAGGGACCTTAACTACTAACCACATGGTGGTCAACAAAGTATGGATATGTGATAAGGTTCAGGAGCGTCAAGAAGGAAGTAAAGAACGATTTCATTTGGAACTATCAGAAGAAGTTGAGAGTATTCTTTTGCAGGGCATATTTCAGAACACTGGTTCTGAAGTTGTTAAAGATAAAGATGGAAACACTCAGATCCTAGGATCCCCGACAGAAAGAGCAATACTCGAGTTCGGTCTGCATTTAGGAGGTGACTTTGTCGCGCAGCGTAAAGAGCATAAGATACTCAAGATCGAGCCGTTCAATTCAGACAAGAAGAGAATGTCTGTTCTTATAGCTCTTCCTGGAGGTGGTGCACGTGCTTTCTGCAAAGGTGCATCTGAAATAGTGTTGAAAATGTGCGAGAATGTTGTGGATTCGAATGGAGAATCCGTTCCACTAACTGAAGAACGTATTTCGAATATCTCTGATGTCATAGAGGGTTTTGCCTCAGAGGCTCTGAGGACTCTCTGCTTGGTTTACAAAGATTTAGATGAAGCTCCCAGTGGAGACCTTCCTGATGGAGGCTACACAATGGTAGCAGTTGTTGGAATCAAGGATCCAGTACGTCCAGCTGTTAGGGAAGCCGTTCAGACTTGTCAAGCTGCTGGAATCACCGTACGTATGGTCACTGGAGATAACATAAGCACAGCTAAAGCAATTGCAAAGGAGTGTGGCATATTTACTGAAGGAGGTTTAGCTATAGAAGGTTCACAATTCCGAGATCTGCCTCCTCATGAAATGAGAGCCATCATACCCAAAATTCAGGTTCTTTGACAGAAATGGTAGATAGAAATGATCTTGTGATTGTTCACTTTGTCTGTAGAAAATCTTAGACTTGTTTGTGTTCAGGTAATGGCTAGGTCTCTGCCATTGGACAAGCATACTTTAGTCAGCAACTTGAGGAAGATTGGAGAAGTAGTTGCAGTGACTGGTGATGGAACAAACGATGCCCCTGCATTGCATGAGGCAGACATTGGACTTGCAATGGGAATAGCTGGAACAGAGGTAAACCTTAGATATTCTCTGTTACTGGTTTGGTTAATCAGAAAAACGAGAGAATAAACGTTTCTTTTCTCCCAATATGCAGGTTGCAAAAGAGAATGCTGATGTGATCATCATGGACGATAACTTCAAAACGATAGTAAATGTGGCTAGATGGGGACGTGCAGTGTATATAAACATTCAGAAGTTTGTTCAGTTTCAGCTAACCGTCAATGTCGTAGCTCTCATCATCAACTTCGTCTCTGCTTGCATCACAGGTAACAACATTTAAACTTGACCTTCCTTTTAATGTTTTGTCATGGACTTGCGCTATAACAGTTTCTTTTGATATATTTCAGGATCTGCTCCACTAACAGCTGTGCAGCTGCTTTGGGTCAACATGATCATGGACACACTCGGTGCATTGGCTTTAGCCACAGAACCTCCCAATGAAGGTTTAATGAAACGTCCACCAATCGCTAGAACAGCTAGCTTCATCACCAAAACCATGTGGAGAAACATTGCTGGTCAAAGCGTTTACCAGTTGATAGTCTTGGGAATTCTCAATTTCGCAGGCAAATCTCTTCTCAAACTTGACGGCCCTGATTCCACAGCCGTTCTTAACACAGTCATCTTCAACTCCTTCGTCTTTTGTCAGGTACCAATCTTAAAAACAAAAACTAAAGAGGTAAGCCTTTATATAATGGATAAGTAAGTAACATGAGAAATCAAATGGTTATTAGGTGTTCAATGAGATCAATAGCCGAGAGATAGAGAAGATAAATGTGTTCAAAGGAATGTTCAATAGCTGGGTGTTCACAGGGGTAATGACTGTGACCGTAGTGTTTCAAGTGATCATAGTGGAGTTTCTTGGAGCTTTTGCTAGCACCGTTCCACTGAGCTGGCAACATTGGTTACTATCAATCTTGATAGGATCAGTGAGCATGATTGTAGCCGTTATCCTCAAATGCATACCCGTCGAGTCTTGTCACCATCATGATGGCTACGAGCTGCTTCCTTCTGGTCCTTCTTCCAATTCTGCCTGATAATGTATCTATGTTCAATTTTTTCCCCTGTTATCAGGACATTGATTCTCAACTATGTAATTTTTTATTTTGCTTACTTTGGATACTGCAAATCCTTATTTTTACGATTAGCTCGAATTTTGTGTTCCACCAATCCTACTCGAACTTATGGTTCTAATGTGATTCTCTCTGTATTCTTAACGCCGCTATTCTTGGGCAACAACTGAGTTTCATTGCGATCTTAGATAACTTCAGCTTCAAGGTAAGTGAAGAGGTAGTAACCTAGGGAAAAGTGAATCAATATGAAGAAACAAAAGTATATATTTAGTATTGTATATTGCTTTGTATACGTAGTATGTAATTGTTTTATATACGTAGTATGTACATAACAACTCTATTGTCAAAAAAGAGAAAAAAAAACAACAAGTCTAATGTGAGAAGCATATTTGACATTGATCAACGATCGTAAATACATTGTTTTGCTAATGTTTGTAAATCTACGTAAAATAGCATTAGACATATGTAAGTGGAATGTTATCTATCAAGTGACGTGTTTACGATATATGGAGAGATTATTTTGTTTTATTTGTAGATTTAGAAATATTGACAACATCTACTTTCTCGTATATGTCATATATGTATATCATTTTTTCCACTATTCGAAATGTTAACGCGTATTCGTTTGAAAAACATGTTCATTAGATATGAAAAATCATATAACATAAAATAAAAAAATTCTATCTCACCGTCTCACCTCAATGTAAATGTATTCTCTGCATACATATTTAGAAAGAGTCGTTAAAAAAACGTCGAAAAAGGGTGGAAAGAATACTATCTTTGCCTAATGCTTTCTAAAAGTCATAATTTTTGCATAATACTTTTTTAAAAAGTGCTTATATTATACGAAAAGTTCCTTAAAACATAAACTTTTTAAGGACCTTTCAACACGATAGTTTCTATTTCTGGAAGTAAAAACGCTTTATTTTTAAAACCCTTTACTTAATCGTATTATTAATGTAATCTTTGTCACGCGGAAGAGAAAATCTTTGGGAAAAGCAACAAATGTACGGACGTCGTTCTCAGATGTCAGTTCAATAAAGAAAAATATATAACCCAAGTCTCGCGGGACCCTTTCCATATTATTACGGTTTTGCCATTCGAGATTTTATTATTAAGACTCGTCATTGTTTCCTAACCGTTGGATCAAGAATAAATCATCTGAGAGCATACGTGTAACTCGTATACACACGAACATTATCCCCATTTGCCATGCTGTACAAACGGAGACTATGGTCAAAGAAAAGTCAATTAATCTGACGGTTGAGATTTCAGTTTTGAGGTGGGTCCCCACGATTTTCTAAACCGGCGAAACGGGGAACACTTTTTTCCCTCCACGCGCCTCCGTTGGTTTACCATTTGTAGCCTCCCCGTTCACCACTTAACCGACCTCTCTCTCTCTACACTCACTCTCTCTCTCTCTATATTTGCAGAGTGTTCGTCGCTTTCACTGCCCAGCCTTTTTCTCTCTCTTTCTCACTAAATTCTCTCGCCGACCTTTCTCCGAACCCTAGAAACCCACTTAAACTTCAGAACATTGATCGGCGTACTCCTTCTCGTCTTTTCCGCGGGATTGTTTCTTTCCGGTATGGTTTAGAGTCTTTTCACTCTCTCGCTTCATCTTCCTGTAAATTTTGTTGTTTCTTCTCGCATTTTGTTTCGAGGTTGGTGAAAGATTGCTTCTTAAGTGAGAATTTCTTCGGAATTTTATAATGTGGGAGGAAAATGTTGGTTTTTACAGGATGAATTTTGCGGCTTTCAGTTTTCTTTACCATGGATGATGATGATGATCTCTGGGGTCCGCCACCTGGTACTTGTTTTTTTCTTTTTATCAATCGTCATGTTCTTATATGGTTTTATAATCTTTGTAGTCTTGTGCATAATGCTTGTTGTTTTTTTTTTTTTTTTTTTTTCTTTTTTTAGTTGTGCAGGAGGAGCCCCCTTTCAAGCCTTTACGTGGTTATGAATTCTGGTTTGATCCCAGAACAGGTTCGACTGAGAATTGTGGTTGCTTTGAATCTTTATCATCACTGTGATTCTCTTTGAGAACAATCGGTTTTTGCTTTTTGGGTTTCCATGGTGTGTTTAGATGTGCTCGAAGAAGAGTACCAGAACGAAAAATACTGTGAGCAAGTGCGGCGTATATTGGACGGAAAGAAGCAAGATACTGAAAGCAATGAGCTTGACAAGGTTTCGGATTCGCTTCAAAAGGATATGGCTTCCTCTGGAGCCGGTGACTCGCCGGAAATAGTCTCTTCTGATTCGGTAAGAGTCTGATTTGATGTTATTTGCGGAATTTGCACGAAAGTTTCTGGCTTTCTTGTGTGTGATTTGTGTTCACTGATTGATGAGGACTACTACTGTTATGTGTTCAACAGGACAAGACCCTCAGTGCTATTTCTCCAGATGCTGACACAAGTTCTGCAAAATCGGCTCTCGATGAGGATGAAAACACATCCAGTATCAGTGATGCTCAAACTAAGGAGACAAAAGATTCTAGTAACGACACTCAAGTAATTGACCCAGAAACAAGAAAGCCTCAGGAGACATCAGCAAATGACCCAATAACAGTTGAGGAGGTATGTAAAGATTGCTTCTTTTCTGAATCCATTACCATGCATCCATGGGAATCTTGTTTTGTGCTTCTTGTTCTAAAGACCTAAACGAGCAGCTCGGATGTTTGTAGTGAAAATTCTGTGTTTTTTTTTTTAAAGGGAAAGGTTGCAGAAGATGCAGATATCTCTTCTAGCCCTGTGTTTGCAAGCAAGAGTGAGGAAGCGGAGGAACATTCTCCTTCATCCTTGGTTACTGACCAAGTGTTTGATCCTATAAAACAAGCCCCCGAGAACAGATCTCTATCTGAGCTAAGCCGAGAGAATATTGGAGGTTCTACTTTGAAGCCATTGGGTTTAGAGACCACCGAGAAGGTGAGAGAAAAGGCAAATGCTACAAACGAAGATGGAGAAATGTTGAAGGATCAGCAGCAAGAAATCGAAACTTCTTCTGAACCTTTTACCACAGAGTCTCGCTTAGAGATGTGTGATGCATCGGAGAAAGGCAGAGAAACCCCATGTGATGATAGAATCAAAAGTTCACAGTCCGAAGCTGTGAAGACTGCTGTTAAAGACGAGCTGATCGTAAACTCGCCTACCGTGGCAAGACAAAAGGCAGAGAGCAATGCACTGTTGAAGCCTGGGCCAGACCTAACAAAGAAGGGACAGAGGAAATCTAAAGGCATGAACACAAGTTTTATCAGAAACACCAAGCCGAAAGTAGGAGGTGAAGCTGGTGAGATTGATATTGATCCAGTTAAAAAATCAACCCAGTCAACTTCTAAACTCAGCAGGGGTTCAAGTGTTCCAGCACAGCTTTCAGATTCAACATCGGAGTTGATAGAACGAATTAGACAAAGAGATGGGCAGACCATGGGTGACTCAGTGACCTCAATAAGCGAGTTGAAGAACAAGACAGGCAAGGAGTTAAGAAGCATAGCAAAGGAGCTGAAAATGACACATTACTCTAAGCTCAAGAAAGAAGATCTGCTTCAACAGATAATCAACCAGCTAAACTTGCAGCCAGCCGATTGTACAGAGCAGAAAATGGAGTCATAACCGATCTCACTGGTATAGTTAACATTAGACCTTACAGAACAGTCCTCTTTGTTTTTTGGACTCGATGGTACTACCATTAGCTTGTATAACCATACGGAGCTTGCTTGGCTTTTAGAGTCGTTTCAGGATAGTCTAAAGTTAGAATGCTTATTGGGATACTGAAGTTGATATTTGCGTAGTAAAAGAAAAAAAAAAGGATTTTTCTTCTTTCTTTCAGTAAATCATTTGAGCAAATAAAGCCTTTATTGATCATAAAGAAAAGGATACAGTACAAGGATCGTATTGACTAGAGACTGAATAAGAATAAGACATGACACAAGTGAAACTACCCCTTCCATTAAAGCTATAATGTTTCACCGCAGAAGAATCTACAGTTTGCACAAGTAGTTCATGTTGTATCTTTTCGTAATCAGAACAAACAAGTTTGGATTATAGAGAGCCATGGACTTAATCAAGGCTGATCTAGAAGGGAAGGCCTGTAGAATGCATGGCTCTGTGCAATCTCAATACGATCTCTGGGATCGTTCAATGTTTCGTCCCTTAATGCTTGCAGAATTGCTTGTGTAGATTGTTCTCTGCAATATCCAGACACAAAATTGAACAACAGAATTCATTAGAGAATCAAAGAAGCAAGTTTCTGATGACTTCAATGTCTCACAAACTCCAAGACATTCATGTAAACTAGAAATCTGATTTCCCATCATGTCACACCAAATCAGACCCTCGGGAAAAAAATCAAACCTTTTTTTGTCTATCAAATTTTTGTAAACGTAGAAACTTTCTTCAGATTTCATATATTTACCTTGTGATAAGTATCTTGTAAAGTGTCTTCAAAATAGGACATGATTCAACTGGGGCTACAGGTTTCTTCTCTTCAGAGTGCAATATGCTTAGGCTAGACTGACTAAGCAATTGATAAAACGCTCCCACTGCAGAAACACCCTATTCAACAAAAATCCAACATTCACACATAAGCATGATAGACAACAAAATCATCAAACTTCTTTCAAGGATTGTTCTCAGTTAGAATGGAGTACCTGAATCATTCCCTTCCCGCTTATACTATCACCCATGTCTCTATTTATCTCCCCTTTGGCGAGCATCTGACCGTACCACGCGTTACGCCCTTTTAATAAGGTCACGTAAGTGTCAGCTAGCAAAGGCCCTGCAAGTTTCTCAGGTTCTTCTGCTAGTAAATGTGTTATAAATATCATCTCTGATGTACAATGAGCAAAGTACACCGATTTGCTTGTAGCGCTCTCGTTAGTAAGCGCTGCCACCATTCCTGGAAAGACAAACGAGTAGGATCAATGCGTGAAAAGCCGAGGGAATCACTTAAATCCTAGTGTACACGCAGAAACTTACCAGCTCCAATGGCGTACACATTCTTGAGACCTCCCATTACTTCATGTGTCACAAGATCACTATTGTCCCAAACAATGAAATGAGGTTGTCTCAAGAACTTTGCTAGTGGTTTCCTCCATTTCTCGGCTCCGCAGATTCTAGCATTTGCATATTCCTTGTTGTAAATCTCAGCAGCAATGTTTGGTCCACCAAGATACAGCACATTTTCAATCGGCACACCAGCTGATACCACAAACACCAAAAATTGAGAACCAATTCCAGAAAGAGTTTTAACATTTTTCAGAACTAAGCAAGATACTCAATACAAAGGGTAACATCAAGAAGAAGAAGAAGCTTACTTGCTTGATGGATCATCTTTGTTGGAGTAATGATATGTGGAACTGGTGCAAGAGCAGTTTCAATACCCTTTGACAGAGATATAATAATCGGATCCGTAACTCTCTCTTTCCAATACTTGCTAATCTCTTCAAACACCTCGCGTGTCTCTGTTGAAGGCAATCCATTAACAACAATATCAGCATCCCACACAGCTTCTTGCAGATTTGTCACAACCTTGAGAGGGCAAAGCGGCGTGTCAACCATGTTAAGACAAAACCCGTCTTTCAATATCTCATCCGCGTAGAGCGTCCTATCACCGAGCCTTGCCTCGACGTATTTCAGATAAGCGCAGCGTCTTATCAGTCTCCTCAAGATATCTTCCCGAGAATTGATCACTTCGAACAAATGTTCAGCTGTTGCTCTATCCACAGCTCTTCCAGCTCTTCTCCATATTCTGATCTGAAACTTATCCCTGAAACTTCCATAGCTTTCTTGCAGAAGTGCTGCAAAAACACTTCCCCAAGCACCAGCTCCAACACTTACAATCCTCAACGGATCCTTGTCTGATTTCCCCAATAGACGACGAAAATCATCAAGTTTCTCCTCCAGATTAAGACCATTATGTTGAACAGACCCGTTTGATAGCAGGCTCTTGGCCTCAATGCTTCCCACCATTTTCTTAGTCCACACCAGAGAAATTCAACACAAACCAAAGGCAATGAACAATGTCTAGAAATGGTTTTTTGGAGTTTTATGTAATCCTCTATAGATTTATATATGGGTTTGGATCATAGAGAACAAAGAAATCAAGTAGGATTTGATAGAAAAAAGAAGAAGAAGAAGAAGAGCAACTTGGGCATTACCAATCAGCTTCTTGCTCAGAAAGAATAAGATTTTCTTGGTTCGCTAACTCAGAATTTTCTCACCAAACAAATTGAGGTTTTTATGTTCTTTTTTTTTGTTGTAGCTTCTTCTGCCACATAACACAAAAATGGAAATCAAAAACCGGACATTAATGCAATAGATACCGAAAAAAGCTTTAAATAGATAATGCTGCAACCTGACGAAATGCGGACAGAAAAAAAAGAAATCCAGAGAAAGATTATGGAATAAAATAAATGAAATTTATGGTAATACAAAACAAACTTTGTTAGCTCCGTCTTGAGTTGTTCATCTACCCAACAAGAACAAACAAGAAAAAAAAGAAAGTTCGTAAACAAAGTACAAGTCAAGAACAAACCTTTCGTGTCGGCAACTATAAAGAAATATATCTAAATCCAAAATCAACTCACGAGAATTGCCAAATCAAGAGAGAAAAATAAACGCATGACAAAATATTGAGTATCTATATCTACTCACAAAAATCATAAAACTTGCATGCAGATAAGGAAAATTTGATAAGAGTTAAATTAAATACAGAGGCAAGCTTTTGTGCAAGGGAGAGGAATGGAGTCATAAGCATTGATGGGTACAGTTGAGGAAAGGGAAAGACTTTTTTTTTTATTTTTTTTTGTTTAATTTTGCTTTAAAGTGTTGTATTTAAGGGAAGGTGCCTAACTTCGTACACTGTCATTAATGGCTCAAGAAAAACACTACTACCATTTTTTTGGTATTAGTTAGTCTCTTCATTTTCTTTACACTCTCATCCATTTTTCGGGGTGTATTGGATTTTCAATCTGAACAACTTTTTGGTGAATTTTTAGTTATACCAGCATTTATCAGACACCGAAACACAATCACATGTATATATTTATTTACACAAGTTAATAAATAAAGAAGATAAATAAATGGGACCGCCGCAAAGGAAAAACAAAAAAACAAAATAATTCATGCATTATCTGGCTTGTGATTTGATATATAAATGATTTGATCACCTAACAAAAACACACTTTATAATGAAATTGATTTCCCCTGATATATTTTATTCTTTTACCAGTGTTCTATAACTCGAACGTACCCGGATTTTAATCGAATCGGTTCATGCAAAAATCCAACTTTTTGTCAAAGACGTCTACGCAGTTTAGACGGTTAATTTTCTTTGTATATTTATTTTCCGTCAATGTTTCTTTTGTCTGTCTAGTGTCCATTTATTTACACAATGGTTTTCAGAAGATAAAGATTGATGGTTTTTAACATATTACTTATCACGATTTCTATGTTTATCTAGAAAAAAAAAAGAACAAAAATAACATTAACAAATCATAGTTGTAAGAACAGTTGGGCAGCACCTCCTCCGCCTTCAAATAACAAAAAAAAGTCCAGCTACACTAACACACACACGTTACAATTTTTTTCGTATTTAATGAAATCGAAACCTCTGGTCGGTAGAGAGGTTCTTGACTTTATTACTCAGGTGGGCTTGCTTAATGGGCTATGCTGCTAATGGGTTAATGTGGAAATATTTTCAGTGGGCTCTTGTCCACTGTAGAAAGCGATAAACCTCTCTCCTTCGATCGTTTTTTCTTCTTCTTCTTCTCCTTCTCCGCTGCATCATCTGCTCTTTCTTCCGGAATTTGCAGAGTGAGAGAGAGAGTGAGTGAGTGAGAAAAAGAGAGATATAGATAATGGATACTGGGCTAAGCGAGATCGGAAGCACGAAGATGTTCGATGGCTACAACAAAAGATACAAACACCACAGCCCAACACTCGGATGTTCCATGACTTTCTCAGTCTACTTCCCTCCTTCTCCCTCATCTTCCAAAAGGTTCCCTGTATGTGATCCTCCTTTATCTTCGTATTAGTGTCTGATCTCATTTCTTATTTTAGTTATTTCGATTCGGGTTCCTATATAAAGATTTGATTTTTTTTTTATCTACAGTATAATAGGATTCATTTATGTTGTTGGGAAAAATTCATTATTCAGCTCCACCTCGATACTTCTTTTTCTTTGTCTGGTCGTATTAGTTTCATCTTATGAAGACAAAGAGTACGAACTTCTTTTGTGACTTGTCTCAATTTCCCTCTTTTATCTTTGCTAATCTTATGAAGACAAAGAGTAGGGGCATCTTTTGTGACTTGTCCCAATTTCCATATTTACTTCATATCTCTAAGAAGTAAACTTTAGTTTTGCATGATTGTTTTTGGATTTTTTATTGCCTTGATTCGTTCAAAATCATGCTACTCAAACCCACTAATTGGCTGTTTAGACAAATGATTCTCGAATTTGTTGATTGACAGGTGCTTTACTGGCTTTCTGGCCTCACCTGCACAGACGAGAATTTCATCATCAAGTCCGGGGCTCAACGTGCTGCTTCTACCCACGGCATTGCTCTTGTTTCTCCAGATACTTCTCCAAGTGAGCCACAATATTTTCATTTGTTTTATTTGCCCTGGTTTTACTCTGGTTTATCATCTTCCCTTGATGTTTAAACAAACCAAAAAATTTATTGTCTTTTCGTTTGCTAATCCGTGATGGTTTTGATAATTGTAGGAGGACTAAATATTGAAGGCGAAGCAGACAGTTACGACTTCGGTGTAGGTATGCAACGTTACATACCTCTGCTTTGCACACTTCTTTTACGGAACAAGTTGTATTGGTTTGGTCTTACTAGTATTTAAACTTTCTTTCTTTCCTGTTTGATTAGGAGCTGGATTTTACCTCAATGCTACACAGGAGAAATGGAAGAACTGGCGTATGTATGATTATATTGTCAAAGAGTTGCCAAAACTCCTGAGTGAAAACTTATCTCAGCTGGACACAGCAAAAGCATCTATCTCTGGACACTCCATGGGTGGACATGGAGCTCTTACTATTTACCTGAAGAACCTCGATAAGTATAAGGTACTAATTTCAGTATTTTTTATGTTATTCTGTGCGTTAAGACATATGTGACTTTCCTTGTGACACTCCAGCGCTGTGAGTACAACGTCTGGAACTTAGAATGGGGTGTGGATAACATGTTTCAGCTCAAAACTTCTTACTCTTTGATCATTTTCTTAAAAAATATTTTTGTATGTGTGGCAATTTCAGTCCGTGTCTGCGTTTGCACCAATTGCCAATCCCATAAATTGCCCGTGGGGACAGAAGGCATTCACCAATTATCTAGGTGACAACAAGGCTGCTTGGGAGGTAAAGGAAGAACCTTAGAAAGTTATTTTGGTATGCATTTAGCCACCACACTACAGTGATTTCATTCTCTGCGTTTTTCTTGAATCTCAGGAATACGATGCCACTTGTCTTATTTCAAAGTTCAACGATCTGTCTGCCACAATTCTAATTGATCAGGTAAAACCCTTTTACATCATGGTCTTCTTCGTCTTCACTGTGTCGGCAATCTTGTAGCTTACTAACATAAAGGGAATGTGGTGTGCATCCCCTTGCGAACCAAAACACTGATTTGTTAAGTTAATGCTAAATTTGTCAAACTCCATCTAATGCAGGGAGAAAACGACCAGTTCTTCCCTGATCAGTTATTGCCCAACAAGTTCGAGGAGGCATGCAAAAAGGTGAATGCGCCGCTCTTAGTCCGTATGCAGCCAGGATACGACCACTCCTACTATTTTATTGCCACATTCATCGAAGACCACATTAGCCACCATGCTCAAGCCCTTGAGCTCTAGCTCAGTCCAGCTGCGTGGCTTCCGGCTTTGGCTTTGTCCAAATGTTAGTATCAATCAATAAAGCTAGTGGACTTGTCATGTTTTGTGTTCAATAACTGGTCTGTGTGATGTTTTGCCTAAGATAATAATAAAAAAGTTTGTCTCTGCTTCATCTCTAAATCTAGACCCTGTAGCCCCTTAATTTGTGTTAACAAATAATTTGAGCTGAAAGAAGTGTCTGAGGGTTGCAACAGCTGAGCATCATACCTCCTTCGACAAGATACAAGAACTCAGATATCTATCTAAGATGGCCAATTTTGGACTCAAAACTCTGCAAGCGTGTTATGTACACTGCATAAAAATCAAAACTCTTTTGCTTATTTTACGTTTTATCGCTTGGAAGTAGAACAAATTACTTGAGCAGAGAAGACACTGCCTTACAACAGTTGTATCTGAATGTGGAGGGTAAAATCATTTTTTTTATGAAATACTTGACTAAATGTACAAATACAAAGATGAGGCAAAATAACCCCTCTCAAAAATCTTGCTTTTTTCATCGTCGTCTTTGGAACTTCGTCTCTGTCGTTTTTAGGGATCAAAGGACGGTTTTTTTCCACTGAATAGCCTCTTAAAGTGAGAGCTTGCGAGGATGACGCAAAGCAGAGAGAATTATGATCTTACTTCAGTAGCTCTGGAATAACTCACCTGGGAGTAACCCAGCAGATCCCTATAGCTTATGAGTTATGCCACCAAGAAAAATTTAGCGTTCTACCACCAAGAAGGCGTGTTTCGATATGTCCTCTCGCTGTTCCTCCAGTATCGATTGCTTGGGCTTGACTGATATGGAGGGCTACTTGCTTCTGCAGCCTTTCTGTTTCCTCTGCTTCTGTAACTTTCTCTAGATGCCCTCGCTTTCCTAATCTCTTCCTCAAGTTCATAGTCCGACCTCTGTCAAAACAAAAATCTGATCAGTGAAAAGTCGTGGGACATTCTATTCCTAAGTGTTCATAGGGGACAAACAATAATCACGTTAAAAGGTTTGTCAGCGGAAATTGCTAAGAGAAAGCGAACCTTAGTTGGGTCAGAAAGAACTGAATATGCCTCTCCAATCATTTTGAAGAGCCTATCTGCACCCTTGTGAACCTCTTCTAATATCTCCTTCAACCATGGTCCTTCGCTTTCGCTTCTGACAAGAATCTGTGCAGCCTGAATACACATCAAAAAGGAAATATCAGCACCTGTAAAATACTGTTTTGCAACATTGTCATCAAGTAAAAAGACAGATAACCTTGTCTGGGTGATGTCTAAGAGCTGCTTTGCGGTAAGCCTTTTTGATATCAGCAGCAGAGTCAGATGCCTTCACTCCCCTGCAAATTAGCAAAACGAGAATAGAAGATAGCATGAATATAAGCATAAACTATAATGGTATAATTCACTTTCACTGTGAAAAGTGAGCATACATGATGAGGAAGAAATCCAGAGGAATGCCCTCTTTCGATTTTTCTTCCATTACAGACAGCCGTTGGCGGGCCTGCCTTAGTTCTTTCCTGCTGCTTGCACGATCAGCAGATGTATCTGACGTTTTTCTCTTCTCATCACTTTGCTTTACGAGAATGCTGATAAGCCTCTGGAGATCACTAGCTGCTTGATCATAATCTCTAATCATCTCATGTAGTGTGGCTCTCCTGGAAACTGCCTGAAAATGAAAGGACAAGTAGGATTGAAATTTTTATGAACCCTCATTCCATGAAATTGATGGTTACATACTGCTTTGTGTACCTTATCACATTTCAAGGAAAAAAATTATGCATTCTCCTTGTCTAAAAAATATCACTAGAAAAATCTTGGAATAAGCTCAGTTTAGCTAAGCGGGAAAAGATATATACAAATTTGTTTGTTCATGAGTAGAAAGCGAAAAAAAATGCCATATACCTTTGTGTAGTTTTCATCAAGAGCCATGGCAAGACTACAGTCAGCAATTGCATCCGTAAACTGGACTAACGCCTGATTAGCAGCCGCACGATTGCAAAAACAAATTGCTGCAAAAGGGCGTGAGTCAACATTTCTTGATAGTGCAGCAGTGTACTGCTCTACTGCTTCCATGTACTTTCCTGCCCGAACAGCTTCATTACCTGCGTTCTGCAATCACAGGGATAAACTCTGGTAAATGTAACCACCAAAAAAGAAAACATTTTTATTCAGCAGTATGAGTGATGAAGGATTGATCAGAACTGTTGATGATAAAGACAACACGATACCACACAGTTTCATTATAAAGCATACCTTGTAACATAAAAGTTCAGTAATGGTGGCCACTAAAGAAGCCGGTGACTCACGACAGTCTTCCTGATTCCTAGCGAGCAAAACATAGATTTTCAGCAAGGATCACAAATAAATTGAAAACACGCGTACCAATAAGTTCATTATTGCACAACATAGACAAAGTGATTACTCGTTGTGGCTAGATCCCAATTGCTGTAACTTTTCTAATATACCAAGGGCCATCTCAAGGTTTCCCAAGTAAAAGTGCGACTTGGAAATCATGTTCCATCTCCAAACTATTAGTGAGTGATGCGTAGACTGTAATCCATCAACATTTGTGATGCCACCAATCCCTGCTGAAACAGTATTCCTCTTAGCCGTCTCAAGGGTATTCTCACAAAGCTCAATCACTTCTTTATAATGTCGGAGCTGCAAAATTGACATGGAACGTCATGCTCAGTGAAAGCATAATTCAACTTTGAGAACTGAACTATAAAGACGACTTACCATAACCAGGGCCTCCGCCTTCATTTGAAGCAATTTATCTGAGCATGAACTAATTGACAAGGCATTTGCAATTGGAACCAATGCGTCAGATGCACCATCGGGTGTTCTCTTCTCCAAAAATATGGATGCACAGTTGGTATACTCAGCTACCTCCTGCCGGTAAGTAAAGTAAATAAGCGTTCAATTAGACATTAACAGACCTCTGTGCTGATTTTTTTTTTGGTTCAAAAGACCTCTGTGCTGATTAAGAACACTATTGCACGAACAAAAATCCGATATATGACATCCAAACTGATAACGCATAAATTATTTTGAGTAGACCATGGTATAATACTGATCTAGCTGAGGAAAGAATGCATACTTGAGCCTTTTGTAAACCTTCAGCTGATTCTATAGTAGTTCGTCGATCCAAGCAGACACTAGAGGCGGATTCCATGCATTTATTAAAATACTGCACTGCTGATCCAAGTTCCCCCAGCACAAGATGACAGCTACAACAAACATAAAATAAAAGAGAATAAATCAATTCCACTAATTAACATATCATCAATTTTACTAGATACATAGTGTGATCGTTATTGCTAGAATTTACACTTGCTTGGCAAAATCGATCTAAAACCTTAGCTGGTGTCAAGAGGAGGTAGAGCTTAAGCTAAAAGAACAAATTGACTCGAGAAAAGTACACCTTAAACTTACTTTGCAGCTCTCATATACGCTTTAATGTAGCTTGGATCAAGTGAAGCAGCCATCTCACAGTCGCTTATAGCCTCCCTCAATCTTCCAAGAGAAATTCTTGCTGCTGCGCGGTTGCCATAGCAAAGCGCAAGAGGCTTTATGAAGTATTCTGAATTATCACTTGACGGGGAGGATTTAATACCATGTGTGTAACATTCCTCAGCTTTACACATATCACCATTTCTGTAGGCTTGATTTCCCCTGATACAAAACATTACTTCTCTCAATTGTTATAAAGTATTCAAAAAGCACCAGTGTGGAAGTTCTTGAGATAGTATATGATACCTTAGTCGCCAAACCTCACATGCATCAGGCATCGCAGATGCAAAGCCTGACTCCTGTGTAGCTTGACCTGTATTCACAGGTTGATTCTCTTGATTGTTCTGCTTGGCGGCATTAAGATTGTTTTTCGGAAAACTGTTATTAACTTTCCTCTTATATTTCCTTACAGCTGCAAGCTTTTTATTTGGTATTTTTCCCTGAGAACTGGAAGCTGAGAAAGAAAATTCCGGCATACAACTATTTACATGATCCCTGGCTGAGGCAACCTTGAAGTCATTGCTAGAGCGGGAATTTACATGTTCTCTCGATTGTGAGGGATCAATTGATGTCAGAGGAGTTTCTGTTGGAAAATGATAGCTGGCTTTCTCGCCTTCATAAGGAGAAAAATCCATGGGTGAGCCACATCCAGGGGAGCTTCGTTTCTCTTGAGACTGAATTCCCACAGAGGCCTGATCGTTACATCGATTTGGACCCTGCTGTTTCATTTTTTCCTTGTCTTTCTTAGATCTCTTGTCCTTGGATAAACGATTTCTTCGCGAATGTACTAGATTTTTGCTCACTTCTGGAAACAGACTGTTCTTAAGCACAGAAGGATCTACTTTGAAATCGTCAAAGGCTGTTCTTGTATTAAAGGTAGTGCTTGTTAGGTTGTTTATGTTGGTGGTATCAGAATGATAAGTAGGTCTTTTATCCGCTGCATTATCACTTTGTTGAAAACCATTGAAGCTGAAAGCGCATGGCCCTGGTGTTGCCACATCTTTGCATTCAGCATCAACCTTTCCAGAGCTACCAAAAACAAATGCAGGCGCGTTACTGGATTTTCTTGCTTCCTCATAGCCGTTGCCACCATGAACTCTGGTACCACTGATGTTAAGTTTCTCCATCTCAGCACGCAGGTTCCATTCAGAATCATCTATACTTTCACTATGAGCATTTTGCACACTGTTAGACTTTCTACAAGTATCATAACAAGATTTACTTTCCGATGCATTCTTGTCTATGTCATTCTGTCCTCGAAAAACCTCCTCAGACGCACCTGGATTCTGGACATCTTTCCAGCTTCCATTTTCACCACTATCAAACCCATTTCCCGCACCACAAGGTGTGCTTTCATTACACGGCCTGGTGTTTGCCGGAATATCATTACCAAGCTTTCCTAAACCTCCATCTGAATGCTGTTTAGTGGATTCCGAACCCAAGTCATAGTCACCTATAGGTGTGCTAAATTCCTCCTCATCAGACGATGGGGCATTACCAGTACTAGAACCTTTTGCACCAGAACTATTCCCATTAGCCCCAAAGACAAAATGTTTATCCCCAGGTGACTCGCCATCATTTCTATCATTGCCACTATTCATATGGAGACTACCTACAGACACCAAAACATTCCAATAAACCGAATCTGCAAAGAAAATCAAATTACGGCTTAAATGTGAAAAAAACACAACTTACCTTTACTGGGCGGCGCAAATGGATTGAAACCCGAGAGGATATCGCCGGAAAGAGAGGTTCCTTTCACTTTTCTTCCGTTCTTCCTCAGTTTGACCAGCCTCGGCTTCGATCGAGTCTTGGTACTTTGTCCAGAACCAGCTCCGAACCCGAATTGGAATCCATTCCCGATACCAGGTTCTGTAGAGGAGGAGGAAGAAGCGTGCATGCTTCGTTGATCGCGAGAGTGGACACTCTCCGGAAAAAATGCGGAGAAGAATTCACCGGCAGGGTTTAGCGAAGGAGAAACCGTTTCAACCGGAGACCCAATCTCCACCGCCGGAGGAGACATTATTCGATACTTTCAAAATCAAAAATTGAAATTTTAGGGCTTTAGAAAAGAATCTATCGAGGAAACGAATCTACTTGCGTGCTGAGGTGAAGCAGGTGAATGTGCGTAGAGTGTCTCTCAACAGTTTAGGGTTTTTGGGATTTTGATTATTACCAAACTTTGTTTCGCCATTCCCAGGAGCGTCTCTGCTTCGCCTGACCGCCCTCATCAAATAAAATAAAATATACATACTGTATATATACACACGTGTGTATAATTACTTCACTCGTGACAAACGAAGTGAAATTTTGAAATCACAAACAAAAAGCTTCTATGCTCGGGGCTATTCATTCATGGCGGAAAGGCGCCAAATTTCTGCGATTTTGCGAGAGATAAGTTTAATCGTGGACACGATGGTTGTAGCAGATTATATAATTGATCGAAAAATTGAAGCTTGGTTCAATAAACGAGATGGGATCAGATCCGGATTCTCCCGCGGCTCCATAAAATTCAATTGTAGCTTAATCGATTTCGCTTTTGCATTTTAAATTTTGATTTAAAGACTTTCAATTTTAGTTGTTGTCGATTGTATGCTTAGACTAGACAATAGGATCCAGATGTTTCAGGAGTTGTATATAGAACAATATTGTAGATTCCTTTTGCAATGGATATGTGTTAGGGTCTTAGAGAAGATGTTGTAGCAAAAAAAAAAAATGATATTTTTACATGTTGGGAAGCTAGAAACAGATTCTGCTGAATGTTTTAAGAGTTTTTGGAACATTTCATCTCAGCTATTTCCTGCTATAATGACACTGTGTAGGAGTGTATGGATCCTATACACTGTCGCAGTCTGTTTCACTCTAAAATTCGTTGTTTTCCAAAAAAAAAAAAGAATTTCACTCTCTCTCTCTGCCTAGCTGAGTTTGCGCTTGCGATATACAGTTCTATGTTTTGGCAGTATCATAGCTCTGATGTTTGGCACCTTTGAGGACTGGATGTTGCCTTTTGGCTTAGAGAAGTTGGATGGGAGATAAATGTGTTGCCTTTTGGAAAATTCTCTGACCAGGGGCTAGAATCGCCAGAGGGTCGTATGCATATTTCCTCTTTGCAAATGTTTCCCATCTGTCGCCAAAATGAGATTTCCACTCTGTTTGAGTTTCGTAGTGGGGCAAATACTGCTTCACATTGATGTTTTCTGCTGCACAAAAGCTAAGAACTCTTTGGTTTTGCTTCAAAAGGTACTCTAAATCATTTTTCCCTGAGGAGTTTGGCACTGCAGAGGGAAGAAAGGCCACGAGATATAATATATCTTCATTTGGAGTAATCAGAGATGTGCGTTTGTTCCATCTGCAACACAAAGTGTTAGAACATGGTTAGTAATCTATTATCTCTGAATCACTGGAAGAATTTTCCTTTTGACATTTTGCTCACTTACTTAGATTGATTGACGGGATATATAAGGATAGGTCCGTTGCTGTTGCTTGTGAGAATGTTGTTGAAAACTTCTGTAGCAAAGTCAAATATTCGGCTCTTGGGAATCAGGAGATTTAGCCAGGGATGTGGAACCTCCCATAAACCTTTTGCTCTCAGTTTCCTCTCCGCAATATGCACGCGATCCAGAAACTCTATGTATGGCACTTCAGATGAGAACAAAGTGGAAGGAATATAATTCAACTCTGAAAGCAACTTCTCGGTTTCCTGCAGTGCAACCATTCCTGCTATGTTAGAAACCAACAGTTTGATCTATAGTGATTGTCAAGTTTAAGTCTGAAGATAAACTGTTTTCACATCTTACCTGATTCATAGAGTTAGCTTCTTCTGGGATGAAATATTTTGCCACTTCTAGACAATAAAGAGTTTTCCCATCTGACTTGAATTGGCTTGCCTGTGTGGAATCGTTGGGACTGAATGACGACCTCCAGTTATTAAGAAGGTCTGTTCGATTGATTATCACAAATCCTTCCACGTAGTCGAAAGTATTCTCCTTTGAAATCAAATGTTCTTGGTCTCTTGAGAATGCAGAGAAGTCTGAATAGAGTACCCTGATCCATTTTACCTATTAAAAATGCATTTCACTGTCAGAAAACTGGAAGCTTAGACACTATATACATATTCCAATAGGCATGTTTAAGATGGAACTTTACCATATGCGGTGCTGGTCTAAGAGCGATCCGTGCCCGGGTGATTATGCCAAACTGTCCAAGCCCCCCAAGAACACTGTAGAAAAGTTCAGAATTCCGCTTCTCAGAACAGGTCACTACTTCTCCTTTCCCTGATTCAACATGTGAAATAGAACTCGTTTATTTATCTTTGCTGCAAATTACAAGTGTGCGTTGCATGTTTGCACATTGGCTATTACACACTCTTATTTTACTTTACAGGGTGCAAATATTTTTTGAGTCTACCATAGAGATATAGCATGAAGGAAGTACCGGTGACAATCTCTAGCTGGTAGACGTTGTTGATCTGGGGTCCATGCTTGAAAGCTTGACCACTGATTCCAGCGTTTGATAGAGTACCTCCAACAGTCAGATGAAGATAGTCTGTCCAGGACTTTGGTGAAAGACCGGATTTTAGAGTCTCCCGTAGAATGTTGATCCATAATTCACCGCCTGAGACATCGACATACGGTTGCTGCCCCTTGTAAATTTTGATATCAGGACTTCGAAGCGACTCCATGTTGATGACAACACCTTGATGAGCTAGAGCTTGGCCTTGGAGCGAGTGACCATGGCCTCTGGCTGCTACTGTAAGATTTGAGGTGGATCCCAGATGCACTATATGCTTCATCATTGATGAAATATCAGAAACTGACCTCGGATGCAGAATTGCCAAAGGTGGTAACTGGTACCTGTTGCCAAAGTCCTTGGCCGCATTGTGAACATCATCGAAGCTTATGTAACCCTCCAAATCTAGTGAATCTAGCAAGGAACGAATATCTGAAGGATTTCCAGGAGGTAAATCTATTGGGGTACTAACAGAATGATTGGAGCAAAGATTGGTTCTACCTGGTATACAGCTTAGAACCAAGATCATGAAGATTCTAAGAAAAGTCTTGTTGTTTCGTCTACGAAACCGTAAGGATGAGACCAATCCCATTTCTAGTTTCTTGAGAGAAATTGAAAAGACTGAGAGACGGGGTGATATGGAGGAAGTAGAGGTAAACTTGAGGTAGAGAGGGGAATTTAAAGGAAAGGTTTTGGGCGGTACAGTCATATACTTGTGTTCACTATGTAGCTGGATTGCCATTACTTTTTGTCTCTTGCTGTAAATTAAGATATCTTTGTCACATTTTTATTTTTTTTTCTGCATATTTTATAGGAAGGAAGTTACTAAAAAGGTAGTTTTAATTCCTATTTTTCTCAACTTTGATTTATGTGAGGTTAACAGTTCACATCCCGAGTACATACATTCTCTCCCTGCTTAAAAGGTAAAAACTTTTGTTTTACTGCATAGTTTTTTCTTCTTGTTATTATTGTGTCTCTTGGCTAGGCTTACTCTCAGAGCATGTACAGTAGGGCCCCTACTTGGGTCTCATGGTACTTGAGCTCAGTTTGAGGGAAGAGAATCTTGCCCACCACCATCTATACTCAGACTAGTGACCTCATTGGATCTTTTTATTGGACCATTTTTGCATCAGTTTATCTTGTCAGTTCTTGCACTATTTGAGTTTGGACTATTAAGCTTGGAACTAAGTTACCACTTAGGACCAAACATCAACACTGGCTACTATTCCTTGCAGGATGGATGCAGAGCTGTCTGAAACACATATGTTGTAACCAAGAATTTCTTGCTCCAGATTCTTAGGAGAAATAATAATCTTCTTGCTTATAAAAGTTTCCATCCTAGCATGATCGGTGCTATTCATGTGTATCTTCTCTTGCCATAAGTTTCCCAATTAAGAAAGGAAAAGTCCTACATCTGTATGTGGAAGAACTTTGTGTTGCTCATTAAAGAGTCTCAACTCTCAGCATGACATATTGAAGGGCATATAAAAGATTCTAGGCTTATGTTCTTATTGGTGGTCCTGAAATAAATACCAAGTAAAGCCTTGTCATGATAATTTGACCTTAGTTGGAGGGTGATATGTGCTCTTTGCTCAAAATTATCATAAAAATAATAAATAAAAAAAAGGACAGTTCAAAGGGAGATAAATAGTAATATCAATACTACTGTTGGTACTTGCAATAAAGATAACTGTTGGTACTTGCAATAAAGATAATGTATGTATATGTTGTGTCTTCCAATAACACCAAGTTCTTTTTGTTATGTGATTGAAAGATGTAGGGGCCTTCTTTACACAGTCGGGAAATATGAGGGCAAAGGCTGAAGAAGATTGTAATGTGGGCAGTCGAGTGACAGTCTGAACAAAGGAGGCACCGCGAATAAATGGCCTATAAATAAAAAGGTTATGATTTTGCTCATTTGAATAGGAGTGTTGAATTTCTAGACTGATATCGCTCATCTTTTTCTTTTTCTTTTTTTCTCTTTGTGTTTTTTACTTTCTTATTAGTAATATCAAGTGGCAGCCAACAAATATAGTCGTAGGATATAATGACTCAACGAGTCTATGAAGCAAAAAGTTTACAGTGACCAATTATGTCAGTAGATTTGCAATGAATAACTACCCTTCGTCGTGTATCTGTCTTATGTGACCTTTGTGTGCAATGAAAACCAGTGGTCTAAGCATTATTACACCTTTTTCTGCTTCTCCTTTTTTTCATAATGCAGTGTTACATTCTATTTTGCTTTATTCTTATTTTTGATATTAATTTCATGATTACATTGTCCCAATTATTGGGGGCATTGGCTAATTCACCTTTGTTTTTGCAATCGTAGCTCACGATGCCTTGGTCGCTGTAGTGGACAAAATACACAGAAGTAACCTTTTTTGCTGCCCCTTATAAGATACTCTTTCTTCTCTATATAGACATGCATGACAGTGCATTTCAGTCTAGTGACACAAAAAAAAAAAAAAATTCCATCTCTTCATGGCTACACTTAACCGATCAGTATCTCCCATTTCTTGTTCTAGAGGATCAATGCACTAATTATAAAGAAGAGCATGAATTTCAGTAGACCCCAAGTGAGTCCCTTTCCGTACAGCAACATTATTGACATTCTATCAATTTTAGTGGCACTAAATTGTTTGGTTTTTTTCTTTGTAAAGGTTTTTTGTTCTGTGGGTGAATTCTTTTTAGTTGTTTATTTCAGCCTTGTCGAGTTTTTGCAGGTCTCAATGTAGTGTCACTTTCCACTCAAAAGTTTCATTTTATATATTCTTTTCTAATATAAATTTCACAGGTAAATCGCCGTGAAGATTGCAATAAGAAGATAGTTGGGCATTAAAACTGTTTAAATGGCATCATGATGCGCGCACAATATGATATTAAACCACCACCATTGCCGCAAAAATAAGGTTAGACACCACAAACATATTTAATCATTACTCTATATATGTGATACATGAATCTCTATTTTCCAACTTCTTCTCTTTTTTTTTGTCAATTTTTGCATAAACCGGATATTTACACCATGATAGATAATCTCAATTTCAAGTTAAAGATATTCGAGAGAGAGAGAGGGAGAAATGGTCCCCAAGATAGAATGTCGAGGTGGTGATTGGGGAGTTGGGCTCATTGGCTAGTTCGTTGACAATTAGGTTCATATTGTCTTCAATTATATAGAGATACCTTTTTTCTGCAGTGATGGGTTATTTTCTTTCTTTCGTTTCAGAAAACTATGTCTTCTTCTTTCTCCTCCAATTCTCTTTTTCTCTTTTTAAAGTTTTAATTTTTACATTATTGCCTATTATATTGCTTGTATTGTAGACCCTATGAATTCCATTTCATCATCCACCAAATAAATATAGTATTTTATTTATAATTTTATTTGGTTTTGGTTAGTTAATACAAAGAAATCCTCCAAGCAAATCTTCAACATATGCTTTCTACTTATTTAAAGTTGTCGATTTACTATTTAGGGTAAGAAAACAAATTAGGTGTCTATTTAGGGGTAAAGAACAAATTAGTTTGTCTGTTAGAATTTATCTCAAAATGTTCATAACATTCACTATACAATATATGTAAACTTATAATTTGACTTAAATATCAAAGAAAAATCTTAAGGAATGAGTCTCATTGGCCAAACCTTAATTGCTTACTTTTGCAACAAAACTTCAAAAAAAGTGTATATTAATCAAATATAAAAACATTTTCAGTTTTCATAAGATATTTTTCCAAAGTGTAAAACGTAAACAGAAATATGCGTATTGAAATAATTGAACCTCTATTTTGTCATGAACTTCTTTCAACCAAGCCAACCAACTTTATTGATCCACATTTTAATTTGTGAGTGAGTAGGTGTTTTATGTAACATTATATATATATATAGGTTATAGGTATGATTCGTTTTTAATGCTATCATCACTGTTTAACCTTAGCCCCATAGGAGTAATCAACGACAACTATACTGCACATAACCTTTTTTCTGAGCGCGAGAACCATTCATTAAGATTTGCTAACGATCATTTATTTAATTTTTTTTTATAAAGATAGCACTTTTCTTGCCTTCTTAATAAGATATTCAAGGCAAAAAAACAAAAACAACAAAAATCTATAGCATTTGATGGTTTTGTTGGAGGATCAGGAAACCAAAAGAAGACCAATTATAATTCGTGAACAAGAAAGCTTTATATATTAATAATAAATTATGTGGTTTATGCGCAAAGCACCATATATATTATGCATTTAGCCGTCTTGAGGATGATTAGCTCTTGTATAATGTTTATACGAAACAACATATTAAGGAGACTATGGCACGTTCATCTATAGACTATACAATTCACGGTCTAACGTTTGCAAGATTTTTTCGAGCGCAAATTAAAAAAATAATAATAGTGGTTGAGGAGTTTATGGCAACACAGGTAAAAATATATGTTAGAAAACCACTATACTACAACATATATGTACGAATGTTTATTGAATAGTGTTTTGTATTCAAATCTTATATAAGAAAACATAATTTCATTTTTTTTTTTTTGCGATATCATGAAATAACTCCACGCGTAATCGAGCTAGAAACTCAGGACACAACCGAGACATAAACATAAAATTATAATAACTCTTCATTATTATTACTACTTAAACACAAGGGACGTTTATCTAATATACAAAGATACTCTTCATTATTATTACTGTTAAACTAAATACTTATTAGTTAGAAGATTTCTTTTAATTAGAAATAAAGAATTCATTAGTGGAAATTTTAATCGTTATTATACACATCTAGCAAATAGTTAAATGCATGATCAAATCCAAAACATACATAACCAATCCAAAACATGCATGCTCAATCATTAGTTAAAGGCTTTTTGTGTGTAATATTTCATAAGGAAGAGATCAATGTTTTTAAAGTACTTTGCTTAAAATCTCTACAAAGTAATTTACAGTACAATTGCCTTTATGCATATACAAATCCGTATGTTTCTTTTCTAAACATCGAAGAGTGCTAAAAAAACTTAGATCGTCGGTTTGTCAAAAGCATGATGAGACAAACAAACTTCATGCTTCACTTTCCTTTGGGAGCTGTATTTGGATCCTAAGAGACTAAATTTCAATTATAAATTGGCATAATTCCTTCCTAAATCATATTATGTGGTCGGGATTGCAAACGTTATGGGCTCCATCTTGAAGATTACAGTGGTTGGTTAGACTTGTGGGAAAAGAATAACAAATTTAATTTAGTATCTTAATGCTACAACTTCACCGTTCATAGACAAATTGCTCTGTTGGGTTTAATCACACTACCAAAACTCAATAGATATATAAACCTATTTTTATTTTGTCTACTACATTATTGACATTAAAATTTCAAAACTACTTTAGATTTTAACCCCCCCCCCCCAAAAAAAAAAAAAATCGATTATTATTAATAAAGAGCAAACTTTGACATTTGATCTTGAAGGGGTATATGAAAACAACAGTTGAGTTCATGTGGCAGACACTTTCCCTTTCATAAGTTTGAATTTTTGATGCAAAGGGCAAAAAAGGTCTGATAAGGAAATGAAGCCTAAGGCCAAATGATCCCTTAAGTTTATGACAATGACCATCTTCGGCACGCGCAGCTTCAAGAATTAAAGAAATTCGTACATCACAAAGAAAGCTACATCTCTACAGAGAAACACCATTAGAGAGTCTCCTGCAACATCAACTCAGGAACTGTTTTTCAATGTCTTAGGGAGTTATAAATCAGTTTGTGACAAATCAGTCTTCTCTGGACCCCGATTGAATAATATGGAGAAAGATAAGCATTTAATTTGCATAAAGTTTGTAGCACAATCATTTCAGAGGCATAATGTTACACCCCATATAACAAGTTTTTTTTTCTATAATCAAGGTCAAGAAACTATTAGATTAGACTTAAAAGATATAATATAAACCATGGTGATATTTGAACGAATAATTTAAAGCTAAGTTTGTGTGTTAGTGGGCACAAACTATAACAGTAAAAATGAGGAAATAATATAAATGGGAATAATAATTACCTCGTAGAACAATTTCTGATGGAGTAGGGACACATTAGAAGAAATGTTTCGAGTGATTTTCTGAACCTAAAAAATAAATTAATGAGGCAAATTTGATTAACAAGATTCAGAGTATATTGCCTTTGTGCTATTAAGTTCAATGAACTAGCTAGTAAATCTTTGAAATCTAATATAAGAATGAACGTAAATCTTTCAAAACAATGACTGATGAAGCATCGAGTCCCAAGTATTTCAAACGATAGCGACAAGTGAGTTGTTGTCTAATACCAAGTGTTATAGAACATAGAAAAAAAAAGGTTATCTTCAAACTATCTTCACGTGGTAAGTGGAGCCAATTCCACACCCACTGCACTAGATAGAAAGTAAGTAACTAACATGAGTAAGAAAAGGACTTGAGATAACGCGAAAAGACATCTAAAAGACTTGGAACTGAGAAGACAAAAGTAAGTCGTGGAACAAGAAGAAGAAGAAGGGGAAGCATCAAGTCTATCTTAATGGCTGAGCTTGAAAGTTTCAAACAAAGTGGAACCACTTTAGGGAGAAAACCAAGTCACGAGCCATATGCAGTGAAAGGGGACCCCTCCTCTAAGCCATGTCTCGGCTTGCGCCACGTGGATCTTAATATGATATGGTAGGATCACTATCTTGAATCTCAGACTGACTCATCTGACTGATAGATACCACTCACCAAAAAACTAACTATAATGTATGAGAAAAAGATTGTGGGGTTGGCCAACTTTTGAGACATCAGAAGAAACTACCACTGTAGAAAATAAAAGAAGAAAGAAAGTAAAAGAGGAGCAGTAAGGGGTCACAAGGTTTCTAAAGCCTGAAATTGTGACTTTTTGTACGTCACGTTTCAGATCTCTGTTGGGATTACTAATATTGCCCGAATTAGCTACTCTACTGAAACATGGTAGAGAGGCTAAATATGTCTTGTTCAAGTCATGCATGTAGGAGAATCACAAGTCTACTTGAAAACAACTCGAATTTTCTGAAACGGTCTAACAAAAAAAAAACGTTAGATTAGTACAACATTAATCAGTTGAAGTCTAAGCGCCCGAAAGTAAACAAAAAAAAATTGCAAGATCAATGATATGAAGGACTAACAAGTTTTCGAATGTTATCTACTTAGTTGACTACAGAGAGGATAAGCAATGTGAAGCTACAATATACATGAATCATGGGTTTAGGCTTCAGATGATAAAAGTAATAAGCCAAATACATATTCTTAATAATAAAATTCCTATTCATGAGGTCAAAACATCTACATAACAAGAAAATGTAAAGTATACATCAGCAAGACTATTGTTGATCGAAAAATCCGAGATTGATCGGAGCGTGGTGAGCGCGCTCGGGGTATGTATGAAATTGCTGCAGCTTTCTTTTAACCGCCATCTGATTTTGGTTAGGTTTCTCAATGTTGGGCTCAGATTTTAAACCTCGAAAAAATAAAGCCCATTATAAAAGAAGGCCCAATATGGACCGACCCGTTTCAGAAAATTGGTTAAAACGCGAAAGTTTATTAATAATACTAAAAAAAAGTTCTGAACGAAAACATAAGTTTTTTTTTTTTTTTTTTCCCGGCGTCTCGCTTCTTTTCCGTTTTGCTATTGCCTCTACAAAGGTAAGAACTTTCCTTGGAAAATCTCTGAATATTTGTTTCTCAGGAATACGGATTTTTTAATCATTGGGTTGTTGATTAGGTTATGGGTTTTCTCTTAGGAAAGACGGAGCTTGAGCAACTGACAAGTCTACTTCTTGTGTGGAGGTCGCGAAGAGGGTAGCGAGATTCGTGGGTTTCATCAATTTCTGGTAAAATTAAGCTCCCAGCTTCCATATTTCTCCTTAAAGTTGTTGATTTTTCCTATGATTCTTTGTCCTAAAGTTTCAAGTGTACGCCCTTATGAAGCTTAATACTTTGACTGTTAGCTGTTTGATTAAATTCCCAAGAGAGCACTGTCTTTGATTTTAGAATAAAGCTACCCGTTTTATCTCGTAGTAACTCTTTTTTGATTGATAATGCATCGTGTATATAAGGCATAGAGAGCTGACCTGGGATTTTCTTTGTTCCAGAGTTTTCTCTACATTGCTGCTTGCTCCGGTGGTGTTATTTTTGGGAAATAAAGAAGCATGGAACTCAACAAGGACGATAATGTTTCATTGGCACCAACAGCTTCAGTTCCTATAGCTCAAATCACAGCAGCTCCAATTCTACAAGATGCCTCATCTCAGCTAGGTAATTCATTAGCACTCAAGTAATTGTTACATCTAAGACTTTACTTTGTGATCATTAACTCTAAGTGTTTCTCCTTTACTGTTACTGCAGGCGTCGCCGCCATACCACATGTGGTTCCTCCTTCTTTTCCTCCACCAATGGCTCCGATACCAATGGCTCCACCTCCAGCTGCCCGTCCACCTACTTTTAGGCCACCTATTTCACAAAATGGTGGAGAAAAATCCAGTGACTCGGATTCAGATTCAGAGGATGAACATTATGAGATATCTGAAGAGAGTAGGCAGGTCAGAGAAAGACGAGAAAAGGCACTGAAAGACATGCAGATAAAACGTCATGCTGCTGCTATCGCAGTTCCAACGAATGACAAAGCTGTTAGAGATCGCCTCAGACGACTTGGACAGCCCATTACTCTATTTGGAGAACAGGAAATGGAGCGAAGAGCTAGGTTGTCTCAGCTTATGGCTAGGCTTAGTATCGATGGCCAGTTGGATAAACTTTTTAGAGCTCACGAAGAAGATGCCGCTCCAAAAGAGGAAGTGGATGATGAAGTACTTGAATACCCATTTTTTACTGAGGGTCCAAAGGAACTTAGAGAGGCTAGAATTGAAATTGCCAAATTTTCTATCAAGAGAGCTGCTGTCAGGATTCAGCGTGCAAAGCGGCGAAGAGATGATCCAGATGAAGATATGGATGCAGAGACTAAGTGGGCTTTGAATCATGCTAAAGGCATGGTCCTTGATTGCAGTAATTTTGGGGATGATCGTCCTCTTACCGGCTGCTCCTTCTCACGCGATGGGAAAATACTTGCCACATGGTACATCTCTCATCTCTATCTTTCTCACTCTCAAGCACAAATTTACATATTTTTCACATCCAGTTTCTTAGGCTTCGATCTACTTTTGCTCATCTCTATTTATTGATTAGAGTTTCATGGAATATATTGCATTCTACCTGCATATTCGTTTACATTGATATATCAGTAGATACGTATCCTAATAAACACTGAACCTGCTGATTTTCCTCAGTTTCAATTCCTTACACCTTTATCAGACCATGAAGTTAGTTATAGGGCTGTAGTTTATCTTATAACTAGCATACTCCATGTCTATTGCATTTGTCCCTTCTAAATGCATTACACGTTCTCTAGGTTCATGACTTATATGATTCACATAATTCCTCTACTGTCTAGTAATTCATGGTTTTTCTTTGTCTAGTTCTCTGAGTGGAGTTACAAAATTGTGGGAAATGCCTCAAGTTACAAACAAGATTGCTGTCCTGAAGGATCACAAAGAACGTGCAACTGATGTAGTGTTCTCCCCTGTGGATGATTGTCTGGCAACTGCTTCTGCTGATCGAACTGCAAAGTTGTGGAAAACTGATGGAACACTCCTACAAACTTTTGAAGGTCATCTGGATCGTCTTGCACGCGTTGCCTTCCACCCATCAGGGAAGTACCTCGGAACAACAAGCTTTGACAAAACATGGAGACTGTGGGATGTAAACACTGGAGCAGAGCTGCTTTTGCAAGAAGGTCATAGTCGTAGTGTCTATGGAATTGCATTTCAACAAGATGGAGCATTAGCAGCTTCTTCTGGGCTTGATTCACTCGCACGGGTTTGGGATCTCCGCACTGGTAGGAGTATTCTCGTCTTCCAAGGACACATTAAACCGGTAAGACTCAAGTTTCGTTTTCTTGGTCCTCTTCCTCAGGCAAAATTGATCATTCATTAACCCTTATTTTAATCTTCTCTGTTGTATAGGTTCTCTCAGTGAATTTCTCTCCTAATGGTTATCACTTGGCATCGGGTGGTGAGGATAATCAATGCCGTATTTGGGATCTAAGAATGAGAAAGTCATTGTACATTATACCAGCTCATGCTAACCTTGTGTCTCAAGTGAAGTATGAACCACAAGAAGGCTACTTCCTAGCCACTGCCTCATACGACATGAAAGTCAATGTAAATACTTCTGTAATCCCTTGCCCTAAGTATTATTTCAATTTTTTTTACTTAATTGTCTGTTTCCACTATTTCTAACATTTTGTCTATAACAGATATGGTCAGGCAGAGATTTCTCACTTGTTAAAAGCTTAGCAGGACACGAGTCAAAAGTCGCCTCTCTAGATATCGCTGCAGATAGCTCCTGTATCGCTACTGTATCACATGACCGCACCATCAAGCTTTGGACAAGCAGTACCAGCGAAGAAGACCAAGAAGACCAAGGCGGAGACACAATGGACATAGATCTCTAGCTTCTTTTTTCATATTTGTGCGAGCAAAATATTAGAATCGAGGGATTCAGAGATTCGCTTTTGTTAGAGAGAATCTTTAAGATGGATTGATTGTAATCTTTTGGGGGGTTATAACACACTCAAGAAGATGATACATCGTCTTTAGAATTTTTTGCCACTACGTCTAACAAAATTAAATAACTGAACTTTGTTTCCAATACCATGTTAACCAAAATTACGTTGCTATATAAGATTGTACAAGGAAGTCTAAATAATGTTAAGTATTTGTGACTTGTCTGAAGATATTCTTCTGGTTGCAGATTATTTGTACCAACCAGCAAGAAAGTACCGAAGTATGAAACAGAAGGCGCACGCCAGAGTCTGCAGTAGAAACAAAATATAGTATCACTACAAAACCAATAACGATTATTTTGATAATATAGAAATGGTGATGAACATATAATTAAGAACTACCTGGAAAACGAGAAGATGGATGCAAAGAGACTTTTCTGATTTAGGACCAAATAACCTCAAGTAAACGTTAACGAGTGTCCCATCTTTTGTTCCGGTCAATAATCCGGTTGCAGTATCAAACCTGGGATATTCCAAAAGACAATATGAGTGATGCGTATGTTCTTTAATCAATCTACAAAAGGTAAGAACACAAAGATGTTTACCTCGGGAGACGATGGCGTGGACATTTCACAATGCCAGCAAGCTGAGGAGTTAAATATAGAATGTTAGATAGTTGAAACATGGGTTCACAAGAGTATAAGCAAGCCGGAGAAGAGTTTCATTAGATATGAACCTGAGGAAGCGACAATAGAAAATTCAAAACCTGAGGAAGAAAGAAGATGAGGAGGGTTTCACTGCAAAATCAAAATTTCAGAAGAGAAAGATGGCATTGGAATCAGTTGCAGTGTGTAACACTAGCTGGATATATGATGCAAACGAAGATTCTGAGCATAAAGTATAAGAAACTATAAGGGAAAGAAGAACTACGATATGTTTATAAAAAGGCTTTAGAGGTCATAATATTTAAGGAGGATTTGGAAGTATACCTGAAGTGACCCAGAATACCAACAACTGCCATAGTCATTCCGGCAAAGACTGTATAAGTGTCTCCAACAAAAACTGAGGACGGATACCTAACAGCAGAAGATGGCAAGAACTGGTCAGAAAAGGCATTACTTGAACTAAAAGAAGAAAAAAAAGGTTTTTTAAAAGTGAAAAAGTTGTGAAAGATTTTACCAATTGTAAGCAAGCAATGGTAAGGATGTTGCCATCAGTGGTTGAGTAAGAAATATCGAAAAGGCGTGAGCTTGGTGATACTCGGGATCAGTAGATGATCCGATTTGCATAATGTTGTGTATCAGGATCTACAAGTAACTGGGATGCATCATATCTCAACCCAAAAAAAAAAAAAAAACAGATAGAGAAGAAGCCTAAAACATTATGTATGACCAGTGACTTACAGCAGCGGTGGTAACAACTGTTTGACCAATTTCAAGGCCATTCAAACCAGCGTGAATGTTTATAGAGTTTGTGCAGAAGACGGCAAGTAACCCCATATATAACTTATATATCCGTCCTGCAACATTGAAACATCCATTGAACTAACCATGAACATTCCCCAAAAATACAGTTATGGAAGTCAACATGGTAAACATGTACAAGAATCAGTACCTAGATCAAGCACTTCCAGGCCAACATAAGCAACTAGAGGTTTCGGTATGACAATAGTTGTATGACCAGCATAAGCCATCAACAGTGGAAGAGTAGCGAAAGATGGCAGGACAAGTTTCCTGTTTCTTATAAAAAAATTAACAAGCGAGAAGATGTAAACAACAATCGTTTATGAATTTCATCAGAATCAAAAGATAAAAATTTAAACTTACACTCTCCAAGGCACATCAAGGACATCATCTACAAATCCAAGCAAAATCATGAAGCAAATAGATGCCAGTGCTGCATTATACTCCACAAGCCACTGCACAAAGAATCATTACCCAAATTGAGGATCCAGGTGTTAATTAGTGGCATGATCGATCTGAGAAGACTTACATTCGAATCTTCAGTGAAATTGAAATACTGAAATATGATCGCCACGATCAAGAAGACAATACCAACAACGATACCCAACGATTCAGGCCTGAAAGCGAACAAGAGGAAATGAAGCAAATTTCGATCATAGTTGTAAGCTGATCACACCGATGGATCAAAACTTACACTTTAATTTCTCCTTGAGGCGTTCCCCTTTTGTTGATATCAAAACCAAACATGTTACGTCTCAGAACGTATCTGGCAGCGACAGGAATCATCTTGAGTGTGACAAAGAACCCAATCAAGCTAAGCCCAGCGTTGATGAGAATCGAGCGCCTGAGCTCGTTTTCAACCTTGTAGTGAAAACAGAGAAGGTAGAGATAAAGCGAGCAAAGAAGAGTAGAGATCACGAAGATCACTCCTAGTTTCGGCGGCGCGAGACGGAATTCCTCACCGGAAGCATTCCGGGTCATCTTCTGCTCCGATGGCGCTGAATTTGGAGCTGATTCATCCGGTTTATTCGAAGCTGACGTCGAAGAAGCTCTCTTACGAGCTGCCATGGCGGATCCGTTCGCTTGAATTTCGATTCCCCGCCTCTGGATTCAGCTTCCAAACCGGTTTATCGAGAGCAAAGTCTCTTTAGGCGTCACAGAGACCAATAGAGCTTTGCCACTTCGCAGCAAGACGACACCGTGTCATCCCAATAGGATTTTTAAGTTTTTAAAATTATATGAATCAGTCAACTCAAAATTTTTGTTAGATATAGGTTAATTACATACACATAAAATCAACCTTAAAAATCAAATAAAAAAATCTTTGTCGGACTTGCTTAAAAAAATCAAATGATTCTCTATTTCCGTAGCTAAAAATATGTTTGAAGTTTGTTGTGGAAGTATAAATTTACTCTGCTTGATGAATTGTGCTTTGAGTTTTCTCTACTATATTGAATTGGGTTGCACGACCTAATCTAAGTGATAAGTCCAACCTAAATCATCTTGATCAAAGATTTTATCCAAAATAAAAATAAAAATGTTGATCAAAGAGTATAATCTAGTCCACAATCTAGAACTATGCTCTAATAAGCAAGTTTTTAATATTAATTTTACATGTTTGTGGCAAACAAACAAAAATCTTACATGCATGGTCTTCCATATTTACATATTTACGACAACCAAAAAGAAACTAAAAATATTTAACGGACGTTAACACCATCAAATGAATGTCTTCTGAATTGAAAAAAAAAAAAATAACACTATGGACACAATTCAATCAAGTAATAACGCATGCACTTTATGTAAATCATGGAGGTATGTATAATAGTAAACAAAATGAGTTTTTAGAAGCGATGGTTATGATTTTATGCTTTTCACTTTCGGTATCCAGAGTATTTCGTCGTTCTTTTACATTAGATCGATCTCGGATTTTCGATTCTTTTTTTGTAGCAACAAAAAAAAAAAATTCACAAAGATTAGGATCAAGATAAAACTGCAAAAGAAGGGGAGATGTGAACGGGAAAAAATAGTGACGACTTATTTCAGAGTTTAGTTGTGAACACGTTTGTATATTTCATGGATTGCTAATGTTTTAGGAGTGATCCAAGAAACTTTAGGTAAAGCAAACGAATCATAAATATTCTGAAAGGACGTCTATAAATAAAAAGAAAAAGCTGATTTTGAAACGTACGTTAGCACAAAACTCGTAGACATGATAAGTTTAGAAATAAAAGTATATGAAAACTAATATAATCAAACCCCATGATTTCCCATAGTGGCTACCAAGTGTATATACCAACAAATATATATAAAATAAACTTAAAACAAAATGAAAAAGTAGGCACTATCTGTCCCCACACGGTTCCATTGAGACAAAGGCTTATGTATGTGTGTGACTATATATAAATCTCAGTTGGTTCTTGAACTTCATGATTATATGTAAACTGATAAGTGATAACACACACAAAAAAAAACAAGAGTTAGAAAAATGGGAGTGTACTTAGGCAACTACTGTTATGTAATTATAATAGTATTGGTGTTGGGAAAAGAAGTGATAAGTCAGTCGTTAAGTAATGGTTATTATTCAACTTCATGTCCCAAAGCTGAGTCAATAGTAAGATCCACCGTTGAATCTCACTTTGATTCTGATCCCACTATTTCTCCTGGCCTGCTTAGGCTTCATTTCCATGACTGTTTTGTTCAGGTTCCAAATCTTCTTTAATCTCATTCTTCTCTAAGCAATTATACAAGTTAACTGAATGTTGAATTTGACCTATTATTAGGGTTGTGATGGATCGGTCTTAATCAAAGGGAAATCTGCCGAGCAAGCAGCTCTCGCTAATGGCGGTCTTAGAGGTTTTGAGGTGATAGATGATGCGAAAGCCCGGCTAGAGTCAGAGTGTCCAGGAGTGGTGTCATGTGCAGATATACTTGCACTTGCTGCTCGTGACGCTGTTGACTTGGTACGCAAGTTTACTAAACCTAATTAGGGTTTACTTAAATTCTTTGGAAGATTATTTATTAATTACGTATGGAAAACAGAGTTCAGGGCCAAGCTGGCGAGTTCCAACGGGTCGTAAAGACGGGAGAATCTCGTTAGCGTCGGAGGCATCGAATCTACCTTCGCCACTTGACTCTGTTGCTGTTCAAAAGCAAAAGTTTCAAAACAAAGGATTGGATACTCATGATCTCGTCACTCTACTCGGTTTGTTTTTCATCTCTCTGTCTTTTTTCTTTCTTTTTAGAAAATCTAACTTCTTGCTTTGACATCCATAATTTATATTCTACTAATTTCCCGCAAGAGAAGAGTCTATCTAATTTTTCGTTTAAGAATCATATTTTCATTTTTCGATCATTTAACTTTTTATATTTTTATGAGTAATTGTTTTGTTCATCGGTATTTTTATCCATAGTTGCGGATCATTAGGACTTTAACTAAATCCGGATGCAGAACGCGCTATCCATTAGTTAAACCACTACATTGAAAAATATGATTCATGAGTAAGTAGTTCATAGCTGTTAATAGCCTGTTATGCTAAATCCTACTATATACAGATATATGTTTAAAAGAAACATAAAGTTCGAAATTTGAAAACAAATTTATGCACAAAAAACGCCAACATGGAAAAAAGTTTAAGTGCCTAAAAGTTGTAGTATGCCTTGTTTCATTTTATACTTTTTTCTTGGATTTTAAGCAAAGGATCATTACACAATTAATCGTTGATTTGAGGAGGAAGATTTGAAATTGAAAAACACCTTAGCCACCGTCTTTCACAAAATCGATCAAGAAAATTATTAACTCGGAAGATTAAAGTCATCTTTTCTTTGACGTATGTTAGATCGATCGTATTTGATCCTGACGAGGGTACGTCATAAAGTCCTAATGATCCGCAACTATAGATGCTTTGTTTTAAAAAGTTAGCTTTTTATTCAGTAATTGTATTTTTTTTAGTTGAAAAGAACATAAAAATGAATGTTTTGAAATATCTAAAATGATTAATTATCTGGTTGAAATTTTTACTTCAAAAAACGCTGGTACGTAGTAGCTGCTGAAGTTTAGAAATAAAAGTAAACTGAGACACTTGCTATTAGCCCATCTTGATCTTCTTCTTCATATTTTTTTTCTTTCTAAAATTTACACCTGCTTCTCTTGTCTCTAATGAACATGCATGTGCCATTTATCTTTTCTCTCCAAAATAATAACACATTATATATGCAGGTGCACATACAATAGGACAAACGGACTGTCAATTCTTCCGTTACCGTCTATACAACTTCACGGTGACCGGAAACTCCGACCCAACCATAAGCCCATCGTTTCTTACGCAGCTCAAGACTCTTTGTCCTCCCAATGGAGACGGTTCAAAACGTGTTGCTCTTGACATTGGCAGTCCCTCGAAATTTGATGTTAGCTTCTTCAAGAACCTACGAGATGGTAACGCCATTTTGGAGTCGGACCAACGGCTTTGGTCGGACGCCGAGACAAAAGACGTGGTGAAGAAGTATGCGAGTACTATTAGGGGTTTGTTAGGGTTTAGGTTTGATAATGAGTTTGGTAAAGCTATGGTTAAGATGAGTTCCATTGATGTAAAGACAGACGTCAATGGTGAGGTTAGGAAAGTTTGTTCCAAGGTGAATTAAATTCGTTTTGAGGGCAAAAAAAATTTATATGTATTAGCTCTTGCCTCTTGTGGTTCAAGGAGTCCCTTGTTGGCTTATGTAACGTCCCAAGTTCGAGATATTATATTGTGATGAAGATATTAAAAATTAGTTTCTCAATAGAAAATAATATAGGAAAAAATTGATTGGTTAAAAATCTGTAGATAAGGAATGAAATTTCAGTTTAGAAAAATAGTTTACATTTTCTTATTGAGATACAAGGTTATTTTACAAGAATCCCTATATTAATGTATTTTTCTATTTGTAGTGATTGAGCAAAAGTAAGCATAAAGATAAAAAAAACATTAAAAGACAGTGAAATAATAGTTGGCAACAGAAACACCTATAGAATTCTGACAGAAAAAAACAAAACATATCAACTTCTCCCATTTATTAGTATGAACGTGATTTTCGTGTCGGTCTATAGACTATATTCTATAGATAATTGGCTTGGTCCACCAAACAACATGCTAAGATCTGACCTTGTTCATCTCCACATCTTTTCAACGACAGATTAAAACTGAAAATGCTTAGATTAGCGATTTCTTTGTTCCTCTTTGCATTATGCTCTTTCACATCGTCTTCCTCTGCGAGATCATTCTTTCAATCAAAACCTCGGCCGATTGATTCATTTCTCCCTAAACCCAAGCTAGAGGTAATGTCAATCTCGATTCACTATCCCAAGAATTACGGATACATCTTATTGATTTCTTTTTGTTTTTAATATATATTTTGGGCTGAAAATTTCAGAATGCGGGTGTGTGTTCTTACACGGTGATCATTAAGACAAGCTGTTCCTCGGTGTCTTACACAAGAGATAAGATCAGTATTGCGTTTGGTGATGTGTATGGCAACGAGGTGTGTATATTTTTATTCATTTCTTGGTTTTACATCTACAAAATATCCATAAATCGATTTTTGCTTCAATGGAAAATGATTCCGTAATCAATTAAGTTTAGAATTTGAGTTAGAATTTTTTCCCCTTTTATTTCTCCTTGACAATGCTTTCAGAATTATTGAAGTTTTTTTTGGTTCTGCCGGATAGCGTCTGGATTTTATGATCCAACGAACTTGGCCTAGGTTTAACCAATCCCAGCTTAGTCAGTCGATTTTTATGATTCCTAATCGAGATAAAGGGAAAATTTGTGAAAATTCAGATCTAAAAATGCGATTTTCTTTGTCAACTAACATACATAGTTTCTTTCTTCTTTCTTGTTTATTGTTTTTTCCCCCCGACCCATAAAGCAAAAAGTATAGTAGTATTAACCATTAACATGCGTTTTTAGTAATTACAATGATGCATACTTAAAAGGTTTTATTCTTGAAATGTCGTCACATATGTGGTTATATTCTCTCGATCCTTAATTTGTGTAATAAAATTAGGGAAAAAGCAGTGAATATATATATATATACGTGTGTGTATATTTATCTTTTTATTTTTGTTAATCCTTTTATTTATTTATTTGGTGATCAAGGTATACGTGAAGAGACTAGACGATCCAAAGTCGAGGACATTTGAAAAGTGTTCTTCAGACACATACAAGATAACGGGACCGTGTATGCGCGACGTGTGTTATCAATACCTCCTCAGGCAAGGATCCGACGGCTGGAAACCGGAGAACGTGAAGATCTACGGCTCATCCATCAGATCAGTCACTTTCTACTATAACCTCTTCTTGCCTAACTCCGTTTGGTATGGCTTTAACGTCTGCAATGGCATTGGCTTTGACAAGTCTTCTGATCATCAACCCATCATTGCCTCCGCCCTCGCAGCTGCTATGTAAGATTTTATTATATAAACAAAGAGAGTTGATTATCTGTGAATGATGTGTTACACTAGTATTGTGTTGTTTTGTATTTGTGAGAGAAAAACATGTACAATGTGAAATTGTTAATGCCGTGATGATGTGATCATTTTCTTTAACAAAATAAAAAATAGCATGCAAATTTGCAATTTGTTGAGATCCTTTTGTCAAAAAATATATATATATATATGCAACAAGACAATACTAATATTCACATTTTTCTTTTTTTATCTAACAAGTATTTGACTAAAACTATTATATTCAGTTATTTGCAAGTGAATTAGTAAACCAAGAGGCGCAATGAAACTAAATCATAAGCATAGATTGGCCAAGACTAGGAACTTACTGTTCTGTTTGGGGGTATCATTACAAATAGAGATATATAATTCATATAGTTCACATAAGCACGGCTCTCTGTAGAAGCAAAAACTTGTGAATCTATCGCTGAAAGCCATTTAGAACTTTAGTCAAAACACCAACAAAAACTAGGAGGAACTGTGAAGCTTTGAATAAGTCAGAGCTTGAGAATAAGGCCAATGGGGCAATGATCACTGCCGTTGATATCAGGGAGAATGTAAGAATCATGGACATTGGCTGCGATCGATTCAGATACCAAGAAGTAGTCCAGTCTCCATCCTGTTTCACACACCAATTCACCAGTTTAACTATCCAAAATATGAATCTGAATATGTATCAAACAACTACCAACATTTTTTTTATGCATACTTAATTACCTCTGTTGGTTTTACGGGCACCATGGCGATAACCCCAATAAGTGTAACCTACAACACCAGGATGTTGCTTTCTAAAGGTATCCACCAAGCCCTTGTCTAAGAAGTTTGCTCCAAAGGATTGTCTTTCTTCTATTGTGAAACCAGCACTTCTTTTGTTCCCCTAATTACACGATTAGGTGAAACAAGAACGAAACAAACCAAGAGGTGATTATTGTTTTCAACTAATGGAATGAACATAAAAAGAAGAATCTGATTTTAGTTACCGCGGGATTGTGGATGTCGATTTCTTCATGAGCACAATTTAGATCACCAGTCAAGACCACTGGTTTAGACTTCTCCAGCTCCTGCAAATGCAACAAAGCCATTGAGGTCTGTGTAAGAAGAACATATACAATAAATAAAGAAACAAAGAAGAAAAATTTCATACTTTGATGTAATCGCTGAGGGTTCGATCCCATTCTTCAATCCTGTATGACTTGAAAACCGAAACATTTTGTTAAACTAAAGAAATATAGAATATGTCAGCTGTAGAAACTAGATGCCGTAAAATTTGAGGAGTACCAGTCTTTTTAAGCCATCTCCGGAATTAGGGACATAGGTGCTTATCAAGTAGAATGAGTCGAATTCAGCAGTCACAATGCGTCCTTCCATGTCATGATCTGATCCGGATAGGCCAGTACCATATCTAACCGAGAGCGGTTTTATCTGTCACAAAAAGACCAACTTGATTAGATCATTCACTTTTCAATTTCACATATAAGATGGAATGGATATGAAATAACAAATAAGCACATTCTCGTGTTACCCGTGAAATGATCGCAGTTCCAGAGTAACCAAGTTTTGAGACGCTGCAGGACCAGAAACTATGATCATAGCCCTCAATAAGAGTTTTCTTAATTTCCTCAACATCCTTCACCTGCCAATAAGTGTAATAAATGTATTCAGTAAACAGTTTTAAGATCTGGCTTTCATTCAAATATAGAGCAGAAAATACTTAAGACGGGCTAATGTTCTGTAATGACCTGGATTTTAGTCTCCTGCAAGCACAACACATCAAAGTCTTCTCTTTGGGCAAGCTGCAGAGCAGAGAAGCTCTCTAACTTCAACAATGCTCTCAATCCATTAACATTCCAAGTCATAACCTTCACAGACTTGGTACCCTTTGGTAGAGGTGGAGGTCTCATTGTCTTTGGGTTATAAGGTTTCCAGTCTTTCTCAGGGTTCTTATGGACAAGTACCGTCCATGGTTCAGTTTGATTTGAGGATGAGACGATTTCTTCCGTTTTAATGACTTCGCTAGAAAAGGTCAATGATGCTTCTTCCTCTTTTAACCGAGATGTCTGCTTACCTAGTAGGATTAAGCAAACACAAATAAATTCATAATATTCTATTGAGATGCCAGTATATAGTACACAGTGTTCGCTTTGTTTAACACATGACAAACCTGTTTTCGTCATTGACTTCCGTTCGTTTGAGATAGCTTTTGAGGAAACTTTAGCTTTCAAGTTTTTCTCAGTAGTCTGTTTTACTCTTCTCTCTCCATGGTCATTCCCATAAACTTCAGAGCTAATGCAGTCATCTTCAGTAGACTCTTCCTTATTTCTGATTTTTCTTTTGGTAGTGACACTTCCTGAACGGGTGGACGAAGTAGTTTCCTTTTTGTCTACACCAGAACTTTCATCTGTAACAGATAAACACGCAATGAATTGGTCTTTACTAAAGAAAAAATGTAGAATAGACACAGGTCCGAACCAAAGTTCTTTACTGCCTTCACCAAGAAATCAGAAGCTATAGCAATTGCAAACAAGTCCACATTCGTTTTTCCATTCCACATTCGTTTTTCCATTCCATTCCAAATCGAGGGTGTGTTTTTGGTGTGCAGTGACATACCTGGTAACTTTTTCCCCATATGAAGTCGTAACACTGAGATAAGTTCTTGCTTGCGTCCTTTCACAGGTAGCTCAAGTTTCCTATATTCAAAACCGCGAATACACAAATGTTCCACAAGTTCAAACAAAAGTCAGGAATTTGGATGTCCACAGAAACACTGACAAAGCAGCAAGAAGGGAAGATTAAAAGGAGCATAGGCTTGCCTCAATGTAGCTCTAAGTTCTTGAACAGTCATTGTCTCGATTTCCTTTTGATCATCGTGAACAATTCTCATTTCATCTCTATCACTATCACTTCCCTATACATCAAAACCAACAATTAAACAAAATAACTAAGACTCCTTAGGAACCAGAACGAACAATCACAACCTTAGCACCAACCATTTGATGACAATTCTGATCAGTAGCTGCCCCTACTATCTTGAGTTCCTTTCCCTTGCTGTTGTTGATTGAGAAAGGTACGGATTTAGCCGTAGCATTTGACATAAGTCTCTTGTTGAAAATTGTTGTTCCAATTCTTAAGCTCCTAAGAGGCACCGCCAGAAACCTAGAATCATCATCAGTCACGAAATTTAGAATTTTGGAAAAAAAAGTAAAAAATAAAATGAATAAAGGTCAAGGCTTTGGATTCATATATCAGCTAAATGAAACAGAACCCCAATATCCGAAATCAACCAGTGGGTTTGATTTGTCCGAATGTAAGGAAACGAGTCAGAAGAAGAACAAAAAGGCGATAATACAGCAGACAATTCGAAGCATTTATTTGACAGTTTTGGACAGAAACGTACTTGGCGACACTGATAACGGAGCTTTGGAGACCGAACTGAAGAACCTTGTTCATCGAATAAGTGCACATAAGCTAGACGAAGGGACGAGAAAGAACCGCCAAAAAATAGCGTCTTAAAACGCGATTTCCAATTTCGCTCGCTCATCTCTGCGCGTTTAGGCACGCGCCGTTTTTCTTTGTTCACTTACAGGAGTGGCTCATTTTCATATCCAAACCAAAAAACCAAAAAACCAAAAAAAAATATATAAAACTGTTGGATCATGAACTCGGATGTTAAGTAATAGAATCAGATTAATCCAAAGCGTTATTTCTACATAGAGTTTATTTAATTAAGGGACCAAGGAGATCCACAATTCTTGCTCTAATATTTCTCTTGTATAAAATCTAAGCGAAAAATGTACATCAAGACTCGGTTTTTATCTCTCTGAAAACTTTAGAATCATCCTCAAAGAAAATTCAAAAGTAAACACTTGGGGTTGATTTCAAGCGTGGAGGAGATTGCGGTGGTGCCGCTGATGCTGCTTGAGATTCACCATCAAGATCATGATCAAGGTTAAACTCCAAAACTTTCCTCCTAACAGTTGCTTGAGATGACTCTCTAGTATTGCTTGAGGCTGAAGAGTTGTCTCTGTTCTTTGAGAAAGACATGTGAGCTGAGGTTACCACTGAGCTGAAAACACCTGCTTCTCTTAGCTCTTGGATTATAACCTGAGAAAGATTATATCTTTGTGAAATCAAAAGCACTTAGAAAGTGTAAAAAATATTGAATTATGAACTGACCATTGGTGCATAGATGCGAGTCAGAATTCCCTTTTTAAGAAGTTTGAGGATCAATTTCTTGTCAGTCCATACAACTCGTTCTCTATACCATTGAAGCATTTCCTCTGAAGTTGAAGTTGAAGCAATGATGAATGCCTGCCAAGAAATGAAAACAAATGTGATGAATAAAAGCTATACAATTTGAAGAAATAAAACCAAATCAAAACTCACCTCTCTGTCAAATTCTAGCATGAAACATCTCTTGACATCCTTTCTAGTTGGTTTGCAGCCACATCGATCACGTCTTGAAGTAAGATCTGAGAATCTTGGGTAAGTGTAGTGCAGAATCGCAGCTTCGTCTAGTTTAATGGCACTGTCACAACAAAGATATAGGATCAATGTCATATTCCAAAAGCAAGAGAATGAATGTCTATGTCTAAGCCAAAGTGAGAACAAGAACATACTTTGGGATCTTCTCGTAGTTATACCATCGATGAGCACCATTAGGCCGAAGATGGTCTTGAATCCGAGCAGCGGATTTCCCATTTGCATAGGTAAGAAAATAGTTTGGATTGCCACGAGTCGCCTCGTGATAGCTTCCAAAGTAAACATCTCTAGGAAGATGTTCATAATTCTTCTTGAACATTGACACCTAAAAGTTAAAAGAAGAAGAAAAAAAAAACACTTTTGGATATGTTAAAAACCAAAGACAAGTTTGTTCTAGATGATAATGCTATGTACACCTCACTGAAAGGTTCTTTGATATCATCTCGCTCAACGCTGCTCTCCTAAAAACAAGAACAATATTCACGAGTTATCCACAACAAGAAACCGAAGAAAGAAGAAAGAAAAAAACAATTCAAATGTGTTATAAGAATCGTTGAGCTCACGTAATTTGCAAAGATAACTGCGTCCACATCAGCAGGAACATCTCTGAACAAATTTCTTAACGAATAGTCACGTGCTCCAGAAGGATGCACAAGCTCATCGGTGTCGAGATGCAGTATCCAATCCATTCCTGCATCCTAATATATATATACCAAGCACATTGAGAGAATGTGAAGAGATAAAATGTTGGGAAATGTAACTTTATTTTACTAGTGAATATGACTAAATGTAAGTGTCAGCCAAAAAACAGGGGAATGTAACAAGTACCCTAGCCATGATGATAGCCATTTCCATATTCAAGTTTTGTTTTACGAATAACTCGTAATTACACGGTTGGTAGAAGAATTTCTCCAACCAAGTCTCATTCCAAATCCGGCTGAAATTAGAAAAAAAATTGTGATGATTCTGAAATAACAACCATTTTAAAGGTGGCCACTTTTGGTAAATCAAGATGTAGACAAGGAAAACAAAAGAGCACACAAATCAGTTAACCCAATATGTCTAAATAACCAGAGTTGGTTCCTTCAAATCCACCATTTTTATTTAGCTATACATGGGTCTAAAACCGTAACTTAATGAACAAACACAAAACACAAGAATGAATACCTTTTAGCTTGCTCTTCTTCTAATTCTCTTGTCCTGTATATAACGTTTACACCCTGCAAATAAAAATTAGAACATAATGACAAAAACAAGAAGACTAATAAATAAGGATTCAAAAGAAGTCGATGATGTAACAGGAGAAAAAGGCTTACAGGGATGGACTCCAAAACTCGAGACACATTAGGGGAAGCAGCAGTGCCTTCAACGAAAAGATAAAAGGTTGAAACTCCAATGACCTTGTGATAGAAAATCCATGGCAGTGTCTGCTCTAATCCTGCTGATGTGCTCGTCGTTATACATATCTACACACAAAAAAATCCGATTTTTATTTATCATATATCAGATTAGAATCAAAAACGCGACAAAAAAACAGGATCAAGAGTCTCTAACTCTTGGTTTCAGATCAGGCTTGTAATCAAGCTTCAAATCCCGGAGATAAGGAAACGATGGAGCACGGCTCTGACCCAGAAGAGAAACGCAGCCCGAATCAGACCGTTTCTCGGGGAATGTGGCCATTCCGGGGAATCGATGGTTATCAGTAAACCATTGCGTAACCGAGTCGTTGATTTCGCCTCGCCATTGGAGGAGGAAGGCGAAGCAGGCTAAGGAGAGAGGAAGAAGGGTCACTAGCAAGAAAAGCCGCGAGGCAGAGGAAGATGATGACGAAGTTGGTTTCGACGAGTAGAGAACCGCCATGTGAGAATGCAACAGGAAACGTCAGGCGCGTAGATAGAGGTGTGGTGTTGTGAGGGAGACGACGATACTTGAAAGCTGAAACTGAAACGAGTTTTTGAAATGAAAAGTTGGAGCCGTTTTTGTCAGTTGGCCATTCTTGTTATTTCTTGAATCTTCAGGTTCGTTAGTTAAATAACGGAAAGTTACTTTATGGGTTTTAAGAGCAAAGAAAAGTCAATATATATGTTGGTTTAGTAAATACTTAAATGAGAGGTGGGAAAATTTTGGTAGCAATTTATTAATTAGGAGTTTTGACCTTGAATAACTCTTTCTGATAGTTTTTGTTTTAATACATTGCCGAAAAGAGTAACGAGGAAAATGGCATTTAGTTTGAGTCCAAAACTGAAGAAGTGGTAACGCCCATTATAAAGTTTTTCTACTGTTTCCACAATTTCTTCTCTAAGTATGAGTTTGACTTAAGGGGGCAAAATTAATGCTAAACTTATCATCTTTAGGCTAATCAATAAAAGCCACGTGGTATCATGAGTAAGTTACCAAAGCTAAAAGTAAAATTCGAAAAGGTTTCCTGGAAGCTAATTTCTTCTACCAATCGAAGGCTCGATAGCATCTTAAATTGCTATCAAATTAGCTCAATAGCATGTTAAAGACCAAAATTAGGAGAATAGTAGAAGAGGAAAATGTATTAAAAACCTATATACGCACGAACACAGAATTAATGTGGGAAAAAAAATAACACGGAATTTTATTTTTATACATAAATAGATTGGCGACTTGAGCTTAGTAGCCTAGCTAGCCACTCAGGTTCGACAAAAGTCTGTGGATTTCCATGTAAACCCAAAGACAAAAGAGCAAAAGATAGGTAGTGAAAATTTTCAGGCTAAAAAGAGAGAGGTCTCGAGTTCGAATCACAAGGACTCAACAAACTGAGAAACTTGAAGGTCAAGTTGTTGCTTCATGACACAGTTCATTAACCATTCGCTACTGAATGTCCAAACCCTTTTCTTTGCTGCACGTAAAGCCTCCACTGTGTCTTCTTCGCACCCTATGTATATCGCTTTTGATGTCTCCTTTACCTTATCCACTCCTCTAATCACCTGAAAAATTCCCCGCAAAAAGTACATGTTTTGGATTCAAATGTATAAGCTTGTGGTGAAGTAACCTGTAAATTCTGTAATTTAGCACTTACATTTCCACCAGCAGATTTTATGATAGCGGATGAAGTTTTAATAGGCAACTGAACGTGAGGTCCAACGCATATGTCATATCCTTGAAGCAACGAGTTTGGTCTAGCTTTTGCTCTAAGAACTGTGCTCTTCAGATCGGTTTCATATTTCAACTGGTATTCTTCATCGTGCAATATGTGCGAAGCTTCATCTATTAATTCGGTTTCAAAAAAAAAGGAAGATAGTGTCAGCAATAGAATTCAGAGAGCTTGAGAGTAACAATTAACATCAGATAGATATATAAATTCATGGGATGTTTTTTTTTCTCATCTTACTAGCAAATCTGCCTTGTCGAAAGCTTTCTTTTAACCAACTTGGTGATACGATCCAAGCCCTGCAAGCAAGTATGATGCAACATAAAATGGTTTATACTTAAGATTAGCACATAATTTCGCAACAGTCAACATGATGCCCATAAATTTGAGACTAACCCAGAGCAAAGAGCAGTGCAGAAATTAAGCGTTTTCCTGACTTTTCCGGTGACAATATGTGTGCTCATGTTGCCATCCAAGGTCACATCCCCACCTAGTTTTCTTATTACCTACAATAGAAACCACAAGACAACATAAGGTGAATAGAAAACACATCTGTGATACACATGACTTAGAAATAAACATATACCTCTGTTAACCAGGCTCTCTTGTTTTCATCCCCAATGTCCATCAACAAGATTCTATAGTTTTGTCCATTTGGAGGAGCTTCCATGTTGATCAGAGAGTCAGACATCCCAGTCACCGTTCTGTATTCTTCACCATTGTTTCTTTTGGGCAGAGGATTCTTGGTTAAATCCACTTGTGAGGAAGAACCGTCTTTCGATTGCTTCTGCTCTCTTGCAGAGTTTATGGCCAAATCATTTTTAGCTATCTCAGTCTCATTATTGCGGTTTGCCCTAACCCTTTTGGATTGTAGAGAAGACAGTGAAGCTTCCCAAGATCTCTTCAAGCCCGGTGTGGAGCATTTGGTCTCACTGTCAGCTGTGGTAGCTTGATCAGAGATCACGTTATTTTGTTCCTTTCCTGTTATCGACTCCATTAGACTTCTGCTACCAGAGAGACCTGTGTATGGCACATGGTAACAGAAATGTATGATTATTCTTAAATAAGTGAAAATGCTTTGTGATGTGGCACTACACAAAAGAAACATACGCAAATTACTTCATTTATTTATAGCCAAATTCTCTTCGAGTGCTTGATGAAAACAATTGGAAAGAAAATAAGTATCTTGACTCTGAGAATATTTAAAGGGACTTACAGTCAACATATACGCTTTCACTAAAACTCTCACCAAGTTTAGCTGAATCTCCAGCCACAGGACCTGAGCAATTATTTGTGGCTGAGAGTGGAGATCCCTGACACTGGTATTTCCGTGAAGAAGCAATCTCTAGGTTTGCAAGATTCAGAGAAGATTCCTTATTCAGATGAGAGACCATGAGAGTTGAACCGCCGGGAAAACACAATGCTTTTCGAATATTAGACTTTATGTGTAACCTCCTTGCTTTGCCTTTCTGGTCTACCTCTGCTAGTGTTATAAATCCCTGAAGTATTCGTAAAGAGTCGCAAGAAACCGATCAGGCTAGCTACTTCAAATGTAGTTTAGTTAGAATCCAACAAACTATATAGATAAAAACTCCAAGAACAATAAATCATACTCACCTGTTTAAGCCAGAATCCTTCAGATTCTTTGTCTGCCCAACAGTATATAGTTCGAATGCCAACACTATGAAGCCTCTTCATTAGTTCTTCATAGACGAGTTTACCAAAACCCTGAAAATAATGTATTCATAAAGACCAAACTATTTAGTTTTTGATGAAGTTCCTAGCAATCTATCTTTAGTCAAACCAGTTGCAGAAAGGAGAAAAGTGTAAGACAGTAGGAGTTTCAATGACGACCCTACAAGAGTAAGTGTCAATGAGTCAGAGACAAAACGAACCTTTTTCTGGTGTGTATATGTTACAGCAGCAAGAGGTATCTCAGCATACTGTGTATCAGCAGGGACTATTTGATAGGTGATTGCAGCTAAGATCTACAAAAAAGCACATACCAATAATCAGTATTACAGTTGCAGTAAAGCAGACAAACTACAAGCATCATCTGTTAGTGAATATAAAACTTCAATCAAAAAAATATAGCCTTCATGTACATAAATATTCAAAATTCATCCAGGGTCTAGGCTGCTTTTGATCAAAGGTCAGAGCATATAACTAAACCTTGTTTACCTCATCTGAGACTCCGCTAAGCGTGGACTTCAAAACCAACGAACAATACTTGCTGCAAGATTGGACAATATTTCAAATAAAGCATTAAAATGGGCCAAAGGAAGTTTTCATGATAGAACAAGTAAAGACTTTCTATGATAAAAGAGAGACTCTTTAAGTGCAGAATAATTACCCTTTGGAGACGCATGTCTCAAGGAATGCAGATTGCTTCCCAGTGTTTGAAGCGTATTTCATGTCAGGTAGCTCTTTACTATATAACTTGAGCACTTCCTGAATTGATCAAATTACAAATCCTTATGAGCGATGAAAAAAACAAAAAAATCAACTTTCGAGTGATTTGGTCAGAGTCTACTTACCTGAAGATGAGATTTGGTAAAATCATCTTCATCTCGAGGATTAAGAAGAAGAAACATGTGTTCTTTCGGATAAGCAGAAACGATTCTATCCTTCTCTGCACAAGAAAAGAGAACCATTTTGAAGAGATTGTTTCCAGATTCAGAAATTCGTAGTTAAACAACATTACCACCACAAATACTAAGGCGCAAGAACCCAAATGCTACAAACCTGAGATTTTCACTCTGTTGTTTCTGGAAAAGTTGATCTGAATGCTTTTAGGTCCGGATTCACATGTAAACTTCTTACCATCCACAGCGACCTCGTAATCACCTGGAGAATTTAATCAGAACATCGAAGACTCATTCAATTGGAGCAGAGTATCGGAAAAATCGAGTCTTCCGGATTCTTACCGATAGAGTAGAGAGTAGATTGAATCGGCGGTGCTCTCTTTGGCGCCATGATAATTTTAGAGCGGGATTTTAAGAAAACAAAACTTTTCAGGACAACAGTAAATATAGGACGAAATGAAACAACATTCGAGACTATAAATAAATACGTTTATCGAAGGGCATTTACGTTATTAATATATAGGGCTCTTCTTCGAAAAAATTCCGGGTTTAGGCGCTTCATTTTCTCGTCATTTTCTTTCGTTTGTCAAAGGATTTTCTAAGGAAGCAAGAACCAATTTAAAGTTTTAAAGAAGAGAGAGGGAGAAAGGGAGAGACCAGAAACTGATAGAAACAGAGGGAGATGAGAAATGAGAACAGAGCCAAAGCACCAAAACAAGGGAAAAGCTAGCATAAACAAATCTAGAACCCAGTTTGTTGTCTGAGAATTATATTCATCACAAATCCTAAATGTCATGGCTCCAAGACGAGACTTGTGGGGGTAAAAACCGAAGCTTCAAGACGAGAGCTTTCGCATCAACCGATATAAACCCAAGACCGAAGAAAGTCTCACTTTTTCTCTGGCAGTTTACTAATTTAAGGTTAAAATTCCGAAAATGTTCTTGTTGGAGGGTATCTCAGAACCGAATCTGAAGATGAGCTTGGTGTGGATGACATTGTCTGCATATGACAAGTCTCCTGACCTTTTTGCATCTGTACCTAACGTCGATAAGATTGAATCTAAATGAGATGAATATGATGTAATCGACATCCTTTTCGTAGCCACCAACTGTAAAGAACAGAAACATCTGATCTGGGCAACTAAAAAGTAGCTGAGACGTGAAAAGCATCTACATTTGAGTTTCGCTTTCTCTGCGACTTCAAGCCAAAGCAACATTGATGCAACTGCTTCTTGTAGCCATCGCCGATGCAGTTTAACCATCTGTTCTAGCTAATAAGCAAGAAGAAGCATTAATGAAAAGATTCTCATCTCATATCTCTTCAAATTTTACATTTTTTATGTTTTTACATTTTTGTGATTAACAAGTTGAGAAAATCATAAGGTACAAAGTTACAGGTTCTTGTGGAAGCAAATAACTAAAAATTACAAAAGGTACAGTGGCTAAAGAAACAACGACTCTGACTAGTTAACACCCATCTCTTCTTCAACGAGGCTGGTGGATGTTTCTAGGAGCAACCCTCTGGTTTCCCCATTTCGCTGGCTTTTCTGCATACTTTGCTGGATCTGCAACTGTTTTAGGGCTCCTGTTTCCACTTTTTATCCTAACCATCTCACCATTCTTCCCTAAACCTGATGATCACAACGACAAATCAAGAACTTAATTACTCTCCAGCTCTGTTTAATCCTAACTGGATTTGTTTTGTCTTATGGAGAATCAAACCGACTAACCAAAGTCGGAAGGTGCGTGGTAGATTTGTCCACCGTATCCATGATCAAACTCAGCAGCATCAATGTCGAAGAAATCTTCCATGTCATCGAAATCAAATGACTCTGGAAGAAGATCAGCTACATCAACCTCGCCACCACGATTCTCGTTCTCTCCGTTGTCGTAGAAACCGTCAGGGCCTTGGTGCTGGCTGATCCAGTAGTCATGGTACCAAGTCGAGGTTGTCACCAATTGCCACCATTCCGGCGAGAAATCTTCCACCTGTCTAACAGCTGCCGGAACAAAAAGGGGTGCATCAGGGTTTAGAGTAGAACGTCTTCCTGAAACCATCGCCATTTCTTTAACTCTGCGCACACAAACAGGATGACAAACAAAAAGTGGATATCAGTGAGATGATGAGATCAGATCAAAAAGTTGACATCTTTGCACGCATATTTTCCAGATGATTATTCAGTTTCAGATCTGAAAACGAAGCAATCAATCAATCAAAACCGCCCAATACTACGATCAAAGTTATTTAGCTAAGTAACTACAATTTTTCGATCGGCACGATATAAATCAGGTGAAGCTGATCTGAAAATTTAACAATTTGAAGACTTAGTATCGCACTTACTACGGAGGTCAAAAGAAGTGAAATCCGAACAACTATTAGCTAGATCGAAGATCACCACACAGATCACAAATCTGAAGATAGTATAATCACTTGATTTCTTCATACTTTTAAAAAAAAACTTTCCAGGAAACAATACGGAACCATCAAAATCGCCGAACTATGAAGATAAACAAAACCATCGGATAATCGCCTTGAGAAATTTCGATCGAGTACAAGAAGACAAAGATAGCAGCAGATCTTTTTACCTTGGCCGAGAAAATACCTGCAACTCTCGCTCAAAGTTTGATATTTTTCTTCTTCTTCTCTTTGACAAAAGCGAAAACGGATTAGGATCAAACACGATGCGAGAAAGATGAGGGGAAGAGTAGTAATTATATAAAGTAAGGCTCGGAGACGAACCTCAGGTTCGTTAAATCAAATATGTGAGAAACAAGTGGGTAGGTCTGGACCCGCACCTAACATGGTTTTGAGTAATCCGCCGTCCACGTGTAGACGCGTTACTGTTGGCTTTATTTGACTTTCCTTCCGTTCCAATCCGTTGGCGACTCGTACCAAGTAAATTATTATTCTCTTTTAAAAATATATATATCTTAAATCCGGTCGAAGAGGATAAGGTAGGAAACTAATCCAATATATTTAGGCCCATTATTTACAAATAGGCCAGAAACCGCCCATGATACATGATTGTTTGTGTTTTTATCTTTAGCATCAATCTGTTCATATTTGTGATTTAGTTAATCTTCTCCAGATACTGTGAACCTCACTGCTTAAAACGATCAACAATCAAATTCTCAATCCAGTTTTGTGATAGATAAAAGATGCCAGAACAAAAATATTAAACCAAGAGGAGATTACATAAGAGAACAGTAAATGCATGTAGGTGGGGTCTTAAGATCACTAGTAACAATTGGACGAATCACTAGTAAGTTGTAACATTCAATAATTATGTTATCGTGGGATGTAGCTTGATCTGATTAGTGTGGGATCTGCCATGTTTTGTGAGTGTGTCAATAGGTGAAAATGAGTTTCCTACATATTTTAATGAAATCTTTCAACTTTCATCTTATTATACAGGGATTTATCTTGATGATCTGAACTGGAGAAAGTTCTTCCTTTTTTATCATTGTTTTTAAGATTGAACTCACAAATGTGAGTTTGTTAGCATTTGCTAGTTGCATCTAGATCTAGGATTACAGGTAGTAAACTTCTACTACTTGTATTAGTATTATAGTTCAAAAATTCGTATATCAGCGGGCGAAATTTTTTTTTTTGCCAAACACTTATTAAAAGTAGATTTTACCATTTATCTTCGTCTTAATGTCTAAAATATGCCTTTTTTGTAAGATATCTTGTGACTAACTAATCAAATCTGTGACCAAATGGAGAACCAAATCTTATGACCTTGACAAGGGTCGGGAAAGGTCGCTAAGGTCTAAAACAACTAGGATTATCAAAATAATTATATATCTTTGTTGATATAGTAGAACTGAATTGAATCTGTTGATTTATTTTTCTTTATTTTGGTATCAGTTTTCTGATTAGGAGTAGCTCAAAGCTAGTATATGAAGTTGCTCAAGGATAACAACAAAGTCGTTGACGGGCTGACTCCGGGACAATGCTAGCTTCACAATGTGTGGTTCAGTTTCAAGGAGACTAAATGTGTTCTGGTTTTGTTTTTGATCTCTATTATGACATATCCATAGGGTGCTCAAATGGACTTTTCCAATTGGTTTTGGCGGTGTTAATTTTCTCTATCAATTAAACTTTGAGTTGGATTTGTATAAATACGAGCTATACAATTTGCTTGGCTAAATACTAAATAGTGTGGTATTCTATACAATTTTTTTCTTAAACTGTGTGTCAAAAATACCTTGAAATGATAGAGTTCTAATAAATGAGTCAACTCCATTAATATTAATTAGATTTACTCTATTATGAAGTGAGAGTATATAATATATATAGACCATTGTTCTATTTATTATCATACTGATTAGTGTTTACATTTAGTTAACTAACACGCCAAACAAAAAAAATCATCTCAGTAGTGTTCTAATTTTTGTAAACAAGATAATAAGGTGTTGTAGATCAACTTAATAAGATAAACAACCAATGAAAAAAAAAATTGTTTTTTTTATATGGAATTAAAAACAAACAGAATATATATCTGCAAAGGGCAGAAATCCGCGTGAATCTTGTTTTGTTAGTTAAATATATATACTTTTTTTTTTTCTGGTGGTTTCATCGTATTGAACGATGAGTTTTGGATAATAAAAGCTAAAAAAGATACATAAATAATAACTGCAAAAACGCGTTTTACTTAAAACACTCTCCTCTTTTCCTTTTCTTTCTCTACCCATCTCTATCGCTATAACTTCGATATATCAGTTTCTGGATCTAAGTTTTGCACTCTGCGTGATCTCCTTTCGTCTTCGTCGTTCTCTTCTCGAGTTTCACGTTTCGCAGGAGATCCCAAAAACAAACAGCAATGAGTCAGTACAATCAACCTCCCGTCGGTGTTCCTCCTCCTCAAGGTTAGTTTTCTCGCAATTTTGAATCTCCGAGTTTCGATTCGTATTTCTTAGATCTGGTTAGCTATGTGCTGAATTTTGCGGTTGATCTGAATCATTGCATGTTATATGATCGGAAATTAAAGGTTATCCGCCGGAGGGATATCCAAAGGATGCTTATCCACCGCAAGGATATCCTCCTCCGGGATATCCGCAGCAAGGCTACCCACCGCAGGGTTATCCTCAGCAAGGATATCCTCCGCCGTATGCGCCGCAATATCCTCCGCCACCGCAGCATCAGCAACAACAGAACAGCCCTGGGTTTCTAGAAGGATGGTAAGTCAGTCGATAGACTCGATTTCATAAAATTTTGTTATCCTGTGAGTTTCGTGTGGATCTAATGTTAGACTTAATTTGACTATTTTCCGGTGTTTGAATATTCAATTACAGATACTTTGAAAAGTCATGTGCTACAGCTAGAATATTCCTCTATAGGGCTTGACTTTTCATCCTTTTTTCTGATCTCTCTTTGATGATTATACCTTATTGACTGTGAAATACTTAATGATTGGTTTTTGTTCTGTCATTGCCTTACTAAAGAATGTGGATTTGCATCTTTTTAGAATGAACATGCTTGCATCTAGTGGATTCGCATCATAACAATTGAACTACTACTACTGGTTGCTACATTGCATATCCATACGAATTGGATTTGTGATTGTGTTCCTGCCTTGAGAGTGTTATAAAGTGTTGAATCTACACTTGTACAAGTTTTTGGTATCGGCTAAGAATGTGAACGATGTTTTTGTTTTGCAGTCTTGCTGCTCTCTGTTGTTGCTGTCTCTTGGATGCTTGCTTCTGATTGAAGTATCTGCTCAGAGCTGCTGATTTAATTGCAAGAGGGAGCGTTTGGCAACACTAGAAATTTAAAATTGATTTGTTGTGGGCATTGAAAAAAATGGATTGCAGAGGATCTCTTGTCTATTCTCTTTCGTTTATGTTTTATGTTCTTCGGTTCATAAATAACCTATTTGTCTATCGACGTTCTGGCTCGTTTGGATTTGATTAATGGGATTTGTAAAAATTGGTGGTGAATGTGTGTTCAAATAATTCAGATAATCATATCTCAATGCTTTTATTGAGAACAGTTTATAGACTGGTATTAGATTTAATTTGAGATTATCATTGAAAAAAAAAGTAGATTCGTTTCGCGTGGAAATTTCCACTGACCACATTGTCTGCAAACCAAACCCACATGGCCACATGGGTTGGTTCCATTGATGCTGTTAGATAATGGTGTTAATCGTGGAGAACAACCAACTGATATCAGAGGGAACAAACTGATAAATGCAACCAATCAATAAACGAAGTAATCAAAGAAGGTTATATACAAATTAATATTACTGTGAAGAGGTTTATACATTGTTAAGATGAACGAAGTTTTTTTGCTATATCTAGTCGAGTCGAACTTCTAGCAAAGGCATAATAATGTTTAAGCCGTCATAAACTCTAGAAAAAAAAATTGATGACAAAATCATGCGCGAACAAAGAGTATAGAATTCATTAGCAATGGTGTATGATAATCACAAACTAAAAACAGAATAAAGAAAAAAACTATTTTATATAGAAATCCAAACAGCATAACATCCAAAACAGTCAAAACTAAAAGGAAAAGGCCTAATTGGTGGTAGAGTCACAATTCTTAGAAGAATACTCAAGGAACGTAGAAGCAGCACAGAACCGTTTTGTTTCGCCGTTGACATAAAGAATCAAACCACTTTGGTTATTTTCTCTAACAACAATCGCCTTCTCTTTCTTGAATCCGTGTGTCGACACTGATTGAACACAACTTTTGGCCTTGTCGACACTTTCTACTCGACTTGGCTTCGGATAATAGAAATCGGTTGGGAAAAAATTGAACTGAAGAAGACCCGACATTGGATTTTTTATCGACAACTCAAACAACTTACTTAACGAATATTAATGTTTCTCGTGTTCCCTTATATATATAGAAATTATGGAAAAGGGTTCAGAGGGGTTTTTGAAATTGGAGTTCTATGAGTTTTACTTGACGAACAAGTCTGGATTGGTTAGGGTCTGAAAAGTCTTGAATCTGCCTTTGACGCTTTGACTTTAAAACTCCGTCTAGAAGCAACTAGAAGAATAAGGCAGGGTGTTCTTAACTACTATAACAATGTGATTTCCTAATCATTTTATTTATTTATGGAAACATTCCAAATCGATTCAGTCGAATGTTACAAATTTCCATATTTTAAACGGCAGTTCTCGAAAATACCAGTGAATATGAGCTATATTTTCTTCATATTTAAGCATAGACATTAGAGTTAGACAACTTAAAATTGTATGCTACAGTCTAAGAGGATATATGTAGGATATAACCGGCCTTATCTGAATTCCATTTTTGCATGAACCGGTTTTTAGATTACCCCAAAAGAAAATTGAACTCGAAAGAAGATGCTTTTAGTATGATATATTCTTTATTTTTATGTGATTCTGTAATCTCCATACTCTAACTTTTATCTACCGTTGATCAACTTAAAGACACTTGTCGATTTAGGCTTTGTTTCTAAAATTACCATATGACAAATGACAGTATTCAGAACAGAAACGAGATCTAAAATTCCTAATATCATATAATTTTCAGAACACATGGATCAGATTCGGCATCGGATCTTGTATCTGATACTTTTAGTCGCCCATATGGGCTATTACACAACTAAATTCTAAGCCCGTTATGGTTTAACGGAAGCCCATACTATCGTAAAAGGTCAACTTCAAGCTCTGACTCTGACCAGGACTATGTGTGTTCATTTGGGTCTGTTAGTGACTCCAGGGATTTTGGTGCTAATTGCTAAGCTGATGACTCCTGGAATATTGAGATTTGAGGTTGGTGACGAAGTTGTTCTTATGACCACTAGTGATGTGCTCTGTTTTAGTGTTTTGGTCTTTGGGGGCATTCTCATTTGTGAACTGTGATCAGTCCTTTGATTCCATAAAAGTACACTTAATTAGCTTTGTGAAAGTTTCTTCAGGTACTGAGAAGCCAACAAACAAACAAACAAAAACTAATGACTTTGCTTCGTATAATTCTAGAATGATTACTGCAATTTTATAATATCTTCGAATGCAAGAGATAAAGTTAAAGCTATTCGGTTATATCAACTTTTGTAATCAGTTCTTCTACACACTAATTATTTTTTAAGACCAGAGTCGGCCGTACCAAGTAGTGCGTCTGACGTTCTGTAGAGAATTTTTAAAATTTTTATATAGCCGAAACTATTGAATTATATATTGAAAATGCTATCGAAACTTTTTGGTTCATAAATCCGTTAACAGAAACAAACACACACACAACGCGTTTGGCCACGCCGATGTTTAGCACTAAAAGTAGGGAAGGTTATAGTCATCAAATATTATTATATTTATTGTTTTGAAGTGTCTCTCATGCAAATGTTAAGAAACTACACAGCAATGGCATAGGCTTTTTAGAAATACTATTAAAGTATTGGTAGATAAAAAATCACAAATAGCCTTTATTCTTACTGATTTTCTTTCGCGTGTCATGGAAAAGAGTCTGAACTAATCTTTACGTTAGCTCGCTAATAAAAAAACACGAAATAAATCCCTTAAAAAAAACATTCTCGTAATTCTCCACCAATTAAACAATAAACAAGTAAGAAAAATTAGGTCATGAATCATGACTCGACGACCACTGCACCTGCATGTGTTATGACGATGTCAGAACATAATTATGAATCGAATCCAAAGTCGAAACACAAAACAAAATCCCATGTAAACAGACAATTACATTTTTGTTTCTTTACTCAACTCTTTAGACATACCTTTGTTTCCACAACCAGTAGATACGTTGCATATGTACGTCGAAGAAAAAGCAACTATACAATATATATATACAAAGAATAAATAAATTATACATTTTCGATAGTCGTAGTAGTAATAAATGTAATCAACTAATCATAGAAATAAATAGATAATAAGAGATTCCAAGAAAAAAAAAAAAAAAGAAGAAAAATGGGAAATGAATGAAGTGAAATGAAAAGAGAGAAGTATAAGTATCAATCAAAATAAACACGAAAGCACTCTCTCCACGAAGCTTCGCGGAAGCTGCCATGGCTTCCCTCTTTCTCTCCCCATTTAAGACCTTCCTTCCTCGCTCTTTCCTCTCAAACCAGAAGAAACAAAAACCAAATCTCTTCTCCTCTTTCTATCTCTCTCTCTTATCTTCTCCGATTTCCTCGTAGCTATGAAGCTCGCCGCAAGCCTCAACCGCCTGAGCCCCAAACGTCTCTTCCGATCCAAATCCAAAGCTTCCGTCTCCAGATCCGAACCTTCCTCCTTCAGCTCCGGCGCTTCTTCCTCTTCCTCCTCCGACGGATCTTACGCTAATCTCAAGCCAGGTCCCGCCGCCACTCCAGTCAGTGTTCTCCCCGAAAACTCCGGCGATTGGTCCCAGATCTCAGGAGATCGCGATTTTTACTCTGATTTGATTCAGGCGTTCAAATTGATCGATCGCGACGACGACGGTGTCGTTTCGAGGGGAGATCTAGCGGCGCTGCTTAGCAGGCTGAGTCCTGACCCGCCGAGTCAAGAGGAAGTGAGTCTGATGCTCAGAGAAGTCGACGGAGGAGAAGAAAGCGGTTGTATCAGTCTCGAAGAGCTTGCTAGCCGCGTCGCCGGATCTTCCTCCGGTGAAGGATCCGTCGAGACGGAGGAGATGAGGGAGGTGTTTGAGTTTTTCGACGCGGATCGCGACGGGAAAATATCGGCGGAGGAGCTATACAGAGTGTTTGGAGTCATCGGAGACGAGAGGTGCACGATAGATGAGTGTCGGCGTATGATAGCGACCGTTGGTAGGAACGGAGACGGTTTTGTTTGCTTCGAGGACTTTTCACGCATGATGGAGCTTCAGGCTCCTGCGAGATGAATCATCATATCATTTGATTCATGTAATAATCATGTTTTGATTGATGATAATGACATCGCCATGCACTTTTTTTTTTTTTATATACAAATTATTTTATATAAGTGGTACTGTAATTTTTCTATTTTGCGGTGGGTATTAATTTCGTCACGTCAAGCACTTAAATTTGTTTACCGCCGGTTTAAAAAACCAGATGTCTCTTTAATATCGGTTATTTAAAACTCATTTGAGCAAGAACTTTACTTTATCATCTCATAAATTTGATATACATTCAACGTCTTGAAAACTTGAACAATTAGTTGATTCAATTGTTAAGAGGTTGTTAACACGTTGAGTTAACACGGATAGTCTTTTAATATAATGTATTTACGGTGGTTAGCAAAATAGCCAACAATAAAGATATGGAGGAGAAGACTCGGATTCTTCTAAACATACGGATTAGCTCTTTATCTCCAAATATTAAGTATGCGTTATCTTTTCTTTTGTTTTGTTTTACTAATGAAACCTCATCGAGATTTCAAACTGAATGGAGTTTCACTTCTTTGGGGTTCTTTTTTTATATACTTGTGAATGGGCAATTGGCACCTCCGTTTTATGCGAGGCAGTGTGTTGGGTTCAACTATAAACTATTATGCATGCACTTGACATGTTGATCAATGTTCTAAACTTCTAATTACATGATATTTTCTTTTCTTAACTAATCTAACTATACATCTATTCAGCCACCAAGAAATTACATATGCTAACGATGTTTGTATTAATCAATAACTACAGAAGTTCTCAGTGCAAACCAAGCAACATTTCATTGATTCAATTAATTCTTCTTTGATTTTTATTTTGATTCTTCAGATTAAAGATAAAAAGAAGGAAAGAACAAAAAAAGAAAAAAAAAGTGGAGGGACAATGTCCACAAGCATTGTCCAAGCAAATGCGCCGACCAACTGTCCTCCACTCGACCCGTGGCCTATGGAAAATGGACCCTCCCCATTCTCCAACGCGGAATCTAATTTACTTTTGAAGAGTTTTTACTCTTATTAACATTTTTAAATTTGTTATAGATTACGCCGAAGTCTAAATTGGAAGGAAGTAAACGAAAGATGCATGCACCACAAATTAACGTCCACAACAAAAGCCGAGTCTCAGTTGAATTTTTGTGAGATAAAAAAAAGGCATTTGCGCCGCTTCTCAAGTCCTCACCACACATAGAGGCGTAGAATATTCGTAACAGCACAAGATTTTTTTTAGGGATTAGTTGGTTAGTAAGCGGACTTTATTATTGCATTAAATTTATCATTAGCAACGCGTAGATGAATGATTGTGCTAGAGAATCAAAACCCTGCCGGAAGTATAAATGCTGTCTAAAACTTATATTAAGGTTATTGGACGACAGATATAAGCTGAAGCAGCTCAGTTTATGAAGTTTTCATGAGATTCTATTGATTAAAATATACTCCAAATGGTACTCCTAATGGTAAATGAGAGATTATAACTTTCGTTAAGGATTCCCGAACTCGAATTATGCCTGAAAAAAGCAGATATACTTGTTTGATTCATTAATACAGAATTTTGTTTTTGTTAAGAATATAGAGTTAATTAAGTGTAGACGTAGAGAAATGCATAAACATATTAAAATGCTGATCATTTGGTAATCATTTTATTATTGGTCGAGGTTAATGATTGCATTCTCATTTATGTTTTTATTAATTTGGCCATTGTATAATCTAATATAGCGGTTATAAATTTTAAAGTTTAGTATGGACTTGAGTCTTACATAAATTACAACAAAACTTATTTTTTTGTATATTTAAATCAGCTTAAATTAATTAATTTTTTTATTTTACTAAAACAGTAAAAATATTACATTTTTAAATACTTTATTTTTCTACTTTAAAAGTTTATAACAAGATTTAATTAATTTTTTGTTAACCGGAGGTTTCAAAACAAGATAATATCGTATTTTAATTATTGTTTCCACCTCCCCAATCATAGTGGTGTTTTGGACATATCGATATGTCGACATTGGGTATGACATTTCATATGGCTATAGGTTTGAAAGTTCTTGTGATTTTCATTAGCCTTCACACGCAAGTATACACTACACACATTTGTATATATGGCCGCTTATGATATCTTCCAAATTCTGAAGTTGTGAACGTTTTGACTGTTTGTCATTTTGTTGGACAGAAAAATCCATCCTTCAAAACATCATCAAAATCATGATAGGTAGATAAATAGAGAGATACGTTTGTTGCACTGTTTTTGGTATCAAAGAAATAGACAATGTTAAAAATTGTTAGGGAGGTAAAACCTAGAATAACGAAAAAATTAAAGCATTACCATTTAAGTCTCGTCCTCCGCTAGATTTTTTTTGTAAATGATTTAACATCGACGAAACAAACCCATTTAAAATCATCGATATTGTCCATCACTGACATCAAAGATATACACCCAAATAAACACGCCAGATTTATGTTGAAATCGTTACTAAAACTCCAAAATCATACCAACTCTAACAAAAATCTTTGTGTAATTTTTTTAGTAAAACAAAGGTATCATAGTCTATAAATATAGTATAGTGTGGTTCATCCCGAATCCCCCCATTACAAATAATGGTTAATTTGTTAGTCAAAAGTTAGGGTTCAAAATGATGTTGTGGCAATGCTACTAAGAGTATGTACATCAGTGAACCCCTAAGACCATCCACAACGCAGTATGGATGGGGTTCATCCGTAGAACCCAAAGCAATTTTTTTAGTTTTTTTTAATTGTTGAACTCCAATATTCGAACGATACCGTATCTTCAAGATCAGTGTGCTGAACCCGTATCATTAAGGTTCATCGGCCATATGTCGTGTTCGTATTGGCCCGTGGTTGAGAATTTTTTTTTTGGTTGGAAATCGATTTTGGTCGACAATTTTTCATTTTTCTCTTCTTCCATCGAGAAACTTTTTCTCTCTCGACAATCGCGACTTCGAATCCAATCTTCCCCTCCGATTGAATCTCCGGTGAATCGTCGTTTCCCCTTCGGTCGATCAGTATGGTAAGTCGTTTATATCCTTTAGAAGTCTTTTAAAATTGGGGGAAAATTGGGGTTTTCAAAATTGGGGGAAAATTTAGGGTTTTCAAAATTGGGGGAAAATTAGGGTTCTTCGGAAAGTTTTTTTGGGGGCTTTTAGGTTTAGGGTTTAGGGTTGTTTGCGATTCATTGTTTTTATATTCAATCGGTTTCCGGATTTCGCGTATTAGGGTTTTAAAATTTGATGTTTTGAATTTAGGGTTTTCGAAAATGTTTATAAATTTTGGGGCTTTCATTTGGGATTGCAATTGGCTTCTAATTCGCTTGGGGCTTTTATAAATTTTGGTTCGCTTGTGTGAGTTAATCGCTTGTGTGAGTTAATCGCTTGTGTTAGTTAATCGAATTGTGTAAGTTAATCGCTTGTGTGAGTTAATCGAATTGTTGATCGCTTGTGTGAATCGCTTGTGTGAGTTGAAATGGTTCATTGTGTGTTTTCAAGTATTGAATGTTTAGGTCATATCAAATGTTTAGGTTGAAATGGTTCATTGTGTGTTTAGGAGTATCGAATGTTTAGGGACATCGTATTGTAATCGTGTTCTGGTTATATCGAATGATTAGGTTTAAGCAGTTACATGAGTTTAGGTTTGTTTTCAAGTTTTGTTTTTCTCATTTGGTTCGGATATTTATGTAACTCAAATGATCAAATCGTTTACTATGGACAGAGTATGCAAAGTTATGAGGATGGCCCGTACTGGGCGAGAACCATAACCAAGCAGAAAAAAGAGATTGCGAGGGTTAAGAGCCCGCTCTACAAGGCAGGTCCCGTAGATGGAAAGCTGTTTTATTGGGAGGGTGAGCTGTTCGGACCAGCAGGATCGCCGTACGAAAACGGAGTCTTCAAAATCAGCATAGACTTTCCTCCGGAATACCCGTTCAAGCCACCAAAGGTATGACGCCTTAAACGGTTCAGGGTTTTGTAGTAATCGCTTGCTGAATATTTATTTTCTGCAGGTCTCCTTCAGAACCAAAATCTTTCATCCCAATGTAGGAGATCGTGGTCATATCTTCCTAAGGATGCTGACAACGGACTACTTCTCGCCTAGTCACACCATCCATAAGATGTTCATTAATCTTCATGAGATGCTGACAAACCCCGAAATAGGTGGAGGGGACTACTTTGATGAAGCCAAAGCGAAGCTATACAAAGAAGACAATGCGGGTTTCGATGAAAAGCACGAGAATGTACTCTAGAGCACGCTACTGCTTAGAAAAAATACCCTCTACCTTTGGCATAAATTTGGACATCTAGAAGATTACTAGTTTTATTTTCACTTCTGTTTTCTCAATTTAAGAACCTCTACCTTTGGTTTTCTCAATTTTCACTCTTTTCATTTTATTTTATTTAAATGTTTAAAATAGTTAAAAAAAATATTATTTTATTTTGTTGAACCCCAAAATGGGTATCAGGGTTGGACACCCTTTTTTCACCCCAGGTTCACCCAAGGTTTTTCCATATTCTCTCTCTTCCAAAAATTATTAAAATACGCTGATGAACCCCATGATGGGATTCAGGGTTGTGGATGGTCTAAATATAAAAAGGGTTCACCATAATATAATAATATATTTTTTTTGGTTTTAGTTTTTCTTTTTTATTTTAATTCAAAAATTATAATTTTCGACCAATCAAGATGCTCCATTTCGGGATGATACTGTCTCTTCAGGTTCGTCGGGATGATACTGTCTCTTCAATACTAAGCTGTAACATCCCGATTTCCAGTATATGTGAAAAAGCTTATAAGAATTGATTTGACTACCTATGTCAACAAAGTGCACTTATCTTTTCCGGTCAAGTGTGCTGAGACTTCTCTCAGAATGGGTGACCTACCGGGAAATACTATGCGGTATCGTGCGAGTGAGGATAAAGAACGGAGAAAGATTATGTGGTGATTGCAGAGACAGTAGACAAGTCTTATGAGCCTTCCGAACTAACGACTCCCGACCGTCGGACAGTGGTGGGCTAATGGGCCTAGAGAGGGCGTTGGGCCAACGATGGGCCCACGTGCCTAGAGAAGGCGTTGGGCTCACTGGGAGGGGCGGTTGGGGGGAGTTAGAATTGATATCACCAGTCCGCGTTCGGTTCCTAAAGAGAGGACGGATCGGGATGTTACATAAACTTTTTTGTCTTAAAAACTGTGTCATGAACGTCTCTTAATCCCGTGATATATATGCTCTAAGTTACTTCATATTTAACCATAGATAATTAAATATTGCGCGTGCGTTCAGAGAGAAAGAGGACAAACATATCGTTTGGCTTAGCGAAAGAATCGAACCCCGAGGAAGCTGGAGCTACAAAACATGGTCTCTCAATTAAAGTCGACTTGTCCTAACTCATGGTCCCACTTATTTTATTAATTTTTAAAATAAGTATTCAAGTAAGAGAGAGATACATCAAGTTTCTACAAGTGTTTGGAACACTGTTTTACAATTCATCAAAGCGAGAGGACACAATCTTCATAAACGATCTCCTCCGACTCTACCGATCAACAAATAGATCGGAAACCTAACAACTTTCTTCTCTTCTCCGTCTTTCTTCCACGAACCAGCAAACTCTCCTTCCATCTCCTCCGTCAAAAGCTCCAACCCTTTCTCCTTAGCCGTCTGATACGCCGAAGACGACCTCAGATACGTCAGGTAATCTTCAACCCCCATTTCTCTCTCCGCCACAAACCTAACCGGAAAACGTTGACTTTCCGTTGACTCATCATCCATGATCTTCTCGAACGGAAACTCAATTCCCCTGTAACCATCCTCCACAAGCCGCCTCGCTTTATCCCAATACGGTCCAAGCCTCTCCTCGTAAAACCGCCGGAAAACCTCATCGACGGCGGCGTTAACCACCGGATTAGTGTAGCACCAGGCGGCGATTACTCCGTCGGGTTTCTTGAGCACGTGTTTCACGTTGCTGTAAAAAGTCGTGAGATCAAACCAGTGGAGGGCTTGAGCGACGGTGACTAAATCGACCGATGATTCCGCCGCCACCAGCTGCTCGATCTCCGACGAAGACATCACCGGTGGAGTTACCTCGTAACGGATATTGGGAAGCTTTGCAGCAAACTCGAGTTGCTTGGAGCTCGTATCGGTAGCAATCACCTTCTTGTAGATTCCTGCTAACTGAAAATCAAACATCGAGAAGAAAATTGAATTGGAAGATGTTAGGCATCACAAATCTAAAAATCAAAATTGAACCTTTACAAGAAAGATTGAAAATTGAACCACTAATCCACTCACTAAATCAAAATTGAAGATTTTTACAAGAAAGATTGAAAATTGTGAAATAATTAGAGAAGATTGTTACCGATCGTGAGGCTTGGCCACTTCCGGCACCGACGTCCCAGGCAAGGTCGTGGCACGGTGTTTTGGACGCGATGAACTCGAAGAGTTTGATCGGGTAATTGGGTCGGGCTGCCGCGTATTGCTCCGCTTGCTTTATGAATAACTTTGCCATTTCTTCTACTCTTATTTTTGTTTCCAAGTGTTTTCCTTTGTTTCTTCTACTCTCAACACATAGAAAGCTTTAACTTTCCGATGGATCTATTGTTTGAGAGAAACGAGTCAAACTTGAATTCATCATAGAATGCTGATTGAGTCTAAGGCAGTGAAAACGACGCCCACTTTCAATTCATGCGAAGGTCCCATTGTTTTGTAATGGATTTATTGACTGTGAGATTAGCCCAAGTAGAATTAATGTCATTTGGGCCTTTTACAAAGTAAGCCCATATAATTGTAGTTTGGAAAACAAGGTTTCTTGCATTCCAAGATAAGAGGTAGAGAGAATGTACTGTATGTAGATCTAAAGAAGAGAGAAGAGAGGAAGAGCTTGTTGCGAATCTGTGTAATGGATGAGACTACTAACTCTTCACATTGAGCATCAATGGTCGTGGAGACAAAGATGGTGTTTGGAGAACGACTAAAGTTTGAATTTCGAAGACATCTCTCTCGTTGAACATATATATATATATATATGTATATATATATATATATATATATATATATAGCAAGCTGACTTTCAGAAGCTGGTGGTGAACCAACAAAATTTTCTCGTGTAAGAGGGAGAGACATCTACACAGTAAGCAACACAAATTAAGAACAAGAAAAACTTAAAAGACTAGCCGCTAGAACAGAATGTCGTTTATGGAAACAGTATGAATGGGATTTGAATATTTGATGGACTCTGCTTGGCAATTTGGCATAATGTAATAAACTCAGTAGGCCCATACTTCAGAGAATGAAAAGTATTGGAGATTTCTCTTCTTTCTTTTATTTTTTTCCCTCAAGTGGATATTACATTACCCCTTTCTTTTTTCTTGATACATTTATAACTACTATAAAAATATCACTCAAATATCAGTAGGTAGGTGGTAAATAGTTAAAATAAATATGCCATTAGTAAATCATTTAAACTGATAGAGCTTTAGAATAATGAAATTCCCAAAACTGGAATGGTAAAGTGAGAGATCTGGAAATTGGTGAAAAAAGTCTATGAAAGTGACAACTAAATTTAATGGTAAATCCGCATTAAATCATGTCGAATTTCATTTGTCGGGCCATTATTATTTTACCTTTCTTTGGCCCCTTGATTAAAAACGAAAGTTAATTATTGCCAACTTGTTTCACCATTGACTCAGTTATTTGATTTTACCTATCGAAAAATTATTTTCGAGTCATGTCCACAAACTCAAGTTACCATATAAAGCCTATATTATCAAAGAAGAAGCCTATATTATCAAAGAAGAATGCTTATGATTGATATTTTTGTTTGATTAAATTCATGAAGTGTTTTTTTTTTTTTTTACATAGGCATTCTAGATTGATCGACAGCATACTCAGTATCAAAAATATCTTTAAAACACGTGAACCATACGGTGCGAAGAATTGTTGTATATAACAAACTACTTTTTAGGCAGCAAAATTTAGTATACCATTTTAGTCACTAAAAAAAGGGTGAAGTAATTATAGGTACGATGGTATATAATTTAACTAATGTGTTTGTCAAAGACGAACATTAATCTTTTTTCTCCATGCTGTGACATAAACAATTAAACGGCATTTTTTGCCTCTCAAATGTTTAGTTTACTTCTAGAGTAATGAAAATATGTTTTCCCCTTCCAAGTTTCAGTTTGTTTTTTTGGAACTAAAATGACTTATATTCCCTCTCTCTGTATTTTATTACCTGACGTTTTAAGATTTTTTTTTATACCAAAATAATTGACGTTCTCGTCAATCTAGAGAGTTACTAGTAGAAAATGACTTTATATACCCTTTTTTAATAAGCTATGTAATAATTCGTATTAGGTGAATTTAATAATAAATAAGGTCATAATAAGTATTTTAAAACTTTTTTTAATTTGCGTGAGTTTACTAAAACGACATGTATAAAAAAATGGAGGGAGTATCAATTAGTTAATATCCATTAAATATTAGCTGATTACAAATATAATTTCTTTAATATCAAATAATAAATGTGGTCAAAAAAAAATATATATCAAATAATAAACTTTCTTCGTTTTGATTTCAAAATCTCTTTGAATATTGTTTGGCCTTTGTTAATATATTTTTTCTAGACCATTGTTTCATTTAAAAAGCACAGTTAGCTAGAAGAATGTCTTTGCATATGTTAAATGAAGATCGAAATAATCTGTTAACGGAGAAATCAATCACACAAGTACGCGTTTCTTATTATGATTTCCAATCACACAAGTACATGTCTTGTCAAACAAATATGTTGAAGATACGAAAGAAAAAGAAATCCGATAAGGAAATGAACGAAAAGAAGTTTGCAAAATATATATAAGAAAAAAATTGAGATGTTCTACATTGTTTTACCTTAGATTTTAAGTCGAATCCAAATCTTCTTTTATGCAATACACACTGTAAATGATGATAAAAACAAATAATTAGTAAAATGAGAATTATACTAAAGATGAAGAAAAGACATGAAAGCCCCTGAAAACAGAGATGATAGAGAAGAAGAGCGAAGCCCAATGGTCACAGTCATCACTGAGACAGAAAGTTTCAGGTATGTCTTAACTACAACTCCCAAGTTTCAACTGCTATCGTCTCTCTCTCTTTCTCTCTCTCTTTCTCTCTCTATACTCTGAAACAAAAGGAATTTTGTGAGAGCTTTTGGTTCAACCCAAAGGTCTCTCACTCTCTGGTTTTATGCAAAGGCTCACATCATTGTGCATTTAATACTACTGAACATTTCATTGAGTGAGAGAGACTCATGAAAAGGAGACTGAGACTTAAGCTCTAGGCCACAATCATGGCATGTGGAAGTCAGTGCTCCTACAACACACATTATTAATTAACTCGGCTTGGAGAGCTTTGGTACTTAGATTTGAACATGAACGCTTTCAAATACGACTAAAAGTTCGATTTGGTTTCTTATGTCATTTTGATATTAAAAAAAGAAAGATTAATTAGGTCATTGCGAAGAAAATCTGATGTAGATGCCAGACCGTGAGGTTATTTAAATACTTTTTTTTTTATCATGAGTCTACATTGATATGGGTTAAATATAAAAATTTGTCTAACAAATTATATTGGAAATGTAAAATAATACACAATACACTTTTGTCAAACTTTTTTTATTTAGGCTCTGATCGGTAAACAAATTATAGTTAATTGGAGTTAACAAATCAATATGGACCCACTATTTATCAGAGTATTAACCAAGTGTTTTTTTCCAACTGAAAATTAAACTCTACTTTAAAGATGCATGAAGAAAGATTAACTTTAGTTTTGGTGAACCTATACATTTTTCCTTCACTTTTTCTTTCCACCTTTTTATTCTAATTTGTGTACCATTCAGAGCCTAGTAATAGAACACTATTCGATTCTTGGATTTCATATTTTTAATTAATTGGATTTTAAGTTTTAGTTAATAGGGGCTTGTGGCAGCAGAAGCTAGTGAAGTGATAGTAAGTTCAGGACACGTGTCGAACGTTCAGACATACTTGAACTAAACGAAGCCCGTTTAAAGTAACGCTGCGGTTGTACCGTTCTGTTGAAAGCCGCTATTTTGGCAAAATCGTATAACTAGGAAGAGACCTCTCATGCGGTAGATTAACAGTTCATGTAATTATTTCCTATTAAAAAAAAATTGACATCAAAAGAAATAGCGAATAACTAATTATATTATTCTAGGTAGATTTAGAGAAATTAAGTCAATGGTAGTATGGTACTGAAAATTCTCCCTATATAATATAAATTGTCGACAAAAGTAACAAAAAATAAGTTGTTGTGTAAACGTAAAGGAATCTCATTTTAATTTCATGCATATAGTGTACCTATATGTATGCTGATTTTGGTACGTTTTGATTAATAATTTGTTAAAAGGAGGATTAAACGACGGACTTTTTGCTACCTTCATTCTAGTTTTTCTAGTTAGTGCACAAGTATAAAAAAACATGTAAGAAGAAAAAAAAATAAGAGGAGGAACAGAGAGAGGAAGAGATTGAGAGGTCACGTCATAGAAGTCAACATCACTCTTCACATGCAATAACACACACCGTTGTCTTGTCTTGTCATATATCATTTTGCATCCCAACAAAGTGTTAATCACATACTTAAATAATCTCTATTCATTCATGTTTTCATCTCTCATGTTTAATTTATTTTAGATATGGTCTTCAAATTTCATCTGGATACCTTTAGATCTTTCAACGCAACACTCTTTCGGGGGCTTTATGACTCAGTACATGATTCTTTGCTAGCATAGTTTATATACCCTACTGATGCTGTAAAACTATTTTTAATTAACAGTTCGCAGTGGTTACATAAATAAAGATTAGTTCAAATTATGCATATTGAAACGATAAACAAAAGGAAAATCTACCATTTACTTAGCAGAAAATTTCAATTCATTTGATGTATAATTCTACGTACGTAAATTATTTCATACTTTTCAACGGTTTAGTTGTGCTGATCAATTAAACTTGCAAATTCTGAAATATGTATTAAAAACCCTTAATAGAAAGAAAAAAAAATTGTCAAAAGAAAAAAAAAATTATGCGTTAAAATAATCCAAAAAACATTCTATGTGTGACATTTCTATGAATTCTTATTCTATATTGCTAAAAAGTTTTTTTTTTATAGACAATAGTTAAAGAAAAATACCAGTACTGTAAATCTTGGACTATGTTGTAGGACAGTCAGAAACCTGTGGACTTACATGTATATCGAATTTCCATAAATTCGTTTGTTAAGTTTTTTTTTTTATAATAATATTTGTTCTTGATCATCCGTCGTTATTTTTTTGGCATGCAATTGGTAAGAAACATAGTTGTAACTTGTAAGCTTTTAGTTGACCATAAAATAGAAATGTAAGTTTGTAACCGTAAGCTTTTAGATGTAAAAATTAAAGATATATTAGAAAACTTAACAACCTGTCTTAAGAATTAAAACCGTATGTATTTGGTTTTGTTTTCGTTCATGCTTATTATTTTTAGAAAATTAAATTTCAGTAGAATTTCAATTCTTAGACAAACTTAATACTGTAACTACTGTACTTTTACCAAACATCATTTTAGACGAGATTTACACATAAATGTGAAAACTGGAATGCAATATGGACAAATATTGTTTGCATGCAGTTCGCATTCGTGTTTAATATTTCTTAAAGCA